CAGTGTTCAATGTCCAGTGTTCAATGTCCAGTGTTCAATGTCCAGTGTTCAATGTCCAGTGTTCAATGTCCAGTGTTCAATGTCCAGTGTTCAATCGGTCGGCACCTCCAATACCCCAATTGCGAGCCGTTAGAGACAATCCCAACGCCGATGGAATCGTCCCTCTCGAACAGCGAGGTCGATCCAAACGTAAGGAGCCAGAAAGTCAAGACTAGTTTTGGCTGGCTTTGTAGGGAGCATCGGAACGGCGGCTGCTGGGGGCGGGAGTGTAGGAGCAGCGAGGTGAAGGGATGGCGTTGGACTGCACGGAAGACGTTGAGGCGATTGAAGGGAGCGACAGCGGTGGGATTGACGATTGAGCACAGGACGAGCCGTGCATCGAGCGCGGTCTCTCTGGGAGAAGCAATAGTAACGACAACGTGGAATCGGGAGCATAGGCGGGCACAGACAACAGATGGTCAGGCACGGATGGTCTGAGAAAGGGTCACAGGACGCAGGGAGCAAGTTGGGTATCGTTCTGTATTTCTCGAGGGCACTGCCAGAACCAGCTGGAGTCGCATTGGGGAACAAAAGGCAAATTCAGGAATTCAAACACATCATGACTTTTTGGCAGTTTGAGTCCACGTCGTCGTCGGGCGGTCGTCCGGTCGTCGGGTCGGCGGTGGTGGTTTGGTTTGCAAAAAGTTTGAGGCCGTTGCTGGTGGTGGGAACTGAGGATGGGTTCGGGGGGAAGAGGAGGGGGGAGGCGCAGACGCTCAGGCGCTCTAAGTGCCTAACGAACTTGGGGTTTGCCAATCCGAAACGGCGGCAGGGCCCTGGTGGCCCCGGTGGCCCTTAACCAGACGCAGCTGTGCAGCCAAGAGGAGCTTCTGTGCTTCTGGTGTCTCCATCCAAGTGTCATCCACCCTTTGTTCTATCAGACCTGGTACAGCTCCCATTCTAGTCTTCCCCCTTCTCACACTTTGCGTTCCTACTAACTTAGGCTCAGGCAAATGACGGCGAGAGCCTGTTGGCAGATTCTACGGTGCCAGTGTCGAACCAACGAGCCTCTCCGCAAGATATTGCAGTCCCTGCATTGGAGTCTAACCCAAAGGCTCTTTTTCTCACCTCATACCTCACACCTCACACGAGTACCTCATACAATTGCAGTTCCACGATGAGAACGGAAACAACCTTCAACCTGCTCAGCTACGGGAGACAATCTGCCGCGCACATGTCTCTCTCGCTGTCCTGCTACTGCTGGCATGGGATGGAAGTAACCCGACCAAGGTAACCACCTTTTAGGGCTTCATGATACGACTGATGGACCGAGAAAGATCCAATTGTCATCTACCGAGATGCGAGATGGCCCCCTTCCTCGTCGACTTGCTGCCTTGTAAGTGAACGCAGGATTGTCAGCATCAGCAAAATAATCTGAGGGAAGGACAAATAACCCCCCTGCCAGGCTTGTCTTGTGTGTTCTCGACAATCAACGTCCCAGAATCCATTGTCCTCGAGTTTAACTTTGGGCATTTGAATGGATCTTTCGTCACTCCATGCCCCGTACACCACACATCCTTCGAGGTCAAATAATTTCCCCAATCGAGGCAGCTACCGGCAAGTTCCCTCTGTTGGAAAGAGTTAGACCAGAGACGTGGGCCTCGATCTTCCTGCTGAACAGGACCTGGCGGCGGTGATCATTTTGCTGCCTGTGCAAGCGGCGTCTGACCCAGATCCTTGATCAGGCACAAGTATGCATGTTCAAAGACGCCCCATGTCTCCGCGTCATTGTGCTGGAGCTTATGGCGAATGCGCACTACTCATTATTTTGCAGGAAGTGGTCGGTCCAACCCTTCTGGACGATGGCACATGCATTCCATGGGAGCGATGCAATCAAACCGGATCCGAACGAAGCCTCTGCCCCAGCCTGGGAAGCGCACAAAACAAAGACCACATCCGTGGAAAGCACTGGTCAACGTAGTTCGAGGTCTTGTCTGGATTCTAGATCTTCTTTGTATTCAAAGCGAATATGTCACCACTTGAGCACGTTTCTCGACTTTGGTGGAAGCATACCAAGTACAGTTTCTTCAGTCAGAAAAAAGGTAAATTCAATAGACAAAGCAATGCTAGCCAGCTGTCCATCATCGTCAGCATCGTCATCAAAATAATTTGAAATTGACATGCATGATCCTTTTCCTTTTCGCTAGGAAGCCCACAAACCCCCAGCGGCTCGATAGGTAGACGAATAGATGGATGGACGAATAATGGATGGACGAATAGATGGATGGACAAATCGAACTAGGACAAAACTTGTGTGCTTCAGAAAGGTCATTGTTTGTACACAGGACGCCGACATCCTCAAATCATATACCTCTTCTCCATAGGTAGGTGGTAGGTACTTAGGTAGTAACAGATAGATATTCCAAGAAGATTGCTCTCATCCCTGTCGCGCGTCGCGAACATTGCACAAGATGCTGCTGCTGCCGTCGCTGTCGCTGCCGCTAGAGAACGCAAAGGGCATGGGTGAAGAGAGGTAGCCGGCTGGGAAGAGTCTGGCTGTTTTTGTTGCCTTTTCTTTCTTTCTGGGAAGTGGCCGTTGCTGCTCCAAATCCATCCATTCCACCCATCCACCCACCCATCAATCAATCAATCACTCGCACTCCTCGTCAGGTTCTTCAGCACTCTGTTTTTTCCCCTCCAGCACCGACCCCTCATCTCTTGAACATGCCCTGCACATCCTCCTTCCTCCACTCAATCTCCAAGGTTCCCTCGTATACTCTCTCGACGACCATCCTCATCCGGTCGTGGGCGTGGGCGTACCGGACCGCACACTCGTCAAACACCCTCGTGATCAAATCCTTCTTGCCGGGCCTCTCCAAGCCGGCCGCGGGAAGATCGTCCGCGTCCGTGAAGTGCTTCTCGATCCTCTTCTTCAGCGTCTCCACGCCCTTGCGCACCTCTTTCGCGTCATAGCTGCCGAGGATCTTCTTTGCCGCGCTGCGCGAGTGGGAGGGTTTGCTCGCGATCGACGTCAACGACGCCTCGTTCGTCTTCATCAGGGCTTCGGTGCTTTCCAGGAAATCGAGCCATTTGCCCAGTGGCCGGCGGATCACGGCGTCCGTGTACTGTGCTAGATGGGATAACTGATCGCGCGACGCTCGCTCAACCCACTCTTCGAGAACCACGTTGTTGTGCGTTTTGACTTCTTCGACGAAGTAGTTCATGTTCTCGATCAAGAGAATATGATAGTTCAATACCTCTTTATCTTCTGGGTCGCCGCTCGTGGGTGCGTTCGAGTGCCCTGTTGTTGTCCCGCTGGAAGAGTTGGCCGCCGGATTGTCTTTGGCGATGAAGTTGAGAGACTCCCACATGGCTTTCAGAAGTTTGGTGTACGCGTCGTTCACAATAAAGCGCACTTCAAGAGCTTCCTGGTGGGCAAATTCCTGGGGAATCATCTCTTCCACCACCGCCATGAAGTCTGGGAAAACCCTCATGAAAGAAATCAGTCCTTTCCTCTTCTTGACCTTCACCTTGGTTTCCTCTATCGCCTTGACTTGTTCTTCGACAAATTTATGGAAAAGACCGACGAGCCTCTCGTGAAGGGTCCTTACTGTCCGAGTAATGAATTCTTGGTTTGTTTCCTCATACTTGGACAGGCACTGTTCGAGCGAGACTAGGACGCCCACACCTTGCAATTGATCCATCTTGAAGACCCATTCCACCAACGCTTGGAGGTCTGAAGGCCAGAAGGAGTAGATCCCTTCCGTAGTATTCTGTACGATCTTGGCCAAATTACGATCCGGGTCGTAAGCTTGTTTGGCCTGCAAGTTGGGCAGCTTGCGCTGTTCAGGAGTCAGGCCTTGTACTAGCTCCGCAAAATCCTCATTCGACTGCGAGTTCAGATGGAAGAAATGGACGATGAAATTCTGTTCTTCCGAAATAGCCGTGGCTTGTTGTTGAAGGACCCCGTCGAATACGGCCCAGGCATCGGGCTTGCCATCTCGTCTTTCGCTGATTGAATGTCTCATAGCACTCGTCTTGACCGTCCTGCCACGTTTGACCGTCAGCTTGCGAGCTGCGGTAGAAAGATTGGACTCCTCGGCCTTCTCCTTGTCTTGGTGGGTGAAAAGGATTTCTTGCTCCTCTCCCATGGGGTGTCTGACGGTCCTTCTAAGACCCATGGTGAACTCTCGGAACTGCTCCTGGTAGATGCTCTTGACATTGATCTCGTAGCTGCCAATCAGTGTCTGCCATTCGTACTGATTGACCTCTCGTACGAAAAGCATCATGGCATTGTAGACCCAAAGCTCTTGCCGCGAGGCATTGAAAGCCCGCAGGCTAGGCGTGAAAGATGAGGCTCCGGAAGAAATGCTCACACTAGCATTTTCCTCACTTGTCCGCTGTTCAGCCATCTGGAACATGGCCTTCATGTGCTGATTGAAGCGGTTGACGAACATCATGCTCTCGTCCTTGTATTCCTCCTTCTTCTCGCGCACCGCCCGCATCTTGGTGAGGTCGGCCTCAGCATTCGTTCCCATCCCAGTGCGGTTTGCAGAAGCCGCTTGACGGAGCTTGTTCTGGCGCAAGTCTGGATCGATCGTCAGCATTGCCCTGTAGAGCAAAGCCAATGCGCGCTCGACTGCCTGAACGCCTTCAAAGTTGTCGATTGGTGCAAGTCGCAAGGCGCGAAGATCGGACGGGGGGATTGTCAACGTCCTCAGGAGATTTTGCAATTCAGCCTGCAGCAACTTCTGATTGGCAGTCTGTACTTGCAATCCTTGTCCTTGCGCCTCGATGTATTCGATATCTTCGTGCAGAGTATCGAGCTCATGCGCATAGAGCGTCAACAGCCCATCAAGCTCTTCACATTCGGCAATTGCCTTTTCGAATGCCTTTCCAAGCTCTTGTACCTTGGTCTCTTGGTGTTCGACATGGCCGAGCCAGCCGCTGGCTTGGGCACGGCCAATCTCCCTTCGAATGTCGGTCTCGAAGTTGTCCAAAAGCTGGTCATTTGCGAGTCTCCCATCCCATGAAAATTCTGCCAGGAGTTCGTTCAAGTCGGCTCCACGGCCCTCGATGACCCGTGGATCGATCCCTAAAGCTGTACAGTGCTTCTCAACTTCCGCCTCCAGCCTTTGTCGACGTTTTCTTTGTGGCGAAGATGACCGGCCCTTATCCGGGGACTCCGCCCTTGTTTCTCCCTGTGGTCCCTCGGGCTCGACAGGGATGGGCTTCGTCGTAGGCGTTTCCGGCCTGGCGACGCTGTCCGAGGTCGCGGTGCGCTCGATCTGAACTCGGGGAGGGGGTTCACTAGGCGCAAACTTCGGCGTCGGTAGGTCTTTCTCGTTTTCAGTGGTGGCTAGATCAGGGGTCCCACTCCTTGCGCCATCCGAGCTCATCCCTCTCTTCAATGGCGCCGGGACAACACTGGTGATGCCATCTGGCTCATTGGAGAGTTTTTCCTGCATCGCCTTCAACCGCGCACCGGCACCACCTTGACGGGGTTGGAATGCGCCAGCGGCAAGAGCAGCTTTTCGGAATTGATTCGCGATATCCTTGCCGGATCTCTTCTTGATCATAGGACCAAGGCCAGGGCGATGCTCCTCTTCAACTTTTGGAAGGGGCAGCGGCTCGGACGGCTCGACATCCACGGGCTCGTTTGTAGGCTTGATAGCTTCTGGCTCTGCTGTAGTTACTTCGTTGTACACAGCCTTTGGTGGTACAATGTCGTTTGCTTGTGACAGCTTGTTCTCCGCCGCAGCCTTCTCAACCACAAAGTAATCCGGTTTCCGCTGGGACTGTTCTTCTTTGTGCGCGGTCGGCGTCCCCAGTGGTGTTACGAACGCACTGTTACTCTGACTCGAGGGAGGTGGGTGCTCGGGTTTGAGATCAGCCATAGCAGAGGTGGGCTTCTTCCGCTCGGGGAAGAGTTCAAAGTCAAGTGCTGGAAGACTAGGGGGTGGTTCCGGCGCCCTGCGATCGCTCGTTGCCGTGCTCGGCCTTGAGCTGCTTAACGGTTCACTGCGACCACCATCCCTGTTTGAGTCTTGATCCTGCATAGGCCCCGTTCTTTTTGCCGAAAAGTCTTGCGTGCCAACTTTCGCGACATTCAGACCGTTGGGCCTCAGAGGCGGTGGTTCAAGGGCGGGATCGGGTCGCTGGAGTGACGATTGAGAGGCCTTGGGGCTGATGGACGGTCGGAGCGGAGCCGGTTGGAGGCTGTCGGACAGCGACGGCGTGCGCGCTTCATCGCGCTTCATCGGAGCACTGTAAGCCTGTACGCGAGAGCTATCCTGCACCGGTGCGCCTCGGTTCGGTCTCGGAGGCAGGCCCAGAGGCCGTTCTTCTGCCTGAGAAGGTGGCCGCACCGCGTCTCTGGTCGGTGGACGATATTCCTGTCGGCCAAAAGCCCTGTTTTGTTCCGGCAGCTCCATCCGACTCCCATCTCGGCTCGGAGGCGGCTGAGTGACATATGGAGATTGTGGTCGGTTTGCACTGAGAGGAGGTACGGCAGCAGTTTGACTCAGGGCTGGAGGAGGTGGAGGAGTTGGGGATGGGACGATCGGAGAGAAATTGGTCCTCGAAGTAGGGGTATTTTGGGCGGATGGTACACCGGTGATCTGTTGTAGTTCCTGCGGAGCAAAGCCTATAAGGTCTGGGAGCTTTCCTCCTGTGTACTTTCGGTATATCTTGATCAGACTCGCAATAAAGAAATCCTTCTCTTTCGGTGTGGGGGCGGACCAAAAATAGGGCTTGCCGAGAGACACGGTGAAGCCAGTATTGGATGCCCACTGCTTCTCCATCTGCTGCTGGGGGTTCGCCGGCACGAGGGACGTGTAGGAGATTATGGCGGTCAACTCGTCGAGATTCCACGTCTTGCCGATGGAGAAGGAGCCGTTCGGGTTCTCGCGAGCCTTGTGGACTCTCACCTTGCCGGAGCGTCGGACGGCAACAAGGATGACTCTGTGCTTCTTGTTGGGTTGAGGAGAGTCCGGAGGAGGAGGAGAGGATGGGTATGAGGCATCTTCGAGCACTCTGACGTGGGTGATGTATGACTCGAGTTGCATCCCCTCGGGATCTCGCTTGCTGAAGCAGGCGTCGATGATGCGCCTCTTCTCATCTTCGAATCGCGCGGCGCGAGACTGGTTGTTGTCTTGCTGGTCGGGTTGCCTCGTAGGAGGTTTGGGTTGAGAGAAGTTATGGTCGCCATTGGAAACGGGCGCAGGCTGTCGAGGCCCGGGGTAGAGAGGTTGAGGTGGTTGCTGATTCATGGTTTGGAGAGTGTGAGGTGAACAACATCATCTTCCGGCGGTGGAGAATGGTGCGAACGGGGAAGATAGATCATTCATAGCTGCTTGCAAATGTCCAGACGAAAGGACATGATCTGCCCCAAGTTGTCGTGGTTTGAGATTTGAACTCCAGCCGAAGTGTAGGTCCTCATCCAGATGGTCGAGACGTGCACCAGAAGATGAGGGCGATAGAACTGCGCATGGCATTGGCGAGCACGGAGAGCCACTAGCCGAAAGGCTAAAACGAGGGTCGAGCGGCCAAGCCCCAGCGGCCGTTAGCCTACGGTTAGCCTCCTAGGCTGCAGGCAGCCCCCTACCGGGTACCTCTAGGTATGGCTGCCCCTAGCCTGGTCCCCTATTATTCTTCGAGACACCACCCACCCACCTAATATTTGCCATATACAATCAGGTACGTAAAGGAGCGATGGCCGCACCAACGCTGACTTAAGAATAAATTCAGATTCATTCCCTACCTCTCCCCTACTATCTAATATTGCTTGGTACATGGCGCTTTTCTACATTTCTAGCAGAAAGGACGGACGGGATCCAGCCCAACGGTGCCTGTCCTACCCTCCCACAAAACGCCGTCCATATAGATCTCTCCTGGGTCCTCGTGAAACTGGGAAATGTCGACGCCCGCTCTAGCACCATTTCCATGCTTCCACCGTCTGGGTGAACGCTTCTGGCATTGGTGATTGTGCTTGATAGCGTCTTCAGCTTCAGACGCATCGGTGATGGCATCGTGTGTTCTCTTCCGAGGTCCTTCCAGAACGGCGTCAAGAACGGCCCCGATCCGTGCCAGCCGATTGTCTTTCCCCCATTCAATGACATTACGGACAAACCTGCGGAGCAGGAGGTAGTGTTCAGGCCTATAAACCAAGAGTCCATCGATTTGCTGAGTGTAATATTTCCCATCGCCTTCTTTCCACGAGACAAAGAGGCGGGCTTCGCTCCCGTTCATGGCGATGCTGAAGACGGTGGTGTCCACGGGCTGAACAGTTCCGACATCGAGCCCATCGATGTGTCTGTTGAGCTTTCGATCATATTGATACAGGCGGCCGCGCCTCCAAGACATTGGTTTGTCGCAGCCCAGAGGCTACCGGTGGTGGAGCCAGGCGCGTCGCCCTTGAATTCGATCCAAAGAAATGGATAGATGAGATTTTGGCTATTGGCAGTATAATCGATATCCATCATCTTAAACAATTGTGTTTACTGGCTCGATGTGAAGGCTTCCTAGTTGTAGCCATAGAGGATATCCGGCTTCGACTGGCTCAGTCTAAGCTTGATGTCCGGATCAAATGAGTCGGGAATATGTTCTCTGCGCATGGGGAAACCTCCAGACGCCATACCGAGACCTCCGAGTCTTCTTGACTCCGTGGGACCTTTGAAAACACATATTTGAAAGTGACGAATCACCATGTTCTTAGCGCCGTTCTTATTAGTGAGGTTCGTTAGATCGGTTACGTTCCTGATATAGTCAACTTCCGGTTCTCCCGACTTTGAATACTGTTTTCGGTCCTCGTCTAACGTTTCCAGCCGGGCATCAACGTATGGAATCAGAGAAGGGCGTTGGGGGCTAAGGTATGTTGTAAGTTCTGGAGCACGAGATTGTGGTTGATGGAGTCTATCCAGGCGGGCTGCTTCTTGAGGCGATTTTAAGCCATCGAGTAGGACAGCCCTCCTGGGCGAATGTCTCTCTGTGACACCAGACATTTCGATTTATCCCGCAAAATAAAGAGATATGGATGACCTCCGATTAGTCTGAGCTGCAATATAGACGCCGTCGACACCTTTGTTGTAGGTAGAGAAACGATAGAGTGATCGAGCGGAACGTTCTTGACGCTTTTGTTGTTGGCAGAGACAAAGGACGAGTTGAGTGAATTGTGCTTGCCATTTTTGGAGTCAGAGACAAAGAATAGGTTGAATGAATGTGTCTGATGTTTGTTGATCGATCGACTCGTACATGGCCCTCGCGGAGGTCTACGAGGTACTCCGTACTCGTGCCTCAAATGCCTCAAGGCTTGATATGCCAATACCTGATCTAGTCCTATTAAGGGATAGTACGGACTAACCACGTCGGAACTGGGAGCGCTCTGATTGGCAATACTGGAATAGCGCTGCTCTAGCCGTACAGTGAATACCCAAAAGTGGAGCGATCTGGCTGCGCCAGTTGAGACGTCAGGTTTGATCCATGGTTTGATGGGGATGAAAAGGGGGCTTCTCTGCAACCATGGAGGGACACCAGTGGTGAACTTCGCAAGAGGGACAAGGGACAACTGGAAGATGAATCGGTCAATCACCACAATCCAATCAGTCTCATAGATCACCCGCACACTTCTATCTTGCAAGGGCTGGTATCCCCTGGTCTCTTTCCTATCTCTTCCATAACTCGACAGTGTCTCGCTGCACCCATTTCGGGAAAAAATGGATAGATACAGCAATCTCAAAAGGCCCAGCCAAACAAACATCTTCCCATTCTAGACAGACACTGATGGACCTTGACCGTCATCCACCTGGCCCTCACAAAGATCCGATCCCATTTCCGTATGAACGCCAGGCTGAAATGGATGAAGAACACACAGAGTATCGTGGTCATGATTTGCCGCAAGAGCCGGCCTTGCTCTTTGCGCCCCTGAACTCAGCCCGATCCAAAGATATCCCTATTCAATGCCCTGAAATATAGCAGCTCAACTCGTTTCCCCCATCACTTTTCAAATAACTTTGCACTGTTTTCCACCATCCACATCACCGCCTCATTCTTCATCTTCGTGTCACTGAGCTCCCGGTTCAGACTCTCCGGTCTCATGATGGTTGGCGCAAACACCACGGCGATGTTCATGCTGGTCATGAGATTCTCTTTCTCCTGTTGGACCACCCGGGCAAGGTGTCGAATCAAAAACTCCAAGGTCTCGAGGTGGACCCTGGGCAGATCCTCCAACGCTCGTTGCATAGCGTCGATTCTGGCCGTTTTGTCCTCAATTGTCGTAGTGTCAAGGAGTTTGTCGTAGACATCGAAGGTGATGAGTGGGGTGGGTAGCCGACGGAAATACTGTTTCAGTCCAGAGGTGACAGCGTGGATGTCGAGATCGGGATCGGAAAGATCAAACTCCTTCGAGGGGTTCTCGAACCAGTCTTTCACTTGCTGCACCTGAGAGTTACCTCCGGATTTTCGGTAGATGCCTTCGACATCCATGCCTGATGGCGGTCAGCGGTGCCAGATCACTAGCATGTCGACAGTACTCACCACGTGACTCGACTTCTTCGACACACCTCCTCACAATGGCAGGAACTGTGCTCTTCTCATATTCAGCCCGCTGTTCGAGCTCAGAGCCAAACAATTCTGTTTTCAACGTCAGCGGAAGCATACTTACATCAAAGCGAGGCTCCTTACGTGCGCCAGCCTCAGCCAGTAAAGACGGTGTGCTCGCATTGGCTTGCGTAGCATATAGCCCATTGGACTTAGGCGCGACTTTCTGCGTGCTGAAGAAGCCAAAGCCACTTTGCTTGACAGGTTCTGGGTTAGTTCGCGGCAGACTCGAATATTCTTGGCCAGGCCCAGTCGTCGATCCATAGGCCCCTGTTTCCGCAAACTGTAGGTCTCGGCTGTAGTTCTGTTGAGTGGAGGAAAAGGCTCCTTTCAGACCCTTCGTGACGCCTTTGGCGACCTTCTGTCCTTTTCTCCAGTCAAATTTCCTTGGTTGGCCTTTGCGGATGTTCACCATTTGAGGACCCTGAAGGACGGTCACTGGTTCTGCTTCACCTTGTAAAGTACTTGTTGAATCAATGTTGGTCAGGTCGGTGGACATGTTGCGTATTTCCCTCGAGTCAAAAGAGACGTTCGACTTCTCTTTGTGGTGAGAATAAATCCCGAGTCCGTTCATGGCCGACTTTGGCTGATCAGCTTGTGTGCCAGAGTTGGCCTTGTATAGACCTTGGATCTGGTGCACCAGTTGATTGTTGAGCTCCGCCAGTTGGGCATTCTTTGACGATAGCTGCTCAAACTCCATGAAGCTCTTATCTTTCATTTGAGTGAGATTCGCTATCTCGTCGACCAGATCATTTCGTTTCTGGATCGAAGCCTCGATCTGAGGTGCGAACGAGTCCTTCAGCTTTTCCAACGCCTCTGCAAAATCACGCAATACAACATTGCTCAATCTGCCAAGGTCGAATCGCTCGCCGCTGTGCTTCGCAGCCGCCAAATGTTCCGTAAGAACCTCCAACTCTCTTATGACGATCTCTTTTTGCGTATCGAGTACCACTATCGTCGATCTCTTCTCCTTGAGTTCGACATTCACTTGTTTGATATTTGCGGCCGAATCGAGCTGCATTTCCAGTTCGGTTATCCTCTTTTCCCGCTCAATGGTTTTCTGCCGCTCACGTCGAAGCTCATTCTTGAACCAGGCGAGTTCATCGCGATTTTCAGGAGAAGCAGTGCTGGGACTGCTGATTTCTTGACCGATTGACGAGATGGGCATAGCCGGTGATCGGGGCCAGCGGTCTTTCGAAAGCCGACCGGTTTTATCACTGTAGCTGCGACCATGGCGAACAGAGTTCGAAACCCTCCTAAGGAATGATTCATGCGCGCTGGGTTCCTCACCGCCCATTATCCGGGCCATATCCTCGTCCATAGTGAACTCCCCGCCTGCCGAATACCTAGGTAGACCCGGAGACTTGAAGCTATCTCCAGATCGCTGATTCTCAGACTGAAGAGTGCTGAAGGATTCGTTTCGCGACCTTGAGTGATCGAAAGGGGGTAGTGGTGGTATCCGGGGGTCGACAAAAGATTCGTTGCCTGACTTGCCGGCATTGTGAAGATCTTGAATCAGAGAATCATCGGCGGCATCGAAGATAGCCCTTGAGTTCGGTGAACCTATTGGGCCAGAAATGACCTTCCCACCATTTGCTTTGGCGAGATCGGGTGCAGGTTTCGGGGTGGATGAGCCACTATTGATGCTGCCACCTGATGGAGGACCAATATTCGCCGCAGCGCCCAATTCTTTACGAGGTATCGTTTGAGTTCGCTTTGCACTGTCCAAAGAATCGCCTCGCTTAGGCAGATTTTGCAAGATCGAGGTCGCGGGTAACGGTGCCGCCTTGGGAGAACCGTGCGACCCACTAAATGCCGGACTCGAATCGTTCGACAACATGGGTGTCGAGTAGTCGCGATCTGATGGTGACCCAATATCCGGGACCGTCAAAGGTTTGGCGGTAAGTTGCTCCATGGGATCAGCAGAGACGTCGGCTTTAGGAGTTGAACCCTCTGAGCGCGATCCGGGCGTCGAGGTGGAGAACTTCTTGGATTTCGGTGCTTCTTGCAGTTTGAATCTTTCATTGTGTTGCGCCTCGTTGGGGTGTACAATCTGCGACAACCGTGGGGAACCTTCCGATCTCTTCGGCTGCTCCACCGGGATGTAGGGTGATGCGGTGGCAGAACCCGATCTGCTCAGATTTCCTCCTTTGCGGGTTTGCTCCACAGCCTCTCTCGAAGGGAGGCGGCCTTTCTCTTGGTAGGCGATATGGGGACTTGAGGTATTCGATTTAGAGATTTGTGGCTGGGCAATTGGCGCTGCGGATTTGCTCGTAAAATAATCGGTGGGCTTCTCCTCCACTGTTCTTTGTAATGTTTGACTAGAGATGCTGGGCGACTGTGTCGCAGGTTGTGGGGTAGGGTCAAAGGCAAGCGGTATCAGAAATTCTTCACCACCTCCGCCTCCCGATAAATCTGATCGTTGCGACATCATAGAATGTCGATTGTTGCGGAATGTTGTCGAAGGTAAGGTGAGCATATCTAGAAATAGACTAGGATCAGCATGCGAGCAGGAAGGCTTCGAGATGAGTCGCTTACCGCGCGGATGGTTTTGATCCGATGTAGATGGCCTCGAGTCCGAGTCTGCTTGCAATTCGCTGACAGTCTTACTCACAGAAGGTACACCCGCTATAGGGGGCTCTGCATAGACCTCGGGAAAGGGGGACGACTGGCTTTCCGGGATGTAGGCGGTCTTCCTGGCTTCTGGGGGCGGAATCGCGGGCAAAGACTTGTCAAGCTGGACATTGTTTGACATTTTGGAGCGCTGCGCGGTGTTCTTGGCCGTCTTCTTGCGTCTCCTGGCCATTAGAGCCTCGTGGCAGTCCATGCAGAATATGCCCTGCGACGTCCTGGCATAGCGTAGATTTTCAATCTTCCTCTTGCAGTTCCTGCACTTGAAGCAATTGGCGCAGAATGCTTGATCTCCGGTCAGAATTGCCAGATCCTCAATCTTGTTTCCGCAATTGCTACAACTGTAGGTGCAGTTGTTGCATATCAGAGATCCATCGCCCAGAAGAAGCAGATTTGCGTCGGAATCGAGGAGGGTGCCGCAGGTATTGCACGCAAAGCAGTCAATGTGCCATCTGTTACCAGCTTGGCGGTGTTAGCTATCAGTGTGTTCCAACAAAATCCGTCAGGACGGGGGCATGTTACCGAGCTCGAATGCTTTGCCTTCCTCGAGTATCTGTTTGGTTCTCTCGTCAGCTGTTTGTCCGGGGAACAGAGATGGAGCGTTCTCACCTTTCCACAGCCTTTGCAGGGGTACGCCTCATCTGGCTCCATGGGGGAGTCAGGGAAAGCCACAGGGGATTCCATCGCGGTGGCCATTATGTCCTCTGTTATCGGTATGTGCTGTAGATTGTCGACATATGGTGGATTTATGTCCACATGAGATCGCCGTTTCAGAGGGACAAGATGATTTTATAGCATTAATAATCCCACTTTTTTCCCGCTGCAAACAAAGCTCAAACACCTTCAAGTCCTGTACATTGTGCGGCTGGCGAAATTATTCTAATTCTTCTGATGGATAGGCAAGGTCGTGTGCTGACCTGCAGCTCGGACAATTTGGAGGGACTATCGATGCTCGACCCGCGGCGGCGGAGGGTCGGTGTATGGTGGTTTTATCCCCTTGGTGGGCAATAAGCCAAAGAAAGTGGTTGGGAGTTTGAAGGGCAAGGAAGAGAAGATGCTTCGAGTAGGCTATCTCTGTATGTCGTACAAGAGCAAGCGGAGAGAATCAAGGTAAACAAGTTGTAAGGATCGTGGGTGGTTCAGCTCGTGCAGCGAAGGCTGGGTTGAGGAGAGTGAGAGACCGGGGTGTGGTTGCGCAGACAGCAGCCTCTGGTGACGGGGGGTGTCAAGTCAAACGGTCAACGAAGGATCATGACGGGGCGATTGCTCGCAGCAAAGATGATACGCAGGTGATGATGAAGAACAGGAAGGCATGGAAGAGATGACCGTTGCTGTCAATGGAGGGTGGCGGGCTGTGGGAAACGAGAGGCGTGGTGTGGAAGATCTTGCTTGCTCTGGGGGAGTTCGCGCAGAGTTCAGACGGCGACGAAAGGCTCACCAGGCTCACCTACGCAGACGGAACTGGCCTCTCAGGGTCCAGGTGGACTATTGGGTGTGCTCAAGCAAAGTGTGTGCAGGGTGCCCAGGGTACCCAGGGTGTGCCCGCGACAGACAGACGTTGGCGGGCTGGGTGGTGCGCCAGGTGCACCGTTCAGGAGACTCCAGGGCGCCCCGTTTAGTTAAAGATGGGCGAGCTAGTGGGCGACGCACGCCCAAGTGCCCCGCTAAAAGGACCTACACGCGCAATCGCGCGAGTGAGTGCACCCAAGTGGCCAGTCGCTCCAGTGGCTTTGCTGCACCTAAACTCTTGTCGCATTGCTAGTCCCGCTTGATCGCATTTGATCGCTTGGATCGACTCGCACCACCGGGGCATTTTTAGCAGTCGTCCTGCGATGGCGAAATGACTAGTGGGCGTAGCGTCAACACAGTCAGAAAATCTAGTGAAGCGTCCATCTCAGGGGGTTTGGGGAGGATGGACGCGAGATGCAGTGCGCAATCACACTGTCCACCCGCCATCACCACGCCAGAGGTGAACAGCATGTACTCCGTATTACCTCGTATTAATACTAATAGGTAGTGCTGGCCTCAATCGAGCTGGACTGGCAGTGACCTGGTCATCAGTCAGTCAGTCGGTGCTGATACTCAGAAGTACATGAAAGTGCCCATGGTCGCCCTCCAGCGTGGATACCTCATCTGTGCAATAATAACCAGCACATTCCTGCCAATATCTCCCGCCGTCTCTGGCTTACGTCTTCTGGCACTGATGGGTCCGATTCTAGTAGGAGTCTTCAGGTTGCGTATCACCACCATGGCAGATTACTCCAGGCCGCGTGCAGAAGTCTATGTTTCACTTGGCACAGCCCCTGAACTCCAGCTTGGGCCACCTCAGCCTGGTCTGATGCGTCTTGCCTCACCCCTCCCCGACTACTACCTGGGTACGTAATAGGTGCTGATGGATGATGAGCATGGGGGCCATCAAAAGGACACTGGCTGAAAGGCGAAGAAGCAATTTGGAAAACAATTTGGATTCATCTGCTCTCTATCCATTGCCCTGCCTGATCCCACAAGTATCCAGAAACGCCACTTATCAAAAGCCCGTGGACATGTCCTCTGGGGTTCTTTCCAATGCCAGCACACTGCTCGTAAGACGTCGTCGAGACTGACCTTCATGATGTGAATAACGATAATAATAATAATACAAAAGCACTTTGCTGAAAACCACAACCCGAAACCTCCTGACTCCTTGAACTCCAGCAGTGGATTCGACACCAGCCTCCATACTAACAAATAATGGTGATAACAATACGTCAGACGACCCACTCAATAGGGTGATCCAGCAACGTCGACATAATAATGAATCAAGTTCTTGTCTGACTCCTTCTTGAAGTACTTGTAGAACCTGGGTTCGGGTTTGATAACGGCATGAAGGTTGATGCAAAAGTTCATGACCGCTCTTTTGATGATGGATGTGTAGGTGGCGAGGAGGTGTTCAGCAAAGGCGGCAAGGCGGTCCTCTTGGATCTCGTAGAGATTCTCGTTGCGGGAGACAACGCGGATGAGGAGAGCGTTAAGGATCTTCAGGCCAAAGTCCATGACAATAGGGAGCCTGTTTGCAAAGCTCGGCTTTTCGGGGCCAAAATCCGACGCCAGGCTTTGGAGGCTGTTGTGCAAAAGAGTGTCCGTTGACTTGGGGGTAACAATAGGGTCATTCGTGGTAAGGATATACTCGATCTGTTCAAGCGTGTCGAGGACGGCATCGATCGTAGGGAGGAGGGTAGGACCCGTGTGGCTGCACAGGAGAAACGCACCGTCGTCAATGGCCGAAAGCACGGATGCATATGACGAGCTGTGGTTGCATCGCGCAATGAGGAGGGCCGACAGCGTCATTCCAGGCTGGGGTTCTGGCCACAGTGGATATTGTTGGAAGAGATGTACCAAGGTGATGAGAATCGTGTGTGTGTTATAGGCGGGATGGTTGATGTTGGCGCGCTTTTCTCGGGATTCGGTAATCATATCCAGCGACACCATGTTGTTGATGAGTAGTTCAAAGAGTTCTCTATACTGTGCGTATCTGATGATCAAAGCACCGGGGTTTTCTTCAATCAGCTTCCGGAGCCTGCGGTAGCCGAGAGCGTCGAGGCTGGACCGTCGAAGTGCCTCCATCGCCATCATGAGCGTCTTTTTCTCGGAGGCAAGGCGATCGTGTTCGGGCGAACGACGAGGTGATCTCTTTGGAGATCGTTTCTTGCGAGGACGAATCACCATGGCATTTTCTTTGCCATCAGATTTGATCGTCTCATAACTGGATTTGGTGACCGTCTCATAACTGGATTTGGGCACGGTCTCTGGTACTGTGTTTGCGGTGTTGTCTTTTGCGACGGAGGATGCCGATGTTACAGCACGGCCACGAGACTCAGGGCGTTGGGCACTGCTGGCCGAAGGCATTGGAGTGGCAACGATGCGTCTCCTGACTGGTGCTGAGAGAAGGGTGGGTTTCTTTTCTGCGTCATCCATGCTGCCAAAGATTTTGAAGTCGTCTGATTTCATGGGTTCGGGAGTCAAGCCACGTTGTTGGGACGACTCTTGACTTTGAGCCATGCGCTCTTTGTTCTGAGCTTTGATGGAGGCAAGTGCTGACTTTGGTCTGGCAGGTGCGTTAGCTGCGTTGAGTTGCGAAGCAGCAGTAGCAAGCGAGGGCCTGTCGGGGTTGTGTGGATCGGCTTTCAAAGCCTTTTGAGCATGAGTGTTGAGGTTATCCAAGATGGCGCGGGCAGCTCGCGGGTCATATGAGTAGAATCTCCAGAAGGCGGCACGGGTATTCTCACGAACTTTGACTTGTCCATCTGTGAGACCTTGGAAAATGGCCTTTTCACAAGCAGGACTGTCCTTTTCGCGGTCCATCTGAGAGCGGTAGGTGTCGATGAGGATGCGCAGCCACTCGGGCGCATAAGTGCGGGGAGGGATGCGGTTGTCTTTGAAGGCAGCGCAGACATGGTAGAAGAGCCGGGGGCTGTACCCGGCATGTTCACAGATGATGATGATGGCGTCATTGGCGTTTTTCTGATTGACCGTCTTGGTCGAGCCGCAAATGGCAATGAGGCCTGGAAGGAGAAGATCGAGTTGTGACTGAATTTGAGTCTGAAAGTGTTTTGCAATGTTTTTGAGAGCTCGGCAGGCTTGAGCAGACAGAGTGGTGCGCTCAGAACCGGCTGTGGTGACAATGTGAGGTAGGATGGCTTTGACTTTCTGGACAAAGTCGGTTGGGATGGTGCTGTTATCCTTGCGTTTCTCGAAGATGTCCGAGAGCTGGGCGAGAAGATGCTGGCGCTTTTTCCAGCTCTCCTCAGTCTCTGGAAGGGTGAATTCGTAATGCAAGAGGTTGAGCACATCAGCATAGGTCTTGCCGAGCATCTTGGCTCTGGCGCGTGCAATGGCAAAATAGACGGCTTTTCCAATAGCAGGGATGACAGTGTCGACCTTTTTGACTGCAGAGTCGACCTTTTTGGCTGTCTGTTTCAATCCTCTGGCGGTGCTGGCCTTGGCAGAGTCGACAGTTTGCGATGTGTGGTTGAATTTTCTGGTGGTACTGGCCTTGACTGTACAAAAGCAAGTTAGCAAATGAAGCACAACACAGCCATTTAAGAACAACAAGGGCATACGCCAAAACAAGCGGTCACGGAAGAAGGCCATCTTGTCTCAATCGCGAGATACTCAATGGTATTCTTGGACGGGCTTGGAAGATAGAGGGTTGATGGGAAAGGGAGAAGAGTGATGTAAAGCGGTAAACAGGGTAGAGCAATGAAGCAGTGCAGTAGAGGCGATTTCAATTGAACAGCATACAGCAACAAGTGTGATCTCTTGAGTATGGGTGTATGTCTGTGGGGGGAAGTCTTCACGAAATCGACAGGGGGGAAACCGGGCCATTATATGAGAAAAATTTCACTCATACCTGATCAGGGTGTCGTCGGGAGGCGAGGGGATCTGCGATAGAAGGTCGGGCTGTTCATGGATGTCGACGTAGGTTCCAAAGGTTGAGGGAAAAGGTTGCTGGCAGAGGATGGTCGAAGGAGAAGAAGGGCGACGACGTCGTGGTTCGTGTTGATGTTTTGGCTCCAGCGACTCGGAGCGGGAAGTTGGAGCGGGCTGGCCTTGGCGCGGAGAGCCAATCAGAACCCGCCACCCGCCTCACCAGCCTCAGCCTCCCTTTGGAACGCCAACCTCTGGCCACCTCCAACACACGAACCATTGACTACTTCTTCCCTCGGTCTCCATTTGTCGAGCTCCATCTCTCAATCGAAACATGGCACACCTGCCATTGACTACGCCTCCCCCGGACGACGCGGCCGCTCCTGTCATCCCTCCCCAGCTACATCACAAGCCCGTCCTGCGACTTCACCTCGACGACATTGGTCACCCGGCTGCCCAGGTGGCTTGTAGTTCCCTGGATGGAGGCCTATATTTGACGCGAGCCATTGAACATGTCGTCACGATCTTGTACAGACCTTACGGCTTGAGCGACATCCCCAGAGTCAGATCGGTCACGGTGGTCCTACGCGCCATGGGTGGAGTCGCGTACACCACTGGATTGCCACTGGATGACCTCCACAAAGAGATCCATCTGTCCCTCGACTACGTGCACGGCGTATTGTCACACAACTCAGCAGGGCTCCGCCACGAGATAGCTGGGGTGATCACGCATGAAATGGTTCACTGCTTCCAGGGCAATTGCCAAGGTACTGCGCCAGGTGGGCTCATCGAGGGCATTGCAGATTTTGTTCGATTAAAGGCTGGACTCTCGCCGCCGCATTGGAGCAAGTCGCCTGAGAACAGAGGGCAGAGATGGGATGAGGGTTACCAAAAGACCGCGTGGTTTCTAGAGTGGCTGGAGGAATTACGAGGGCCTGGTACTGTAAGTCGGATGAACGAAACCATGCGGAGGGGGAGGTATCAGGAGCACAGGTTTTGGAGTGATATCTTTGGGGAATCCGTGGATCGGCTCTGGCTCCGCTACAAAGCAACATGGGAAACTGCAGTTCAAGAAAACTCCCGTCCAATGGTCGGGGAGCAAAGCAGCGATGGATCAGAGGTAAAGGATGTGGAGCATCAAGAAGAAAAGTAGGTGGTGGTTCAAGAGCAAAGAAAACCAAAGCAATTCGCCGCCTAGCATTTGTCATTGCGCCACGCGCGCTCCACTGAGTCGCGACTAATTTGTTGGCCACGTTTTGGGATGTTTTTAAGGGATCTAGCGAGCGAGTTTCTGATCAAGACAATGGAATGTGAGAGAGATGGAACAGATGGAGGGACAGAGAGGCAAAGGGCGAGACAACCTCAAGACTCGACATAGACACGAGAACACTACCGAGCTTCGAGACAGACTTTGGACCATTGGGCGCGGTATTGATGCTAGGTGTGCTGGCAATGGGCACGAGGCTGAACGCGGTGTCCGTATTTTTTGAGTGGGTACCAAGCCTTAAACCAAACATCAGTATTTTCCCTCCAACAGCAAAAGGCAAAGGCAAAGCAATGGTAGAAGGAGTGGGGTCAGTAAAAAATTAGAGTGTTGTTGCATGATTTTGTTCTTCATGGAGCAAACAAGTTCTCGGGGTTAAAAATGGTTCATCACATAGTTGAATTTGAGGTGTGAGGAGGAAAGGAACACCGCTTACCCAAGGATACTCGTAGCAGAGAAGTCATGGTCCAGCTTATCAGGTGCGAAAAGTTCTGATCGGTATTGTGTGGCAATCATGCTATTGCACCTATGTTGCACGTCTATTGCTCTAGCTGTGGCCGCCTCAAGCATTTCATTTGCATGTGCTCGCGCTAAAACCCGCCAACTTTCGAGGTGCTTAGTCGAACAGACCACCGAAGCCTGGTACGTGTTAGCTTAGACTGTTTGATCTTTGTGGCAGGGCAGTGCTTACCCTCGTCGTCAGACTCTTCCTTCTCCTCTTCCTTTTCTTCTTCCTTGGCCGCCGCCGGTGCAGCCTCCTCGGTAACGGCCGCAGCCGCCGGCGCAGCAGCAGCGTATGCGTCAGGGTTGGCGATGCGATCCTTGAGCTCATGAATTGCCTCCCACTCGTAGTCAATCTCAATGGCAACAGCGATGGCTTTCTTGTAGCCATTGATCAAGCTGTGGATGACCGAAGGAAGAGTCGGGTAGTTGGCGGCCAAGGAAATGGTGGTGATGGTGGTGATCGCCGATGTAAGTGACTTCAGCAGTTGACTCTCCTCAATGTCCAACACATCCGGCGAGAAGGTTTGTCCTTCCTCATACACCTGTTGCACTTTCATGCCGTAGGTGAAAGGGGAAATGTTCAACATGTTGAGCAGGGTGGCTTCTGAGGCACCGACTTTTGCGCCGGCCTCGACCAGCTTGAGATCAGTCGTGATTTCAATGGTACCACGAGCAATCTTGGTGGGAACACCGAGGGCCTGGAAGAAAGATGTCTTGCCGGGTTCCATGCCAGTGTTTCCAGCTGGAACGTACACATCTCCGGGAGCAACGGCACCAGCACGGGCAGGAGCTGCGACACGGTTCGACAGGATCTTGTCACGAATGGTCTTCAGGTCACCATTAGTGAAGATGAATCCAACGTTTCCTGCCAAAGGTCAGATCAATATGTTCCTTTCTCTTTTCGCCTTGAAACTCGGAGCGCACCCTTAACATGAGGCAGCAAACGTTCGTACTCCGGGCTGTCGGCGATGAAACCCTTGAGAGCTCGTCGGACCATGGTGTTCTTGCCCATCAAAACCACGGCTTCGCCGCGCAGGTTGTGGCGGATTTCGTGCATCTGTTGCGACGAGACATTGTCGACACTGACCTGTGGACTTGTTAATTGGCTGGCCGATTGGTGTTTTCAGGAGGACTTGCGATAAAGATGGACTTGTACTCCTCGAGCAAGCCCTTGAGCTTGTCGAAGTAGACAGCTTTGGTGCCGGATTTGCCCCCCATGACTTCTTATGGGATGAAGTTAGGATATTTAAGGGCAACTGATGGGATTATGATGAGGTGGTTGTGTTGGCGGTCGAGGTGCAACTTTTCGGACGGTCCTTGGGATTATTTTTGTGAGTGCGATCTCGGTCACGTGAACTAGCCTTGGCATCAACGGCGAATCATTTCATCGGTAACCGCACTGCCAAAATTCATCGGGTGTTGAAGCAGTTCTCGTTCCCGCCTGGAATTGATTGATTCTGTCTTGGTCTACTTTGCTCCAAGTCTCCAGAAAGATATTCCAGTCGTGTTAGGACTCTATACAGGGAATATTCCTGCAAATACTCAAACCAGCCCCGTCCACCGTTGGAAGAGACGGCTGAAAAGCAGCAATCAAATATCTAAATGGTCCCTTACCCATTTCAAAAGCTATGCTGCGTTCAGCCGGTGGACGGTCAACAACCATTCCTGCTGGCAGCTTCAGGACCAGTCATAAATTCGCTCGACTTGAAAGACGGATCATTAATGAGCCGTTGGCTGCCTTCTGATGGCGAGGACGAAGAGTATGAGGGGGCCAACCCCAACGGCGAGGATGCTCGACCCTCAAAGAGGCGAAAATTGGGGGAAGGAGATCGTGGGGAACCCTCCCATCAGGAGTCAGAAGACTCGATTGAAATCATCTCGGAGAGAAAAAAGGGTGAGCGACGGAAGCCCAAGGTGGAAGACACCACACTGCCGAACGTCTCTCATATCATCGCTGCCAGTGACGGAAAGACGGCCATCTGCGTTACTGCAGAGGACAAGTCAGTCCTTGTGTTCGATGTACTGGCGGGAGGGGTTTTGAAGTTGAAGAGTCGCAGGTAAGTTCTGCCTGAGTGGGTGAGCTGGCTGTGGTGCTTAGTTTCATGAGGTCAATGCCCAAGCGCATATGCGCAATAGTCCTAACACCGGACGAGAAGAGTCTTCTCCTAGGCGACAAATTTGGCGATGTCTATTTGTTACCCTTACACCCCACCGCCGGGTGGACACCGCAAAAGCTTCAGGACCAGCAACAGGCGACCAACTCTCCCTCTGCGTCAGAGCTGACGGTGCATACAAAGGGCAACTTGGAAGCCCTAAGGCAACAGCGCCTACAGAAGGCGGCCCAACCCAAGAAGGATGGCCCTCAATTTGAATGCAAGTTGTTGCTTGGCCATGTGTCCCTCCTGACTGATGTCGCCATCACTGAAGTCCAATCCGGGCTCAAGCGTCGCCAATACATTCTGACAGCGGACCGGGACGAGCACATTCGCGTGTCTCGGGGAATATCACAAGCTCATATCATCCAGAACTATTGCTTTGGCCATCGTGAATTCGTGAGCAAGTTGTGTATCGTTCCCTGGAATCCGGAAATCCTTGTAACAGGAAGCGGCGAACCTTCTGTGAGGGTCTACCAGTGGCAGACTGGGACATTGCTGGATCAGGAACTCTTTCAAGGCGATGTCGGGAAAGACTTAGTCAACTGTCTAGACTTGCAAGGCGGTGGACGTTCCCTAGAAACCTTGGCAGTGTCCAATATTTGGCCTGTCCATTACACCGTGTCAGGCAACTCACCACGTTCGCGCCAACCTCCCCATTTCCTCCTGGTTGCCCTTGAAGGGTAGGTGATGACACCCCGGACTTTTCAAGCTGCGGCTGAATGTTTTTCTAGACTCCCGATGCTCCTGAGCTACAGCATTACGCAAGAAGGTCGCTTGAGGCATCACCAAACCTTGACGCTGGGGGGAAACGTGTTGGATGTGGCGGTCGGCCCAGCGCTGTGGGGAATTGTTGTGAGTCTTGACACGGCGCATGAACTTGGTTCCGTCCAGGCCTTGAGACCTGAGGCGGCGCCAGCAGCGGATGCATTTGAGACATTCGAACTCTTCTCCAACCTGCCCGCCGACGAAACCCACTCGAGCAACCCAGTGGAGGGCTCGCCCGAAGCGGACCTGCGATGGGAGACTTCCAGCCTCGCCATGCTTCTAAATGCTTCGGCCCTGGACTGCGCCAGCGGTACGCTGCCGTCAGAAGGTCGGGCCAAGGACAAAGGGGCATACAGCGCTGCGGGAGAGATGCTGTACGGCCTGGAAAATCTCCGGAAGAAAAGGGGCCAGGCCGGGGCGGAGGCTGAGGACGAAGATGCTGGAGAAGGTGGTCCAGCAGAGGTAGAAGGGATGTCGTGATCGAGGTTGTCTCATATAGCAATCAATTATGACTCCTCTCTCGAAGATATTTGAGACTGCAACCACAATATGATGGACCAATAAGTTACCAAGAACTCGATGCTCCTTGCGCAGACGCAGCCTCAGCCTTGCTGCGAGGGGAAACTCTGGGTCTGCTATGTACCTGCAAGGCTGGCAAAACCTCGGCGCGATTGGAGAAGGAAAAAAGTCATCGCCCCTCTCCGCATCATCATTGAGCAGCCGTCGTGACCTTTTTCCGAAGCTCAACCACGAGGTAATAACTGTAGGTCTCCCCCCCCCCAGCACGGAGCAATCTGCAATCTCTGAGGACAATTTATTCTGACGATATTCAAAAGATGACGAAGAATTGGCCGCCTCTGAAGAATGACCGACTCCTACGAGCCGCGCGAGGTGCGTTGAGACCGAGTCACACATGGCGTCAAGACGTGTGCAGGAGAACAACCCGAACAAAACCCCGACCGCTAAAACAGATGTGCAGGCGAGAAAGTTGACAGGCCACCAATATGGGTGATGCGACAAGGTACGGAGGACGCTGTTGGTGCTGTTGCTGCTGCTGTGGCAGCTGTCAGTGCCCATGCCCATGGCCCATGTCCCCCTCTGCCTCGATTTGAAATCTCTTTTTATCTCTAGTCGCCGTCTTTTCTCCTTCTCCCAGCTTCCTGCTGACATTCCGCTCTACGCCATGGATACAATACAGCCGGCCGCTATCTCCCCGAGTACCACCAGGCCAAGGGCAAGCACGACTTCTTCGAGTGCTGCCGGTCGCCCGAGATCGCGTCCACGCTGACGCTACAACCTATCGAGCGGTACGACGGGCTCATCGACGCGGCCATCATCTTCTCGGACATCCTGGTCATCCCGCAGGCCATGGGCATGGAGGTGCTGATGGTGGACGGCGTGGGGCCCAAGTTCCCGCACCCGTTACGCAGCCCGTCGGACGCGCAGTACCAGGAGATTGTGAAGCGCGAGGTCGACGTCAAGAAGGAGCTGGACTACGTGTACAAGGCCATCGCGCTGACGCGGGAGAAGCTGGCCGGCCGCGTGCCGCTGTTTGGCTTCTGCGGCGCGCCCTGGACGCTGCTCTGCTACATGGTTGAAGGCGGCGGGACGAAGCTGTTCCGGGAGGCCAAGACTTGGGTTTACAGGTACCCCGAAGAGAGCAAGGTGCTCCTGCGCAAGATGGCCGCCATCTGCGTCGAGTACCTCGCCCTGCAGGTGGCCGCTGGGGCGCAGATTGTGCAGGTCTTCGACTCCTGGGCGGGGGAACTGTCGCCCGCGTCGTTCAAGGAGATCTGTCTGCCGTCCTTAGGCTACATTGCGGAGAACCTACCCAAGCGGCTACGGGAGATGGGCGAGGACGTGGTCCCCATGGTTGTCTTTGCAAAGGGCGCGTGGTACGCTCTCGACGACCTGTGCGAGCTGGGGTACGATGTGGTGGGCCTGGACTGGCTGCACGATCCCCAGGAGGCAGTCAAGATTGCGAGAGGCAGAGTCACCCTGCAGGGCAACGCCGACCCGGGCGTGCTCTACGGGAGCCGCGAAGCCATCACGAAAGTAGTCGAGAACATGGTTGAGGGCTTTGGGGGAGGCAAGGAACGATGGATCGTCAATCTGGGCCACGGCGTGACGCCGGGCGTCAATCCTGATGATTTGAAGTTCTTCTTTGAGGAGATCCACCGGTGTACTGCATGATCTCTGCGAGGGAAAACAGGATAGACGCCGCCGCTTACGGTCCAAGGGGGCACACGGACGGTCGAGGAGAGGTTCGCTGTGTCTCATTGCTCGCCGATATCCTCATTCCTACGTAGCAAGGTTTCAGTAAGGCTTCAATTCAGTATGAGACACCAACCACAAACCAAAAGACGAGATGCTAGGTCGAAGCAATGCCGGTTGACCCAAAAATAAAAAAGAGACGACGTACCAAACATTAGGCTTCTCCGTGATAAACCTCGCCATCAGCTCCATACACTCGCTGTTCTCCAGCACCACGACCTCGACCCCCCGCGCCCGAAGGTAGTCCTCGCCGCCCACGAAGGTCCGGTTCTCGCCCACGACCACCCGCGCGATCTTGTAGAGGATGCAGGCGCCCGTGCACATGTCGCAGGGCGACAGGGTCGTGTACATCGTGGCGCCCGCGTAGGCGGAAGCCGGAAGACGGCCAGAGTTTTCCAGCGCGGAGATTTCGCCCTACAGAGACGGGAGGGGGGAGGGGGGCGTTGTTCAGCACGGAAACAATATCGAAGCGAGAAGGCCCGAGACGGGGAGGGGGAGAGAAAGTGAGAAGTGAGGCAGAGTGACAACTTACATGCAACGTGGCGCTCCCCTTCTGCACGCGCATGTTGTGTCCGCGACCGAGGATCTTGCCGTCCTTGGAGACGAGGCAGGCCCCTAATCATGTTCGCCGTCAGGTCTTCGTCAACTCTCTTTTTTTTGCTGCGCTTCTTCCCGCAGAGAGATACACATTCTTGCTCCCCCCCCCCTCTCTCCGTCACGAACGTTGGGGGTCGCAACCAGCAATCCATCACCCACGAGGGGTGAAGCATAGTAATCCCACTGGGGCACATTGCACCATGTACGTACCTATCGGGACGCCCCCTTCCGCAAAGCCCTGTCGAGCCTCTTCCACGGCGGCGAGGAAGCCGGGGTCTGTTTCTGACATGGTCGTCGCGCCGGGTCCGTTTGGGGCAAAACCCTCGGTGGGGAGATTCGGCGTGGTGTGTGTGTGTGAAAGGGGGGACAGGGAAGGGGACACGGTTATAAGCAGTAGATCATACAGTTCTCTACATATACCCAGCTTGATCCGAGACGGGGAAAGAGATGTGAGCGAGAGAGGAGAGAGAAGGAGAGGGCAAGCCTTGGGCTGGAGAGCTGGGAAGTCCGCATTAATATCAGCCTCGCCTCGCGCTCCTCCGATAAGTATATAATCGAGGTAATATGTATGTGTGCAAATTTATCCATGACCTCTACTTACTTGACGACGATGGAGACATAGATGTCCACGAATAGATGGGCTGGAAATCAAACAGCCCTTATTGTTCATGGTCATAAGATACCCCTGGCCAAAGTCGCACCCGCTTGGAATTGTTTCTATACAGGCAGAGACAGGTGGAGACATAGATAGGCATTCCTCCTAACCCTGCAGGAAATCTCCCGCCGCCTTCCTCCACGCCATCAGCACTTTCAACTCCTCACCCCCGTACCCTCCCTCAATGTCGTCTTTGATATCAAACGCCCCTTCGGGCATGATAGCAAACGCCCGGCCTAGAATTAAATGTGGATGCTGGGGTCAGATTCCGGACCAGCAGACGTCGACGAACAGGGGACACATGGGAAAGGGAAGAAGGCACCATAACAAACACAGAAAAAGCTAGGTAGGGACAAAATCTTACCGTGCAACGTCTCGTCGAGGGCAATCCGCCCCACCGCCTGTGCACACGTCTCCTTGCTCGCGAACGTGATCCCCTTGCCGTCCTCGATCCCCATTCCCTGCAGGGCTTCGAGAATTGGTGCGGTCATGGGCGTCTTGATGGCCCACGGCGCCACCAGATTCACGCGGACGCCCATCTCGTCGCGGATCCGGCGGCGGAGAGCGCGGAAGAGTCCCCTCGTGCCGAATTTGGAGGTCGTGTAGGCGATGCTGTGGTCGTCATCCAGGTAGCCTGCCAGCGAGGAGATGAAGACCAGAGCCTTTGTGGGAGTGGTGGAAGGCGCCGAGGACGAAGGGAGAGGCTGCGGCGGCTTGAGTTGGAAGTAGTGCAGTGCCAGAGCAGCCGAGTAGTAGGTCCCTTTCAAGTTGATTTCGAGGCACTTGAGCGAAGGGGCCACCGGCGGTCGCTCGAGCGTCACTTCCTGGCCGCTGCTGGTGGTGGCCTTGACATGGTCAATGAGATTCTCCATCGGATCGACGGCGGCAAAGGTGGCCACGACGTCGATGTCTTTTGCCGGCGAGAAGGACATGGCCTGCTGAAATGCCGCCGCTTGACTCTCCCAGTCGCTCACATCGCAGCGCACGTACTGAACGTGCTCGCCTGGTTTGGTGAGGGTGCTCTCGTCCAGCGGGGGCTGGACATCGGCAATGGTCACGTACGCGCCCTTTGAGGCGAACAGTTGTGCTGTTTCCAGTCCCAGACCTGATGCGCCGCCCGTCACCAAGACACTCTTGTCCTTGAGACCTGCAAGGTCGATTGGAGAGAGGAGGCTGGTCATGCTGGATACGGGTATTCGAAGCCGCCGTTCGAGCAGTCAAGACCTAGACCGGGGGGAGTCTTCAACTGTCAATATGTAGTTCTTAGTGTGTTTCTGGTTCGCACAACAGGGCCCCATCTCGATGTTACTCTGTCTGATAATAATAGAGACTCGTATCTTGGAGCTGGAATAAGTAACGCCGTACCGTTTCAGCTGATGCCCACCTACCGACTAAACCATCATCATGGGAGGATTTTCCTGATAACCATCCAGACTAGGCCCGAGGTTTGATCAGACCAAGGTTTCTCGGCGCAAGGGGCGGCCTGTATCGCTTTGGGAGCATTTGATCGAGCTGAAATGGTAGCGCGGCAAGGCAGATGTCATCACTAGCCCGACTTGATATGTGGTAGTCATGTCACCCTACTGTTGGGTCTTATCACTGGACCACATAAAGAATAAACAAGGCGGTTGACGCAATAGAATAGGCTAGAACGACTACGAGGACCCCCCGCGAACACGTCCTCGGGGGCTCCGAATAGGGTCACTCGCGGGAACTTGCGCCAAACAGCTCGGCAAAAATAAAAGTTCTATATATTTTACATCCTCCAGAAAACCCTGAAAATCCTTGTGGGAGGATGGCCGAGCGGTTATGGCGTGTGACTCAAGTGAATTTCTCGAAAGTTCCTTGGCTTCTGGACAACAGGGGCTTGTTTTCTCATGGGGAAACCCGCGTGGGTTCGAGTCCCACTCCTCTCAACTGCAGGAAGTTTTTTTTCCCTTGTCACTTTTTTTTTCCTTGCAGTGAGGAGCAAAAATCCAAACAACCAGCAGTGTGCCGAGCGCGCAACGACAGAACAACAGCGAAAAACAGCTAGGCTAGGCACACTGGCTGGTTTTTTTTTTTTGGATTCTTGCTCCTCACTGCTCTTGTAGATTACCGAAATCTACCGAAGTCGACGTCTTTGCCGGGCATCCGTCAACATCACTGACAAATAAGGATGATCTCCCTCGACTTTCTGAGCTAGGCTTCTCGCGTGGATCGTTCTCAACACACTCGTCGGGACCCGGACGAAAGCCATATGGAAAGCCTCGACGGCTGACCAAACCCGGACACGCATATGCGGGTGTGTGTGGGACATGACAATATGCGAGTCGAGTTGTGTTGAACAAATTACTATTATTCAGAGCCGACAGAGTCCCCTATCTTTGCAGCTCGCTATATTTTCCGCCCCCTATCCTTGCGCCCCATAGACGAGGATCAATCGCATACTGTCCTTCCTTGATAAAGGTTAGGTAGGCCGGCGCAATATTGAAGGTACTGGGTGAGGGTTGCTATGATGCATAAAGGCCGTGAAAGTGCCCATCTGGCACTCCTGTGATATCAGTGATACTCGGTCATGGAATTGTTCCTCGTGGCTGCGCGGTCACAGCTGGAGCAAAAACCTGGTTCGTCCTTCCATCAACCCTGCAAGGGCTTTCGGGCTCTTTCGTACTCCTCAGCCCTCTCCACCTCCTTATGCAGTTCATCCATTGACACAGTCATGACCACAGATTGAAGACCCGTGTAGTTGGTCACTTCTCCACGAAGAGCAAAGTCCCCAAGCGACAGAGATAATCCGACTCGGGCGTGGGGGTTCTTGATACCGTCCTGGTTTCGGATTTCCTGATTGATACGGTCAGTAATAGAATACAACAGACGAGAGATCATGCCAACTGACCACGCTGTCGTCGCAGGCGACGCTTTCGAACTTCCCGTCCTCACCAAATTTGGCTCTCCAAACCGAGACGCGTACCACTCCGTTCGCCATCGGATAGTCGAGGTCGATGCAAATGACAGTTCGGATCTGACCATCGCTCAACTCGACATATTCTCGTGCAAGGTTTTCTAGAGCTTGTGTAGTCTGCGAGACCGCAACTTCGCCAACCAGAATTGGGTAATTGGGGTTCTCCGGGTTGGTGATGGTCAAGTCAGGACGACGCTGGGTCTCGCGCCTATCGTACCTGGACCGATAGAGGACACGAGCAGAGCCGGTGGCACTGAGATTCGAGGCAAATTCGGCAATAGATGGTTCCGGGTGTCGTTTTGCCTGATCGATGAAAAGAATGAGACGCCCAAAGAGATAGGAAACAACGTGTTCGTGTCTGTCACCAGCCATTCTGAGCGTCAGCGTTTCGTGGTCGCTGGAATAGTCGTATCTGTGGTCTCGAAGTCAGTGATTTGTCGGGCCCAGGACATTCAGCACCGAGGATACAAAGACACGTACTTCAGCTTTCCGTCAGCGAATTCACCAGACTGCACCAAATCCTGAAACTTTTGGAACTGCTCGATAGGGAGGTGGAATTCGATACGGTCGGGCACGTCCAGGCGGGACTTTTGGGTTCGGAGCCAAAGCAGGACTTGTCGCAGTTCAGTCTTGTAGTGCTCTTCGGGAGGTGCAGGGAGTGAGTCCAATGAAGATGGCGCGGCGCCTGCGGTTGTGATGGATTGTTGGCCATGTACAAGGAGTGACTCTGAGTCCGAAGGGGGGAGGGGTGATATGGAACTGCTGTTCAGGTCAGAGCGGTCCGCAGCGATTCTCTCGGCCTGACTCTGTTGGAGCGCAGAGGCCAGAGAACGATCACGGTGTGAGCCTTGTGACTCCTGCGCAGCCATCATCAAAACTTGGACCTCAAATACCACGTTGTTGTTGTGGTTAAGAAAGTGGTGGTTTGATGAGGACTGTGAGCATTTATACGAAAGTATCTGGTAGTGGGCCAATCGGTTAAACTTTGGAATCTACGTTAAAGCAGCGACATTTCTTTCACGGGAGCGAGCAGGTTTGAAGATGCTCTGAGGGACCTCGTACAGTAACCATCAATCCAAAGGGCATTGAGATGGCGTCTTCTCTGTCAGACTATGCCACTTCTTTGACTTGGAGGTCATGAAAACGTCTGAAACATTCAAAGGGCACAAAAGCGTTGTATAGCAGTGGCTTCCTCTGCACCACCCAACACATTCTCAGACGTAAGGAATGTTCATTCATGTGGGTATTATCTATCTCTCCTGGCATAAGACGTGTCTTGTCTTGCTCGCCTGGACGCCTGTTCTCCTGTCCCCTAAACCACTATCCGCTAAATAGCAGTAAGACCTCTTTGCTAGTAGGAAGTCTTCGACAATTTGTTCCAGAAATGAACAAAGACATCGAGTTGGAAAGGTCAAATGCACAAAAAGATCAAGTCCGGACACGCAAAGGCCATAGCTATCGACGATACCATGCTCCATCGTAAAAGTACATGTTTAAAGCCATGGCAAAGCGGATCTGCAATGGTCACCTCATTAAAGAAGCTGTGAACCTGAAAGAGATTTGGAAGATTGTGATTTTAGAAAGCCATGCCTGAGCCAGGTCCAAGCTTCGACGGGCCAGCAGGAGAGTTGCGCTTCTCCCTGACATTGCTGGCAGAGTTGCTTCTTGGTCGATTTGCTGCGGCCATTGGTGGTGGACCTCCACGAACACCGTATGGTCCAGGCGACATGCTTCGACCTGGTGGTCCCATCCTCGGGCCTGGAGACATCGACCTCGGCCCTTGATTGAAGCCTGGGCTCATCGGTCGCCGCATTCCAGCCGGGCTCATTCTTCCGTTGGGGCTCATTGGTCTCCCAGCGGGACTCATTGGGCGCTGAGGGCCGCCGCCGGTTCGGGGACCACCAGCAGGAGACATAGGGCGAGAGCCCGGTCCTCCAGGTGGTGGCGGTCGAGCGTATTGGTTAAGATGAGATGGCTTAGGCTTGGACGGTTTGGCGGCAAGGCATGTTCGGGGGACCACACCTTGCTGAGATCGATCAAGTCGGATGCAGAGCGCCTAGGAATACATTAATGAACTTGTCGAATACAACACAAATATTGTCACTTACCCATCCATCATCGTACTCGTGCAGTAAACGAACCAGTTGGCCGTTCTTCAACTCAAGTTCGTCATCCATAGAGGGTGTGAAATCCATAAGAACTCGGTAGACATTGCCTTGAGGCGATTCGGATCCAGAACCGGTGGCGGAGGATAGAGCTGGAGAAGCAGGCGCCGAAGAAGCTACAGAGGAACTCTGCTTTGACGTAGGCCGCGCAAGGGGAACGGGAACAGGGCCAGGAGGCGGGGCAGGAGCCGGAGCGGTTGCAGAGGCCGGGAGAGACACTGATTCTGTGGCTGGTGCCGCCGAGGGAGCTGGAGCTGATACCGAAGATGCGATGGAAGCTGGAACCGGTTCGGGAGCAGAAGCAGCAGATTGACCTTCGCGCGGCGCAGGGGTTGCCTTGGTCTCGGCGACTGGAGCGGGCGCGGCGGCAGATGTAGCAGCAGCAGCAGCAGCACCACCCGTGACAGCAATGATAGGAGCAACAGGAGCCGCTTTCATAATGGGTGCTGTGGCACTAAGCGGGCCAGGGCCTTCTGTGGGTTTCTCGGGGTCTGCGAACGGATTCTTGGGATCAGCAAAAGGGTTGTTCGGATTGTCATCCTGGGATGGACGAGTTGGACTTGGACCACGAGGACGAGTTGGGCTGGGGCCGCGCGGTTGCGGCGAGGGACTCAAATTTCGAGCAGGGCCAGCAGCAGGGGCAGAACCTGATTCTCCGATGGTGGTGAGTAGGTTGCCGGCGCTGAGTCTGCTCTTAGAAGACGCCCCCATGAACTCGGGCAACATTCGAGAAACAGGCCGTAGACTTATTCTTGGGGCAGTTGAACTGATTGGCGGACTTCTAGTTGCCATCTCAGTGCTGCTGATTCCGGGGGCAGGATTGTGTTTCTCATTGTCTCCGATAGCTTGTGCTTCACGCTCACGCCTCTTCTTCCCGAGCAGCCACAGCAAAAAGACAGCAATAAGGCCAACAATGGCGATGACCGCAATGGCGATACCTGCTTTTGCACCTGTTGACATGCCAGAATTCGAAGTTGGCGAAGAATCGGGGGTGCCGGTGGCCGCCGCTACTGCGCCGCTGTCAGTGTTTGACACTGAGGAGAAAGTGGTTCCAGAGGCATTGTCTCGGGTTGTCGGCGCAACCAGGGGAGTCGCTGTGGTCGGTGCAACACTTGAAGCACTGGACGGTCCGGTTGTGGGAGAAGAGGCACCAGCAGAAGCCGTGGAGGCGGCACTGGGACTGGATTCCTGCGCAGTTGTCTGGGCGGCAGAAGAATCGTCACCAGTGAGAGTGGTATAGCCTCCGATGACACCGGTAAAGGTTGGCTCTGCTGTGACATAAACGACGGAATACACAGTGCCCCCATCGGTGATGGAATCTTGACGCCTGGCCAGCTCCACCACCCTGTCGTGAAAGTTCATTTTCATCTCTCCTAAGTCCACTGTCTACAGCACTCGGCTTTGATGACAGTAGTTCTGACAACCCTGATGCGGCGGATTCTTGATCGTCGCCGGGCAAGTTCAAGGGTATCAAGCAGAGCTGCGCTGGTGGTTCGAGATGTGGGTTTCGAGGACGACAATGTACAAAGGAGTGTGTCACAGCGCGGCTGGAATCGTTCGAGGAGGGAATGATTTGGTGAGGAAGGGTAAAGGAGCGGCCAGTGATGAATTGTCGATAAAAGAGGGGCGACAATTCACACTCAGAGAATAATAGGATGGAAGGGAGAAGGAAAGAATCGAACGGATGTCAACAATGGACTCGGCGGCGTCAACGACCTTCAAGCAGAAGATGCGCGAGGTAGAAGAAGAGAGAGAGAGAGAGAGAACCGAAGCTAGAGAGCGTAGGAGCGGCAGAGTGGCAGTGACGCCGTGGTGAGATAAGAAGGACACAAGGGAAAGTGGTTTGACTGAAGCTGTTTCATGCGTGGGCGCAGTTGCGACTGGGCATGGCATGGGAGAGGGATGGAGCGGAATGATTAAACGCAGGCCAGCAGGGACCCCTAAAACACATGATTGGTGTGCCTGGATTTAGACCTCATTAGCCCAAGCCACCATAACGCCTCCCTACGCCCCAGGCCCCAATCCAGTTTAGGCGGCCCTGTACCTGCAGCTCTAGTGGGAGATGAGCGAGATTGCTCCTTTTCTCAATCAAGGTTACTCCGTAGACCACAGCCACCACGGCGCCATGTCGCACATGATTGTGCCAGTCCGGGATCGGTGACAGTCTAGGTTGCAGCATGTGCTTTTCGCAACCTTTGTCTATCAATTTGGCGATTTCGACGACTGGCAGCTATGTGGGAGAGTTCATCGGCACGGACTGCTCGGATGCGTGGTGGAGGACGGGTCTTGGATCTATGGACAATAGCCACGAGAAATATCAAAGAAGCTCCAGCGCGCGAGATTTGCCGACAAGGAACAACCAGATAAACGCTTCAGCATCCAATATTTCCACATGAAAAAGTGCTCCGCTCTTGTCCCACCCACCGAACAAGATCCCTCTCACTTTGTAATTCGATCTTTGTCAGATGGTCAATGTTGATTTGTGATTCGGTAGGCCTTTGTTTTCGATCTCCGTCCTGTTATCGATCGCCTGTCGATCATTCTCGCCGTTGGCGCAGTGCATCGAGTAAAATACCCTCATAAGCGCCTGCCATGAGGACCGACCACAACTTGGCCGTTCCAGGGAAGACTTGAGAGCAAAGAGGCCTCCTCGTATTTGCTCAAGATCTCTCACAACAAGCTGCGGTCTCTAACGACGTCATCATCACCTCCCAATGACGGATTTCAGCTCGTGACGCAGGGCATCTTGCGCGGTCAACCTCCTGGTCTTTTCGTAGCACACAGTCCTGGAGACAAAATCAATGGCGGACACTGGAGCCCCAGAGAGAATGTCATTCCACGGTTTTGCCGGGTAGTCCTGAAAGCGCATCTTGCCCCAGTCACGACAAGCTCTTGCAGAGGGCCAATTGTCGGCACCGGGCGTTCCCAGTGTCGTGAATATGGACCGGATCAGACTCAGCTCGCTTCCCAAGGGTCCGGCGTCGAACAGTGGATAGTGGCCCTCCTTCACGATTTCTGCGACGACACAGCCCGCTGCCCACATGTCCAACGACGTGTCGTACGCGTGATCTCCGAAAAGGATCTCTGGTGGACGATAGCAGGTCGTCCCAACATCAGTGATCTTGGAATCCGCCGGCTCCGAGTCCTTGTCATCCGGAGACCATGCGATACCGAAATCAATCAGGTAGACTGGCCCCGTCATCGACCTTAGCAGGATATTGGACGGCTTGACGTCTCTATGGATCATGCGCAGTGCGTGAATATGTTCCAAGGCGCTGAAGAGTCCGTCGAACACCATGCTTGCCTGCTTCTTGTCCAACCTGCCTGACCTCAGCAGATTCTCCAGATCTTGCCTAAGGAAAGGGAAGACAAGGATGAACTTTCCTCCTGATTCGTGGATGATGTCTAGGAGAGGCACCACATGCTCATGACGCGCCTTGACAAGCAACCGAGCTTCTCGTTCCGAGTTGTGGGGCGGAGCCATCATTGCTGGATGAGTAACTTTCAGGGCCACTATTCGAACGGTGGACGTTGCGTCCTTCGCTTGCGCTTTAAAGATGGTCGACGTTTGCCCATCGGTATGGTAAGTTGCGAATTCGTAAGCTCCAAAGCTGGGTCCTTCATGGTTCAATATCTCGGGCTCTTCTAGAGGCTCACACACGTCCGAAGGCGGAACATTTTGCGTATGTGAGGCTTGTAGGGCTACTTGAAGCTGTCTTTGGTACTCTTCCTGTGGTAGTTAGCGGTGGATCGATGAGATATTTGGAGGTATCGAATACCGGAGAAGAAGCCGACTGCAGGATTTCCCCCTCGAGATCTCTCGCCTTGTTGCGAGCAGCATCGCCGTCATTGCCCACTGAAATGAAAGCATTCGTCCTGCTTCAGATTAGATGGAACAAGGAGCTGGCTGCTATGCTTACAGAGAGACGATGTTGCCCAGCCTCTCGGTGAAGCTGATGTCCACTGGCATGTTGATCTGTGGGCTCTAGAGAGAAGTCGTGCACTGTCCTTGTTGGCCTGTGCTTGTATCCCCTGGGGATTTTGTAGGATTCGGTGGCATAGGACTGAATGCTAGGCCCAGAATAATACCCTCTCGATGGTGTGACAGTTCATCTTTCAGTAAGTCCACCTACTTAGCGAGCAGGGTCGCATCGGTCATGCAGCGGTCAATCGCAGCTGTACTCCGTAACCGGTTGCAGACACCTATTCCGCATATCTTGAGCAGGGGCGAGACGGAGGATCGTGTGAGAAGCTGACAGCCGTTGAGAATTCTCCGAAGCGAAATGTGGAGAGTGGAAGGGTGAGTTGTCGACACTGAAGCCTCAGCGCTTATGACTGGTCGCTGCAGTACACCGAGTACGTACCTGGGTATGTAATCGCGACCCGCCAAATACCGAAGAGCTTCCAGACCATTTCCTTCTCCTCTGCTTCCTCGACACTGCCGACTCCACACCTCATCCGATTTCTTGTATCTGCCATGCCACTTTGTCTTTGGATACATCTGGGTTTGTTCACTTGAATAGAGCGTGTTTAATGCTTGGACCATCTATACACAATGTCCACTACGGATTTCCAGCGGACTGAATATCTAAATCTTCTGGTAAGACCAGCCCTTCAAGACCCGTGAGCCTCCGACTGTAGAGAGAAACTTACCGTCTTGTTTGCGCCAGGCCTCGTTGCAACCGGAGCAAGCCGTAAATATCCTCAATGACCGCGTCACACTCATTACCAAGATCAACAATGACATTGCCGATTGGCTTCAGGTTGGTCATTTTCGTGTAACGCTTTGACGGCGACATTGACACTGGGTCAGGAACGTCGGAAGGTAGAGGAAGCCTACGTCGCTGGTCTGCGGAAGCTTGCGCGAAGGCCACAACAAGATGGCGCTGTTGCTCTTGGGTATGCATTGTTCCGACCGCTTGTGTACGGTTGCTAAAGCGACGCAGCATCTTCCAGATGCCCTGGCAGCGCATCGTCTCTGGTACTGAGAATCTCGCGGCTTCCCACGAAACCCTTGCGACTAAGATCGAAACCGATGTCGAGACCCCCTTGCGCAGTTGGGCGACACGCAACAAAGCAATGCACGGCTTGAATACCGCTCAGGCGAACCTGACCTCGATTGCAAAGGAGCTGTCCAGCGCGCAAAGAAAGGCTGCAAAAGGTGGAAGACGGGCCGACACTGCCAGCACCACGGTGGAAGATTCCTCGCGTCAGTGGGAAGCCCAAGCACCCTATGTCTTTGAACAGTTACAAGTGCTGGATGAGATACGAGTCAACCATCTGCGAGATGTCCTCACACAGTTCCAGACACACGAGGTGGACTGCATCGAAAAGAACAAGGTCAGCGCGGAGTCGTGTCTGAACGCACTGCTCAACGTCGAGACAGCGGACGAAATAAAGACATTTGCAGCACGGGCCGCCAGCGGAGGAGCCGGTCCTCTGCGAAGGCTCAGTTCAGCGACAGCTGGTGGGAGACCGACCAGTTCCTCACTCCGTGCACCACCGACACCGCCGCCACCTCGAGGCACGTCTGAGGGACAGAACCAACGCTCGAATTCTTTCGCCGGCCAAGACAGACTGGCCCCCCGTGAGTTTGATCAGGTTGTTGTTCGACGGGTTCTAACTGTGCTATAGTGCCCGATGCTCCTACGCCGCACAAAGAGAAGAGCAAACTGGGTGGTCTCAAGCGTCTGGGTACTGTCATGAACAGAAGGAAGAGCACTGTTCCACCAGTGCCTCCCACAGAAGAGAAGAGGAGAACGCGATTTGTGCCGTTCAGGAGGGGAGATTCATCGCGAAGCTTTCAGGATTTGGAAGAGTCAGGACAGGATCTTACACCAGCTGCGACGCAAGATCGGCCCACGTCTTCGGTCTCTCAAGATCGACGGCATGACCTGCCCATTCGCGACATGTCGGAGCCGCCGCTGCCTCTCCCTTTGACAAACGGAACTACGCAGCCACAAAGTCCTTTGGAATCACAACCATCAGTTGCTCCCACTCAGCCTGGCCTTGCGGACAATATCAACCCGCCACCAGCTCAATTTAGTAATAACCCCTATCAACAAGCTGCGTTTCAACCGCCGCCTGTTGCTGAGACGGTGAACCCCATGGTCCAGGCTCAACAAGAGGCTGCCTTGGCTTCTGGCTCAGTGGATGAGTCGGCTCGAAATTTCATGATCCGGGATAAGCCGATTGAAGAAGACGAAAGCGAAGCCCAACTGGCGATGAACAACATGGCCAACCAGCTACGTTCTCAAGCACAAAATGCCGGCATTAATCGTGTCCAAGGCAGTGTAAGAGGACGAAGAGATGTGCGAAACACAATGTACATCCCAAGCAGCACCGAGGCACTACCGCACACAACTCGTGCTCCTGCGCCTGTGGCGATACCAGAAAACGCCGCCCCGCCCGAGGGTACCCTCGCATCCCCTCTGCAACGACCACCAGTAGTGGGAGTTTTGCACGACGATCATGCTGCAATGGGCTCCGACACGGCCTCAATGCACTCATCCAGAAGTCTCGCTGGCCCGAGTCCACATCCAGATCTGCACGAGCCAGGCCTCAACGCTTCTGTGATCGAAACTGTGCACTCTTGGTTTACTGAGACCGGCATCAGCAGGTCCTTCGTCCTCGGTGAAGTGGCACTCGCGTGTAACCCGACCGGTCTTAACGATGCCGATACCGAAACCATCCGCATCCAGCATTTCGAACTCCTCGACAAGGTTGCCGCGAACCCCATATTCATGAGCCAGATCAAGGCGCCTGAAGACTCCACAGCTCAAGCCGAGGAACGCGCAGGCTGTTATTCCGTGTTGGCCTCTTCGCTGCGACGACCGACGCCCATGATCTGCTTGAAGTACCAGCTGCACATGGAAGAGAGCAATCTGGCTCGATACAGCCCGGTGTTGATCACCCCAGCGTGGCAAATTGTCGAGGGACAAGTGAGTGTGATTGTGTTGTACAGTCTCAACCCTGTCTTTGGCAATGAGCCGGTGACACTCAGGAATGTGCATATTAGCGTGAGCCTCGACACCACTGGAGAAGGGACTGGTAAAGCCACGTCGGCAATGATGGCGCCAACCCAAGGTGCGAGTTTCCGGCGCAAGACATCATCGGTGGTGTGGCGCATGAATGAATTCACCGTGAAACCCGAACAAGAGCGCCTTTTGGTTCGGTTCGTGACCCAAGGCGGCCTGGCGAAAAAGGGCGGCGTCGAGGTGAAATTTGAGATTGTTGGACGAACGGCCAGCGGCGTTGGAGTGGAGAAGCTGGTTGTCAGAGAAAACGACCCCTTCGCCGATGATGGAGGGGCGGTCGAGGACACAGAGGTGGTGAAGCAGAGCTGGGAAGCGGTGCCGACCAAGGCGAAGCTGGTTACTGGACGGTATACCGCCACCTGATGAATGCCCTCCACCAACTTCCCCCTCCCATAGGCAGGGCAGAGATCTAGCTGGAGGGCCTGCAAAAGAGAGGAGACTTGAATCTGGAGGGCGGCTGGGAAGAGTTGTATAAATTGGATACCGGAGCCCCTGCATCTTTTTGCTCTATATAATGAATGACCAGCGGGAGAGCCATCATCACATCACAGACCGTCACAGACCATCTATACAGCGCATACCAACGGATGTTTATCTGCCTTTGCTCCATTGAAAACATGTCGATTTGGGATTCTTACTCGCCTCGTGGTTGTGGGAAGAATCATCATGTACAGTCTGTAGGTATCTACGCACGCCGTCTCCAGGTACTCTAGTAGCTCTCCTCCCAGCTGCCCAACTAACTGCTGTACTGTTCCCGTTTCTGTCAACAATCGCAGTCGGAGTCACCAGAGCCTATGCCGCTTCTCCGTGCCCGTCCATAATAGCGACAACGTGGATCGTTAGCGAATCGTTTTCTATTTCGGCAATAGCACACCCCTCTCCTTGTCGTAACTCGCCACCTCCTTAACCAATGCCACAAACTCCTTCTGCTTGTCTTTGGGATGCGCCACGACCTTCATAAGATCCTTGACAGTTATGCCTTGGGGCGGGATCGCGTTCTTGATGTCTTGTGCCGAGGGGAATGCTACCGGCCTAGGAACACTACCACCGGCGGAGGCTGGAGTTGGGGACGCTGCACGCGAGGACGGTTGAGCTGGTGGTGAGGCTGTTCCTGCCGCGCCCGTGGGAGGCGGAGAGGCCGACATTTTGAGCTTGAGGCGTCGAGCACGACTGCTGTCGGACATAGCGGCCGCGTCGGTGTCGGTGTCTGATCCGGCTCCCATGGGACTTGCGGCCCCAGCCCGCTTTCGTGCCTTCAATGCCGCCAATGGGTCCAACGTCTGCGGCGCAGAGGAGCTAGGCGGAACATTGGCCGGGGACATAGGTCTCGAATGGCCCGGCGTGGGTTGAGTAGAAGGCAGATGTTTCGACTTGAGCTTCTTCTTCCGCGTCGAAACGTCCGTGCCAGAGGCATCAGAGAGATTTGGAGAGCCAGGGCGTTTCAAAGAGCGAGTCGATGTCGATTTCCTCATGCCACCTTCTTCGTCGCGGTCAGAACCTCTCTTCTCTTTCCGACCCGAGGGTGTATTGGCGCCCGAGGACAGAGCGGATTTCTTGGCCTCTGCTTCTTCTTCCTTCTTGATGTTGGCCAGACGTTCACGCTCGATTCGCTCCCGTTCTTCCTCGCTGTCGGTCTTTGCACATTGTATTAGCGAGCATGCCTGATCGTGTCCAAAAGGTAGAACTCACAGAGGATGCATTTTCCGAATCACTACCATGATTGTAATTCCGCTCCCGCCTCTCCAGTGCTTTTCTCAGGTCCCGGAAATTCTTCTTCCTGGCCTCTGCTTCCCGCTTTTCTCGCTCTTCTGCCTCATCATACTCCTTGAGATCCTTGAAATCAAGGAAATTAGCTTGCAACTGATCTTCCTTGATTCGTTTCTCTGCGAGCTTCTCGTCCTCATCCTTGTCTAGGAACAGATCGCCCTCCTCGTCATCGGCAAAGTCATCTTCGTAGTCCAGGTCCGCTTCCTCGCCAGTCCTCCCTGCATCGGCTGTTGTCCGAGCTGCGCCAGAAAAGAGTGCCCTACTTTCTCTTGCTGCGCGCTCTTTCAAGGCTTCCTGGATGCGAGCTTCTCGGTGGCGGATCAGCCACTCGGGATCTGAGCCTCCCTTTTTCATTGCTGCTTCGACTTCCTCAATCGTCATCTTTTGAAGATTCTCCCGTTTTGGCTTGAACTGGTAGACTTTTTCGATTGGGATGATTCGAAATTTGCCGGTTGAAGTATCCACTGATGGCTCGTAGACAAAGGCGGCGTTGGTGCTGACAGAGCCGATCTGATGATGCCCAACGAAGCAATGCTTGTTATCGAAATCTTCGAGATGCCATGGCAGCTTCTCTTCATAGTTGTTCTGGATTCGACGCTTCTCTTCGGCCGAAAAGTCTGGTCTGAAGACTTGTTGCGTTTTCTTTTTGAAGTTCAACTTCTTGCCGGTATTTTGGGACGGAGCTATTTGCGCCAGGTTCGCCTCACGCTCCTTCTGCCGGGCTTCCTTCCGCCGATTCAACTCTTCTCTCTCTGCAGGGTTGAGCCCATCCTTTGGTTCTGGTTGCTCTTCCTCTTTCTTGTCCTGCTGATGGCCCGGAGGAGGGGCGCGAGGATCGCGTCGATGCAGACGGACTGGTTTGGCAAACTCGGATTCATTGCGAATGTCTATGGGTTTGTCGCCAGGGAGCTGGAGGATATGATACCTGAGGCCGTTGAGCAGATCTCTCTTTGTTGTCACCACTTTGTAGTCCGTGTAAGAAATTCCTTCGGCTGCAACTCGAGGGTCGCTGAAGCCACTCACGCGCTCACGATCTGGAAGAGCTGCTGTGGACGGAGAGGCCGCGCGTGGAGGCAGCGCAGATACGGGCTGTGACTTCGGAGGTGGATGGCCGTTGAGGTTGACGGGAGGAGTGAGGTGGCCGTTCAGTTGAGGCTTGGTCACGGTCGGTTTGCTCCTGGGGCCTTTGAAAAAGGGATCAGATACAGGCTTCTTGCGTCTGACGATAGGAGGAGCGCCAGGAGGACGGGTTGCAGGCACTCCAAAGGGCGCGGAAGTTGGATTCATTGCTGATTCTGGAGCCTGCGTTATCACAGCATTGATGCAGCCGAGTATTAAAGGAAAGGGACAGGAATGCTATGAAATGATTCGGTGATTTGCAAGTCCAAGAACAAAGGGAGTCAGTTGTGGTCGATAGAGATGATAGCGATGTAGTGAATGAGCCGTGAAGCGGTGGTGTTTTGGAATGCAAGGGGCAGCTTCAGGTTTTGCCGTCATGCACACCAGTGTCCCCCCGCTAACTTGCCCTGCCTGGAGGTGTCGTGGGTGCCCTACCTCTTCGTGTTAATGGGTGCCGTAGAATTAACCACTAGGCTACTAGGCTGGGAGGTGGGTGCCAAGGACATTAGCCGATGGGGCGCCGGGCGGCTAATCAGGGTGCGCGTTAAGGGGGAAGGGAGCCCTGGGGGCACCTATATTTTCACGTAGGCCAATTCTCTGCGACGGGCTGACGCATCTGCGGGCAAGGACGGGAATAGGTTTGAACTTCACTCACGTATTCAACCCCTCGTTCTTACATCCATTCACTCTCACCCTGCACCCTAATGAATCTTTTGATCTCACTCACAACCACTGCTCACGGATTCGTTCAAGTTTTCACCTACTTTGAACGGGCTTCTTTCGCTTTTGCTTGCTCACTGACCTTGACTCGATGCCGATGGAATCACCTATTCCTTGCCAAGACCACCGTTGTCGCGAAATGTTGTGACCTTCATCTGAGTCCTGCCCGCGATTTCACCAGGAAAAAGCATGGATACCCCAGGAGATCAGTCTGGCTTCTCTCCTCATGTCTGGAATCGACTCAATGAGATGGCACAACAGTCTGCACCTCGCGCAAGAGGTGGCCGTCGTCGTGGCCAAGGCCAAGGCCAGACAAGAGCTGCCTGGCGACATCAAGATCAAGAAGAGCAACTTCGTCCGGAAAGTCAACAACCCGCCTCCTCATTCACCGTGAACTATGATTCTTTTCCACCACTGGGTTCGCAACCGCCGCCTCGTGGGAGGAGCAATGCTACTTATCCGCTGAGATCCCAACATCCTCCAGACCCCCAAGCTCAGAACTTCCCCGTTGCACGCCATGGCACTCCCAGAGAATATCAAGAACGTGCAAGAGGTAACTATCGAGGTTCTCGCGGCTCCGGTGTGCCGCAACGCCAGCCACAGCATCATTTCCATTCAGAACACCAGCCACAGTTCATGAACCCTGCCGCATTCCACACTAATGGCCGACCTCCAACACACCCACACCGTCAGCTGTACAATCCTAATGATACTATGCACTTTGGCGCAGCACAGCAACAGCGGTCCATGACGCATTTGGTCTCGATGCAAGCGGACTACCTCACCAGCGTTGGGAGAAGGGCGTATGAGGCACACAAATTTGGCCAGGAGGAGCGGGATGTCAAGGAAAATTTCCGACGCACTTTGGAGAGTATTGCGAGACGTGCATTAGGTGCCGAATATCCAAACTTGAAGCAAGACAATGTCAGATTGAGGTGCTATGGCAGTCTTGCCAATGGCTTCGCGCTAGCGGGATCCGACATGGATCTCCTTTTGTCACTACCAAACCTCGAAGGACCCGAAACAGAAGTCAACATGAAGCCCACGAGCGACGCCAAGATAGCATCAGATGATCAGGAGGACGAGCAGGCCTTCAAGACTGACACTGGTCGTGTCTTGGAGAAAGCCTTCCTTGACCACGAATATGGAGCCAGGCTTATCACTAAGACGCGTGTCCCAATCCTTCGCATTTGTCAGAATCCAACCCCGGAGCTGCTCAGCAATCTACGAGAAAACCGCGCCGCGTGGGAAGAGTCCCACCGTGAAAGGGTGGTTGTTGAGTCGGGCCCTCCAACATCAGATGAACCTCCTCCGGAACTAGATTCGGTTGGACAGGCCTTGAACGACCTCAATCTAGGAGAGACTGCACCTGCGAAAAAAGGCCGTCGTGGTAATGAGGGTCTAGAGTTCACCGAGGATTGTGGTATCCAGTGTGACATCAACTTCTCCAACTTCGTGGCGCTCCACAACTCGGCCATGCTTCGAATCTACCAAGGATTCGATCCGCGAGTCAGAGAAATTGGGGTCTTTGTAAAGATATGGGCCAAGACCAGAGACATCAACACACCATATCGCGGCACTCTATCAAGCTATGGCTGGATTCTCATGGTTCTTCACTATCTGATGAACGTTGCAAAGCCACCTGTCATTCCCAATCTACAGTATCTCGCCAAGATTGATGATTCATGGCATCCAGAGAGGGCGATCGAGTTGTTCGAGGGATTCGATATCCGCTTCGTCCAGGATCCCCAAAGTCTGAAAGAAATTCGAGAAGACATGGCTGCAAACCTAAACAAAGAGCCCGTAGGCCAATTGCTGAGAGGGTTCTTTCAGTACTACGCAACCTACCAAGGCTTTCATTGGACTCGGGATGTTATCTCGATCAGAACAAAAGGTGGTCTCATTTCTAAGCAAGCCAAAGGGTGGACTGAGGCCAAATGGCAACAGACACAGACGAAATCAGTCCGTCTTCGGTACCTGCTAGCGATCGAGGATCCATTCGAGATCGAACACAACGTCGCACGCACGGTGGGACACCATGGCATAATCGCGATACGAGACGAGTTTCGTCGAGCGTGGTCAATCATCAACACAGTCGGCACGGATCAGGCGATTCCTGTAGAGGAGTTCCTCACCCCTGTCACAGAGCGAGTTGACACATTAAGAAAAGACTTGGAAGCCCGTAAGGAACGACAAATGCAGATGAGACAGGAATTGGAGGCTAAGGAGAAAGCACTGCTTCGGAAACGGGATGAGGAGTTTCCAGATCCACTTACAGATGGTACGTTGGGAGGTTCTGATTTGGGGAATTCCGAGACCCATGTGCGTGCAGGAAGCAGGCGTTGGCCGTCAAAGTCGAAGCTGACCTCGACAAACCACCCTCAGGACAGGAACCCGCCATTGAAGCCACAGACTTGGCGACAGAGAAAGGTATTAGCCGAAAGTGACGACGAAGAAGATTCAACCAACCATACTTATGAAAATGCAGAAGAGCAGGAAAGTATTGGTAGTGCCGCTCCATCAATCAAGGCCGAGCCAAAGGATTTATTCACTTGTGTGTCAGACGTGCTTCTTGCCAATGGCTACGATCACGCAGGGAATCCTGTTGCCTGGGATATTGACACCCAGGATGGACGCTGGCTCCACTGGAGAGACGTGAAAGCGAGGAAGGGCACGTTGAGATCATTCTCAAACCCAATGCTGCGAAAATTAGATGAAGAGTGTCCCTATGACCCTAGACGACCAGATCCGTACATCGGCAAACCATATCGCAATCAAAGGGAGAAACTAGGTTACCAGCAAGCACCATGGCCTTCAGGCAGTCGGAATGGGGGAATAAAGAGCATGGTTGCATCTGTCCGTCCTCATTTTGTCGAGGATAAAGTAACAGCACCGAGGATGGAGAGCGGTGTTGGGCCGCAAGGCGTGCCAGAGGCTGACGTGAAGGCGGAAGCGGGTGAATTATATGAGGCAGACACCCATGAAAAGAGCAAGGCCGCATCTCCGGAAAACGCAGACAACAAAGCAACATATCAGGATCCGGCAGGCCAAGTAGGGGTAAACATCCTATGGGACAGAAACACCATCGGTGGCCGCTGGCTTCGAAGGCGAGATGCACCCATACGTGGTGGAACGGCGGAGCACCACCCAGTCTCTCGTTGCGCAGAAATTGACCTTGCTTTTCCTTACAAACCGGAGATGACCTGGAAAGAGCGAGAAGCGATGAACCAGCAATTACGACAACACTACAAGCACAGTATTTTCACTTCCAAGCAGCGCAATCCCATGTCTCGACGGGTTGCAACAGAGACGCTTAATACTGAAGTCAACGACCGAGCTCGACCATCAGGGCCGGCTGAGACAGCAGCGTCTGCCATGCAGACAAACACTCAGAAGTCCGCTCAGGACATGGAGGAAGCAGCAAACGATCTGAGTTCCGCACACATTGACACATTACCAAGCAAGCCGCTTCCTCCTGAAAGTCGCCCTTCTCCTGATAGCATATCCGAAAGAGTGCCATTGACACCTCCGGGTGGTTCTCGAATTCCAAATTTGGACTTTCTACGCACCCAGCGACTCGCCTTCTTTTCAAAGCTTCCGAGTTCCCTGAAAAGCGGCGTTGACACGAATGTTGAGCTCTACACCGGGCCAGCAGTTGCGAGCGAAGCACATGCATTGGTCAACGAACAATTCCGAACACCCATTCCAGCCAGCCACATACCTAACGAAGAAGTATGTGTGGTGGGAGATTCTCACCGCTTGAAGGCGAAAGCCTTCTCTGGAAAAGCAGACACCCAGTCTCACTATGCTGACGAGTCATCAGCGGTTATGGAGTCGGAAGAGACCCAAGGCACAGAGAATTCATCGCTTGAGGTCCCTGCCACATTGTATCCCCACCTCGACAGCAGCAGACGACCACGAGATGAAGATCCCAACATTCTTCCTATCCCCTTACATCCCGGCTTTTGTTTCGATCCACGACAATTGGAAGATATTGCTGTCATTTTAAGAGGCGGCAATGGATGTGCTAGGGACGGGGCTCAATATCATATTGAAGAGGAATACGAATGGGGTGGTGGAGGTATGATGGGATGGAAGACGAGCACCGGACCGCAGCTTGCTGGTATGAGCGGCGGCCACACACCCTACGAGGCTGGCAGCGGAGACGAACAAGGATTGCTTGCAGAGCTCCCAAGGGACCTGGTTTGATTTTTAGCCACGAGTACTGATTGTGAGTCTGAGGCCAGCACGGGCATCGAGACTCAGCGAGTGCATCATTGTCATCATCAGGCAGGGATTCGGACCAGCCAGGGAGGTAGCCATCGCCAGCTGGATAGCGAATGGTGGGAGAAGGCTTCAAGCATTGCACTATTGTTATCTGGCAGAGACCAAAGATCAAAAGGCGATAGACTTCAGAGCAAGGAGCAAGATATCATTACGGGCAGCCAGCGAGGAACCTATGGTCCTCTACTCTTCTCAAACGTCTATATAGACTTGGCCAGGAGAGTGGAGGGACAATCGCCTCTCAGCAGTCGACATCATGGCCATTCGGTATGAGAGTACTATTAATGGATAGATTTTGCTTTTGAAGCGTTTGGTCTCGTGCTTGAAGCTGTTCTCTCCTTTATCCCCCCTGTGGTGTGTTGTTTCAGCTTCGTCACAGATTGCAGGCCCCTCATTGGCTGCAGAGACGCTGAAACCAGGAACCTTGCACCCTCATCCTGCTCGCACCGTCGTGACGGGCACATATCTTCTCCATCTCTCGGCAATCAGATCTTTTTCTTGTCTCCGTATGCTCTACTGTACCCGAGACTGCCTGTTCTCAACCTGACCGTCTCCAGTCTATTGCCAGAGCGAATCTTCCGAGAGTGAAACCTGGACAGTCTCATCCACGGGCGGACTAAAGACAAGTCTTTGGGGAAGGCAAACGCTACTTTAAGGAAATCCCAGGACTCTACAAAGCAAGAGGCAAAGAAGACCAAGAGATCAATAAAAAACAAAGCGCGAGAAAAAGGACAGAGGCAAGGTTAGCAATCATGGTGTTGAAGCGGACGACAAGATCCTCTAAATTCCATCCCAATCCCAAGCATCAGCAGCAACCCAGCCCGTCATGGTCCCGCCACATCACGCTGGACCTGCTGCTGCTGATCCTGGCCAACTCGGTCTTCCACCCGTGGATCACGCTGGTCTTCTACCTGTGCCTGGCCGCCGTGCACAAGCATCGGGAACCCCTCGCGTACTACACGCTATACTACACGGCGTTCCTCGCCGCCGTCGAGCTGGCCGTCTTCCTCAACCACCACCTCACGTACGGCAGGTGCAGGAACGTTGTGTGGGAAGACGAGGTCGTGATCATCACGGGCGGCGCGCGCGGGCTGGGCAGAGTGCTGGCTGAGATGACCATGAGAAAGGGCGCAAGGGTGGCGATCTTGGATGTCCAGGAGCCCGACGAGGACGCGCACGAAGAGATGGAGCGCTGGGATCTGGTCTGGGAGGTGGTGGACGTGAGTAATGCCCAAGAGTTGAAGAATGCGGTGGACAGGGTTGTTGAGGAGGTAGGTTGGGACAGACTCTTATGTTCTCTTCTGTCTTTGTTATTTCGTTCCTGGGCTCACGATAGATGTCAATCAGCTCGGCCCGCCAACCATCCTGATCAACAACGCAGCGACATCCATCAATGGCCTCCCTCTGGCCGACGACGCTTTCGTGGAGACCCCAAAATCCTTGTCTCCTAAACAAGCCACCAAAACCTTCACTACCAACGCCCTCGGCCACTTCACCACCCTTTCCACCATCCTCCCGATCCTACTCAACTCATCCCAGGGGGCACATATAATAACAATTTCCTCGATTCTCTCGCACCTCGCCCCGGCTAAATTGGCCGACTACAACGCCTCGAAAGCTGCCGTCTCGGCCCTCCACAACACATTGTGTCACGAGCTCCGCACCTGTCCCGATCCTTCTGTCTTTCACAAAGTGAAAACCATCCTGGTCGAACCAGGTCAGTTATCCACACAGCTGTTCGCGGATATCACGCAAGTCCCCTTTTACACGCACTTTTTCGGACCGGTGTTAGAGGCCAAGGACGTAGCCAAGGAGATTGTGCGGCGGGTGGAAAGAGGCGACAGCGGAGTGATTCGCATGCCCTTCTACGCCAATTGTGTACCGTTCCTGGGCGTGATGCCGGGATCTGTCCAGAGGGTGGTGCGGTGGTGGAGCGGAATCGATCGGGCGATTGTTGCGAGGGAGAAGGAAGCCTGAGACCGCCGGATCTGAAGCGGCCGGGAAGGAATGAGTCTGTCGTATGATATACCAGCATTTGGAAAAGTTTCGACTCATCTCTCGCATTCGGCTCATTTGTCGGCGCCTACGGCCCCGCAGGTGTTGTGCTTGTGCTCCCCTTGCTCGTCCCGTCTAGTCTCATTTCCTATATCAGACGCATGACGGTGGTTTCCTAATCATCATCATGAATCGTGATCCCCGATTCTTTCACCACTTCTGCCACCCCAAAGTCCGAGCCTTGCTCTTCTTCTTGGCTCCCTTTTGGTGGGATCTGCAAACCACCCGCCTTCCTCTTGACCCCTTGGGCCTCTCCAAGGTCAAGACCCTCCTTCGCTCCATTCACGGCGCCATCCGTCTGTTTCTCTTTGTCCTTTTTTCCCTTTCTCCGACCCCTGCGCTCCCGATTCCGTCGGGTCTTCTCTTCGTCCCTCTCCCTTCTCTCCCGTTCTTCTCGCTCCCACTTCTCATCCTCCTCCTCCTTCTTTGCCTCTTCGTCCATGGCGCGCAATCTCTCATACTCCCTGCGTCTACTTGCCTTGTACACGTGAAATTCACCGGAGCCGGCACCTGCGCTCGAGCCTTGGACGTTCGCGACGATTTCAGGGGGTGTGGGCAGCGGTTTCTTGACGCCGTTCGAGGAGGGGGGCAGTTGGACTGGTCGTAAGGGGTCTAGGAAGAGAGATTCCACTTCATGGGCCTGCTGCGAGGTGGCGCGGGCGTTGGGGTTGGAAGTATAGGCGCCCCGAGCGCGTTTAATCGGACGGTGCGAACGAGGGTCGGCGGAGGTGGGGATGGCCTCCGGAATAGGCTCAGACATCTTGCCGAATGGTGAAGGCGCCTATACGCGCTGTTCAAGTATCTAAGAGTGCTCGGCGTGGTCGGGTGCGTTCAGAGAGAAAGGCAGTCTCGAAAGACACTGCGCGGTGCAACTGCAGAGTGACGTACTTTTCTCGGCGTCAAAGAGCTAATGATTTGCAGTAGCTATCAACTACGGTGAAGCACAATGATCGCTTTTTGTCAAAGTCCTGGTGTCCGTCAATCCAACTTCACTGCCCCATATCCTACACAACAGTATCATCGCACCGACCACTGGACCACTGATAGCTGATTTTCGACATTATTGGCCCAGGCTGGCTCTCACACTCTATGATGCACCGGTCATAGGAAGAGGGGCGCATTGGACAGTTCGTGCAGTTACGCCTAGCCCTCGACATGCATCCGAAAGGTACGGGATCATGTTTCAAAAGAACATATGAGGTAGGCCGCTGCTGCCTTACTGTTTGAGGACTTGGACTGAGGAAGCTTCAGAACGCATTGAGGCTCCTCGAAACCAGGAGAAGGAAGACAAGGCCCAAAAATGTGGCCAGCCCCATTCTCAGTCCTCATGCTGCCGACAAACCACGAGCGGAAGCTCGTTCTTCCTTGCGTGGGACGCCGAGCATAGCAGGTATGAGGAATTGGCTGCAAAAGATAGGCTACACGGTAGGTCTTGAAGGCTTTTGTTCAACTCCAACCACACCTCTTCTAACAAACATCGAAGGACGGGGATGTAGCGGCCTTGAACATTGTACACGTTGCTGGGACAAAAGGAAAAGGCAGTACCTGTGCATTCACTCGGTCTTTACTGCAAGAATGGGGGAAACGAACGGGGTTTCCCACCAAAATTGGTCTCTACACTTCACCAGATCTGACGTCCATTCGAGAGCGGATTCAAATCAATGGGCAACCCATCTCGGAGGATCTGTTCACCAAGTACTTTTTCGAGGTCTGGGACCGGTTGTTCTCACGGCAGGATGAAGTGGTGGCCGAGGACGAGAGACAGCCTCGGTATCTGCAACTGATTGCATTGCTGGCCATCCACACCTTTTCTCAGGAGGGAGCCCAAGCAGCCATCTTTGAGACGCATCATGGTGGCGAGTACGACGCTACAAATGTTGTTTCTTCACCCGTCGTGACTGGAATCACATCCATCGGATTAGATCATCTGGCGCAGCTGGGACCTGGCATCGAGGATATAGCTTGGCACAAGGCCGGCATCTTCAAGAACGGCACGCCTGCTTTCTCTGCTCCACAAGTGCCCGCGGTTGAAGCTGTTCTGAGATCCCGGGCCGCTGAGAAAGGCGTTCAATTCGAGGTTGTCCCTATCCGTCCTTCTCTACCTCCTAATGCGAACGCGTTGCGTGCGCAAGTGCAACGCATCAATTGCTCCTTAGCCATCGCTCTCGTCAACGCTTTTGTCTCCCGAAAAAGCCCGTTCGAGGAAAATACGCTGAGCGAGCAGGACATCCAGAGGGGTATCGACAACTTCTCATGGCCCGGCAGGTTTGAGGTGATCAAGACAGACAAATGTGCTTGGTTCCTCGACGGAGCTCACAACGAACTGAGCATTGGACAGGCGGTCAAGTGGTTTGCTGAGATAACGATGTCGTCTTCTGTGTGCGATTCTAGTCAACAAGGTCCTCCGTGTATGATCATCTTCTCTCATATGTCGGAAGAACGGGATGGCGCGTCGTTGTTGAGAGCATTGGCGAGTGCGGTCGAGCGGAGTGATATCCATTGTCCTGAGATGGTGTTTACAACGTACCAGGAACGACGTGATGGGACAATTCGACCAGGTATGCAATAGACTGGCGCTCCAAGTTTGATACTGACAGAAACTAGATAAGACTTTGAAGCCTCCGGATAGCATACTGACGGATCTTCCGAAACAGTACTGCGATCTGTGGCGATCGATCTATCCCACTGCCAGGACCCGATATCTACCTTCGATTGAAGAAGCATTGGAATGCGCCCACAGCGCCAGCTTGCAGAGAGACGGTCTGCAAGTGCTGGTGACGGGTAGCTTGCATCTGGTCGGTGGTGCGCTTTACTTGTTGCAACAGTGGAAAACAGACGAACATTGATCGGACATGCCATGGAAGTCCTATCGGCGTTGCAACTGAGGTGACCATTGAGACAAGCAACTTTTCCGTGCATCCTGGAATCCAACTGTGTGCCTTGAGACTCCGGCCGAACTATTATCACCCATCGCACCAAAGCTTTCAGAAGGTCTTACCTACCTTGAGTAGTTTGGTTGGGATCAATCGTCCCTCGGCCAAAAGACGCTGTCCTCATTGCGCGTTTCCAGATGGAATACGGCTGCGACTCCTGCCGTGTTGCCCGACATCGTACAAAGCCAATATACCTTCGGGGACCTCAGAGTTATGCCATGACGATGGAGTGCAATACTATCACAGGACAGATTATACCACTGGACATCTGAATCATACCGTCTCTGTCGTCTGACCGGACAGGTTGCTACGGAGACACTAGAGGTTTTGTCCTTTGCAGACGAATAGCTACAAAGCTGCCCGACGACAGCGACAATGACCATAGGCCTTGCTCGGGCATATTCATGGGTGGTCAACCGTGACAGTCATGAAAGTCTGTATAGAGTAAAGGGTACACGTCCATTTGCCGGCCTGGACTTGTCTCGCTTCGTCAGCCTTGGAGAGCGAGCTGGCGGGAGGCCTGGTCAGACGGCAGAAGGCCCCGTAAGTGACCTACTTACCTGATAGGCAAGTCTCTCTGACCGCTTCTAGGGACTGAGGAGCAGGGAGAGTAAGCAAAGCACACACCCCTGGTGCCCCAACATCACTTCTTCCAACTCTAGCGGCGCTTGGGATTGTTATGCCAGACTCCGCGAACCGAGGCTTGGGTCAGCCAGCCTCTTCCAACCCCACACGAGGACGTGATATACCCGACCAGGCCGAGTATTGCCGTGGGAGAACTACCTGTCCTACTCTACTCTATTCGACTCTCTTCATACATACATACATACTTGGAAGGGTACGAGTAGGCAGTCGGACGTCAGTGCGCGCTTTAAGCTCAGCTCCAGGCCGCCTTGTCCTGTGTTATTTTTGGACTGTGCCCCAGGCCTCAAGTGGCCGTTGTATCTTGTTCTCTACTCCGTACATTGTCACCCTTCTCCTCCCATCATCAGCATTCCCGTGCCTCTACTATAGTTGAGCCGGGTACTCTCCGTCTCTTTATCTTTTTCAATTTCGAAGGCGCGCTGTTGTTTACCGTACATAAATACGTATTGTCGATAAATACCCTCGTCGTGATTCAGACCCAGCCAGACAACCACCAAAAAACCCAACAACCATGGCCAGCGCAAGCAAGTACAAATACAACGACATCATCTACGAAGTCAAGGGCAAGATCGGCATCATCAAGGTGCGTACCAAACCCGAAACCCAGCGTCCTCTCCCAAAGCGCGTTCTCTTGCCCGTGTCAGTCGGTGCCAGGCTCGCCATGTGCAGCACATGTTTATGAAGCATCTGGACCATATGTTTCCAGCTTTTATCTTAAGTGCCATGTTGTCGGTGTTGATGTCGCTAATCTGCTCCAGTTCAACCGGCCCAAATCCCTCAATGCCTTTGGCGGCAGCATCCTGATGGACACGGTGTCGGCGCTGCGCGAGCTCAACGACCATCCCGACACTGTCTTCACCGTCCTCACGGGCGAGGGCAGGTTCTTCTCCTCGGGCGCGGATGTCAAAGGTACGTCGTCCATTTCTTTGATTCGTATTCTACGGTCTACGACCCGAGGATTGTTCGACCATGTTTTCTTTTTTCTTTGGGCGGGGGTGAAGGTTCTTGTCCTTTCCTTTATTTTGACCGGGCGCTCTTTGCAGGCGAGGTCATGGGCATGTCGTTTGGTCTGTTTGGCTCGATCCATCCTCTTTCTGTGAGTGCCAGGCTGACGATGAGTGCTTTGCATCCTGCAGCCGCCGCGGGCAAGCCGAGCGTCGAGTTTCCCAACCCGGCGGCGAAGAAGATTGATTTCATGGCCAGTATCAGCACCGGTAAGATCGCCACTCGCCCCCCCTCGAACCAAACCCACCGTTATCCACCCCGTGGGACGGGTAACTGACAGGCAGTGATGGTGTCTGACCCGATCCAGCCATCGAGCTCCTCCGCTCCATGATCGACCACAAGAAAGTGCTCGTGCTGGCGCTCAACGGGCCCGCCGTCGGCGGCGGCGCGGCCTGGTTCGAAGGCATCGCCGACATCGTCCTGGCCGCCGACACGGCATACCTCCAGGTGCCCTTCAGCGCGCTGGGCCTGGTGCCCGAGTTCGGCTCCGCGACCGCCTTCTACCACTCGATCGGCGCCCACCGCGCCAACGACTTCCTCATGTTCGGCCGCAAGCTGACCGCCCAGGAGCTCGAGTCGTGGGGGCTCATCAACCGCGTCTTCCCCGCCCAGGGCTTCCACCAGACGGTCCTCGAGTTCCTCGAGGAGCAGCTCAGCATCAACGACGGCAAGTCCATGATGGAGACCAAGCGCCTGCAGAACCTTCCCCTGCGGCGGGAGCGGATGCTCGCCGTGTACGACGCCGCCGAGGCCCTGGCAGAGCGGTTCGTCGAGGACGCCCCCAAGCAGAGGTTCGCGGAGAAGAACAAGCTGTTGCTTGGTAAGTGGTGACCAGGGTCGCGCGCGGTGACACAAAGTCAGGTACGCTAACACATGGCCACCAGAAAAGTCAAAGTCGCGGTCGAAGCTCTAAAAGGGAGAGAGAAAGTGATTCTCTATTTGGGGAGCAAAAGAGATGCCAGCGCTACATACTGTCTAGTTAATTAGCCTGTCTAAAAGTGGTGGACTTTGTCAGAGTGCCTGTAAACTGTGCTCACTCCTCGTTGTAGTCTGTCTTGGAGAAAAAGGCGTCTTCCTCGATATCCTACCTACTACTGCATTTGCGTTTTAATCAGGCCCATCGCTCACGTTTCTCGTGGGCAATGATCGTGAGAAGACACGAGCCCAGCCGGAGCCCAGCCTCGTAGCCTTGTGTGGGATAGCCGAGGTCCATAGACGGTGATCGGCCCAATACCCCAAATGCAGTTGATGACATCCGGCATATTACATTGGACCTGTGGTAGACTCGTCACAAATTCCCATTCCTCTTTTACCGCAAATCAGTTGCACATAGCCTGAACTCAGCAAGGCTAGAGCGGAGAAGTTTGGAGGAGTATTGCATGCTGATCCCGCGAACTGCTGGACGTCGACTTCGACCATTCCTGTGTGAAAGAAGAGGGGGCGTAGCAGAATGGCAAACACAACGGAACACGGCATCCCACCTACTGCCCCAACCAGGCTGAGGCAGATTGCTCTCATTGCAAAGGACCTTGGTCGGGCTCGAGATCTGTTGGTAGGTAAAAACCAGTGTCTGCCAGCCTGCTCCGGCACATGTCAGCTCACCTGTACAAATCACAAAAGACAAGGGTTCTTGACACAGAAGTTGTATTCGTGGATCCGCAAGTGGCGCGATGGGGAATAAAGAACTTTCTCGGTACGAAATGCTATCCTGGACGAACTTCCATTGTACCTCTTGCTGGCCAAGTTCTGGCTGACATTTGTCACCGAAACCAAAGTGGCCATTGGAGGCGACATCATCGAAGTGTGCTCTCCCTTCCAACCTAACACGACGGTGGGGAGACTGCTGGAGAAACGAGGCGATGGCGGGTACATGATCATCATGCAGACATTGGACGCTGCGGGGAGGAGAAAATACATCGAGTCGAATAACCTGGCCAAGGTCATCTTTGACCACCCGCACGGAGACGTCGAGTGCATCCAGTATCATCCGAAGGGCATTGCTGGTAAGTAGTGCTCCAGGAGTATTCCGGACTGAGACGCGCAACGATGCAAAGCTTTGTCCTATTTTCTCGGACTGCTAATCAGACTGACGCTCGCAAAAAGGGGGGATGATGCCCGAATTGGATTCTCACGCCCCGTCGGCCACGAATCCGACTCCGCTAGAGAGCCCCTTCAGTCCCTGGCACGCCTGCGGAGAGGATTACGCAAGGTACTCGGCGGGCATGAAGCGTTGCGCACACCTGAAGCTGGTCAGAGCCACCCTCCGCCTGGCACCCGGTCAAACAGACGTGGCCGCCGCCGCCCAACAATGGCAGGACTATTTCGGGGTGGAGAAGCAAGGGAGCGAGCTGGTCTTCACGAACGCCCGCTTGAACTTCGTGCCGGGAGTGGACGGGTTGCCTGAGGGGTTGGAGAGCATCACCATTGAAGTCCAAGGTAAGGAGAGGCTCGCGAAGATGCTGGACGTGGTGAGCAAGGAGGGTCTTTGCGGGGACGGATGGACGAATCTGCTAGGTGTCAAGTGGTTCTTTGTGCTCAAGGGCGAGGGCGAGGGCAAGGACGGAGCCAAGGCGAGAGAGAGCAGACTGTGAATGTTTTGATCAGCGAGAATATAGAACATTAGTGGTGTTGTGGGTGGACGCTATTCTGCTCGCGTACCCTCGCTGCGCGTCGCCTGTCCGAACATGTCGCGCAACTTAGATCGCCATCTCCATCATTTCACATGCCCTGCTGGAGATGACGGTTTCGGCGTCTGAGCGACAAAGGCTCCGCGATTTATGTCATCCATGTCAAGTTGGTTCCCGCGTTGGTTTCGAGGCTTCAGCCTTGGTGCAGGGGGAAATTGCAGAAGTTGCAGCCTCCCCCTGAATCCGGCAGTCGGTGGACAAGCCACGTGACTGTCCGACTCGCCGCGTCAGGTGATGCGCGTCTACATTGACTTCTGCTCCGTCGTCCACTTTGTCCACCTCGTCCACTTCTTCCTGCGCAAAACAAGCCACAACGAGCCTCCTTGCCAGATCCAGGAGCCATCTTACCCGAATCCGGCCGTTCCACAATCTCGTCGTCGAGGTAAGCTTTCCCAAGCTTTGTAGGGACCAGTCTCCCGACCGTCAAGCTATCGAAGTCAATGCTCGCCGTTTGACCGTCGCCCCATTATAATGCCGTCAATACTCAAAACGCCTCTCTGATCAAACACGCAGCTCAGATGCGTCCTTACGTACCTGTACTGGTACAGATCCTACGCACAGAATTTCCGAGCCGAACTTCCTGCTGCTTGCATGATTGGGAACTATGAGTTGTGCCATCAATGAAGGCGGAGCTGGAATCAGTCGAGACGTCATGTGGATAGTTCGGCCAATTCATGGATGGTGCATTTTTATCAACCAGGATATCTGATAGAATGCGGTCCCCCCTTTCTTCGCCGATTCGCGTCTCGACCCTTCGCTAGCTAGCGAGCCTGGACAAATCCGATAAGATCGCGGATCAGTCTTTTCCATCTTCATCTCCAGCGCACTTGTGGCACCTTTGAGAAGCGAGGGAGACGCCACAAGGCTCCGTATGTCTGGCTGGACCACCGCTGACTGGTCGAGACCTGCAAGCGGACCAGCCTCAACATCAGCGCATTATGATAATTTCGCCGTTGTCACTTCGGCCGCACGAGGCAGGCTGACCGGCCGAAGAGGGCGTCGACATTTCTTAAGCCTTGATCGTCCTTCGATACTAGGTTTGTTCTTTCTCACCTTCAGTTCTGTCATTGTCGCTTCCTGTGTTCGCTCTTGAGGTATCCTTGGCGCCGTTGGCGTCGTCCATTCGTTTTGTTCAGTGACGCAAACCAGCGTCGTCCATTCCTTTGATACCTTATCTTCCTTTCTTTAGCTGTCAGCACTCTGCAAAATGGCACGTTCTTCAGCATGGTTAGTGCTGCTGTTGGCAGTCTTCTTCCAGGCTATGCCTCAAGCTTCAGCAGGCCCTCCCGGAAGACCCGGTGCTCCAGCTCCAGCTCCCGCCCCTCCCTCTCACCAACCTGCCCCTGCGCCTGCTCCTGCTCCTGCTCCAGCTCCAGCTCCAGCCCCAGCCCCGGCGCCTCAACACAATCCAAGCACTCCCAGCAAGGCTGACACCACCAGCAAGGCAGTGGTGACAACACCATCACGTCCTTCCCAACCCGCTCGAGTCTCGTACTCTGGCGCAAAGATAGTTGGCACGGCCCAATTGCCAGCGTCGTTGTCGACAGTCATATTCGCTCAGGGTGCGTCGAGCACCGACATTCCCAAGCATAGCGGATCTCTCGGAATCAATGGGCTCCCTCAGAGCAAGACCAACGGTAATTCCCTCCTCGGCACGCTATGGGCACCTAAATACGACAGGTATATTGGAGATGCACCAGGCCAATGCAACTCCACCGTGGCACCAGCTGGGGGTTTCCCTTGGGGAGACCGAACAGCAAGCGGCACTAATCCGTACACATCAGCTCCCGTCACCGGTGTCGTTCGCTCGTACAACTTTGAGATCACGCGAGGCTATCTGGCCCCTGATGGGGTCGAATTGGAGGTTCTCTATGTGAACGGCGCATATCCTGGTCCTACCATTGAAGCAAACTGGGGCGATACCATCCAAGTCACAGTCACGAACAGCATTACGGGCCCTGTGGAAGGCACATCCATCCACTGGCATGGGCTGTTACAGTCAGGCACTCCCTGGGAGGATGGTGTGCCTGGGATCACGCAATGCCCTATCGCTCCCGGACAAACCTTTACTTACACGTTCAATGCTGATCTCTACGGCACTTCTTGGTATCACTCTCACTTCAGTGCCCAGGCTGCTGGTGGCGTTCTTGGCGCAATCGTCGTTCACGGACCCCAGAATGCTGTCTACGACGAGGATCTTGGACCGGTCATCCTATCAGATTACTTTCATGCGGAATATAGCACGATAGTAGCAGACGTTATGAGCACAGACCTCTCCAAGATTCGGCCATTTGCGGACAACACTCTCATCAACGGCAAAGGGTTCTACGACTGCTCCTCAATGGAAGATAACTCGACTTGCACACCCAATGCTGGTCTCTCCAAGTTCCAATTCAACTCCGGGGAATCTTATCGACTACGGCTTATCAATGCTGGCTCTGCTGCTACACAGGTATTCAGTATCGACAACCATACACTTACCGTAATCGCAAACGACTTTGTCCCTATTCAGCCATATACCACCGACTCCGTCACCCTCGGGGTTGGCCAGCGTGCGGACGTGATTGTTCAAGCCATCGGGTCTCCCAGTTCCGCGGTCTGGATGAGATCCATAGTCCCAGCACGCTGTGGCAGTACCACACAACCTGTGGGTCTCGGAATCGTCTACTACCAGAATGCGAACACCACTTCCGAACCAGCCTCAAAAGCATGGCCCGTCGACGAGACGCAGTGCGGCAACGACCCGCTGAGCCAGACGGTCCCATATGTCCCCATTACGCCACCAAAGTCGACCACGACGATCCAGGTTGACCTGAATTTTGAGATCAACGCCACTGGGCACTTCCTATGGACCATGGACGGCTCGACTTTCCGTACGGATTACAACCTCCCTATTCTCCCGCTCGCAATCGCTGGCAATGACAGTTTTCCCGAGGAATGGAATGTGTACGACTTTGGCAGCAACACGAGCTTCACCATTGTCGTCAACAACGACAGCCCTCTCGTGCATCCCATGCACATTCACGGCCACAACATGTTTCTCTTGAACCAAGGCTCTGGCCGTTGGGACGGTAGCGTCGTCAACCCTTCAAATCCAATGCGACGGGACACTGTCCAGCTTCAACCGGGCGGGTACATGGCATTTCAACTTGATGCGGACAACCCCGGCGTATGGCCTTTCCACTGCCACATCTCATGGCATGTGAGCGCCGGCTTGTATATGAATATCCTGGTAATTCTTCTCAGGTTTTCCGTTCTAGTTTCATGGCTGACAGTTTCTATAGGAGCGAACCGACCTTCTCCCATCAGCCGAGATCCCTTCCAGCGTCAGTGATCTTTGCACCGCATGGTCTGCCTATACGGCCGAGGGTCCGATTGATCAGATCGACTCGGGCTTGAGGAAGCGTGGCCACAACCACCTCGGACGCCATAATCACGCAAATATTGTCCGAAGGTCGTTGTAAAGAAAGAACCCAGTGGGTGGAGAGTGCCCGTTCCAGGCCGTTCTGGTTCTCGGATCTTGACCATATATTCACATCAGTCTGGGACGACGGGCTATGTGTGTGACTACAGAAACGGGGCACTGGGAAGATTCGTTCATGGAAGTTTGGCACGCAATATAACATTCTTTTTGAGACTTTTGTAGCAAGTAGAGAAATATTCAAGCATCATGGCCTATGTATGCATGAGATATGTATGTATGTCAATGTGTAATATTGTTCATTCTGGCCCACTTCCCCCAGTCCAAGCGAGCCAAGTTGGGAAACCAGCGGCACAGCCTGAGACACAGGGTAGTTGACACACCGCATTCAAGAGATCCACATGGTGCTCTATCAAGTCATACCTACATAGTAGGATAGCCACTAGTGTAGCTCCCGGAGACCAGACAATAAAACGCCGTTCTACCGACAGCCATAATAGCATCTGTTCATTACATAAGTGGTCTCTAGTGTTAAGAGGTGTTTTCTCCCTAGGGAGAGCTCCTTCGAGCTGTTCATTGTTCATACATCTATTAGATATGCTGGCCGAGCTATCTTCGCCCCACTGGGAAAGTCGTTTCACGCTGCTTTTCGTTACTCGTACATTATTAGGTGAGCTCGCCCCAAAAATCTCCTCTTAGGATCTCCGAACTCTCTTATTGTCCCTCGTTCCTCGTCCCTCGTCTCCAGCTGGTGTCGGGTATCTCGCGTGCCGTTCGTCATGAAGGAGTGTGCTGGAGCGCACGAGCTCGGCTTCGGGTCTGGACTGGTGATCGATCGCGTGGCCGCATGCGGCGAGCTCGATGTGTTCCCTAATCTGTGTCGGCTCGCTGGCGTTTATCTTCGCGTTCAGGGGACGAGATGTCGGCGTCTGACTGCGGACTTGCCGGAACTTGGGCAGTCGGTAAGGAGTTCTCGTTTTTGGCTGCTGTTTTAGCTTTCACAAGTGTCTGTTGCTCTTCCGCCAGGTCGATGATATCGCACAGCTCGTCGACCGAGAGCTCAATGGCCTCGCCGTGCAGTGAGGGTGGGACAAGTTCCGGACGAGCCATGTCGACCATGGATATCCGCAAGGGAGGGCCCGGGACACGCATACCATTCTCCGCTCGCAGTTCCTGTGTTGGTCGTCGAGATTAGCAGCTATTGTAAGAAGCGGGAGTTGAACGTACTCACCTGGACATATTCACTGATTTGGTCACCGGTGGGGTTGCTGCGTCTCCAGCAGCGTAGGGTGACTCTCTTCGTCCGGCGGGAGTCGCAGTCAATGCCAATCACCACTTGAGTCTGCCGTCCACTTTCAAACATGTAGAACTCGGCGAGTTCCGGCAGCCTATTGCGATCTTGTGACCAGGCAAACTCAATATAGAGGCCATACATTGGTGTGCGCCGATGGGTGATGAAGTTATCCGGTGAGTGCGTGCTAGAGCCTGTCGTCTTCACATCGCCACTCCCATGAGTTATGATTAGGCGGCGAAACTCTTCTCGCTCCTGGTCCCCGGCGGGAAGGTTCCGTACCTTCACTATCAGCTCGATGCAGAGCTGATAGATGAAGGTGTCATGGGCTGTGGAAGGCATGCGGTGGACAAATGTTTGAATCCGGGAAAAATAGTCAAACCTGTGGAGGCCGGACCCCCGGGGGGGGAGGGGAGGTTAGCTTTGGCCAAAGGTTAAGAGCACGAAACTGTTTTCAAAACATACCGCACTTTCCAACCGCAGTTGTCAAGAAACCATCGGAGGATCTTCCAGTCGTCGACTCCCAGTGGATACTCTTTCCAAGGCTCGTCTTCTCGGCTGCGACCAGACAAACGGCTTTCGATGTCTTGGATTATGGAGCACACGGAACGAGGGTAAGCTGATGGGAGGGACGAATCCAAGTCGGTCAGCGAAGGAAGCGAAGAAGTGTCTAAGGGGCGGTCTGTGCGGGTCCTTGTTCCATTCACTTCGTCATCGTTGTCACCGTTGTTGTTGTTGTTGTTGTCACTAACGTGAATCGACTGTGAATTTTGGGTGCCAGGGTCACCGTTGCCCGCGGGGTTGGCCTCGCGGGGCTCATCGCCGCGGCGACGGCCACTGTGAGGGAGCTGAGGCAGTGACATGTTATCGTCGGCCGGTTTGGGAACAAACAATGTGAAACCTACGGGGATGCGGGACGAACTGGCAATAATGGCTGTGGACAAAGACAACAAAAGCTACCTAAACAACAACGACGTTTTATATTTGTTCCATGTGCGGGGGAGATTCCTGCTGTGCGGGGAAACTGGCTTCCTCTATGGTTTCCTGAGGCTGTTACTCAACGTGCGCGTGTCACTTTATGCACGTACGGCCTTCACGGTCTTCAGCGGTCACGGCGGAGGTCGGTTCGTGGTCTCAAAGCATAACTACAAATCCGACAGCCCGCCCGCCAGGCCATTTCGCCGTGTTGGCATCAAATGGACTTTTGGATGTTCCAGAAAGGAGAATCTGCACGCTCTTTTGTGATGTACTGCGTATATGGCCTGCATGTCCCCATGAACAGTCGTGCGAAGTATTTCTCCCACAACCGCCGCCTGCACTTTGAAGCTTTGTGTCCAGCCAATCGTTGCATAGTGGGATTTCCGAGGTATCCCGTTCATTGGCCATCTACCCATTTAAGGTATCACCGATCATCCAAGCTTTGAGTCTATATTAAGCTTCTTGTCCTTCTGTGTGCTGGATGGGGGGGGCGCCGTTGACGTACTAAGCTGAATTAGGAACTTCGTTTTCGGTTACGGTTAAAGCTAGTTGGCCGACGCTAAGCCTCCAAGTGGGAGTCAATTGGGATGACCCTTCAACGTCATGTGCATACCGAGAGGAAGCGGCCACAAGTCGAAGGGAAGGACAACATTGCCGACGGAGGGCATGTGGAGATGAACATCTGGCAGCTATCGTCTGGATTGATGCTGGTCGAGAGCGACGGGAGTGTCCTGCTGCCCCGTGGCAGAGCGATTGCAAAATAAACATCGATCCAGACGAGCATTGTGTTCCTCACGGTCCAAAATATCCCCTCCAAGCTTCTATCATCGCTCCATGCGATTCCCGGCCAGCCAGAGTCCGCCGCTCGCAAGTCACACCGGCAAAGCATCTACCACATCCCCGAACAATACGGGCTGACATTGAACGTACAAGCAGCATGCCACGATCCGTCGTATGCGCTCAGCGAGTTGTTCTTCTTTTACATCAGTAGCGAAACACAGTATCTCAACATGCTTCAACGACGACTCGACGATACCATGCGCTCCTGCGAGGGCAGGGAAAATCTAGCTCTCGATGATTTGCACCATACAAAACAGCTGATCAACAGCCACACACGAAGCATCGAAGAGCTCCGTCTGGGTTTTTCCACGCGGACCCATCGACACTGGCCGCCGCCGACGACTCTCTGGAGCAGTTCGTCTTCCTCCGCCCCCAGCTTCATCAACAACATTGATCCAACCATGTCTGCCGGCGCCCAGAAGAACCCCGGGCGCCCATCGGAAGGCGGTGCCGTCCAAGCCAAGCTCATCGATAACCTCGCATACCGGCACCGCCAGGCTGCACATCTTTCGCAGCGCGCCACCGAGAGCATGAACTTTGTCTCGAACGGAGTCATGCTCGAGGAGTCGCGGCGCGCCATGCTCAAGGCAGACAGCATGGAGCCACTCACCTGCTCGCCTTCTTCTTCCTGCCTCTATCCTTCACTACGTCCATTTTCGGGACCAATTTCACAGAGCTCGGCTCGGGCAAATAAGAGCATCTGGATTCTCGTGGTGACTCTAGTACCAGCTACGGCCTTCGCGGCGGTGCTGGGCTTTCGGAAAAAGATTTCTTACGTCAAGGTTGCACGGGCGCTGAAACTTCGATCGGTCGATCGGTAAAGCTGGGGCTGGGGTCCATAGATTGTGCCAGGCCGTCCGGCTTTGGGAATGGGATCCTGACACATGATACACGAACGAGACTGGTTCCCCTCAGCGAGACCAAATCCTCACCATCCTGGGCGTCTCGGCCTCGGTGATTGATCTGGCACTGGCGGAAACACCCAATTCGTCAAGTAATGCCTGGGCCTGCTTGATCAGAGTGGCCGAAAGCAGCGAATTGTCCATCAGTGTCTGAAGCCGCGCGGCTTTGATTTCGGTCCGAGCAAGCTCACGCTTGTAGTGGCTGTTGCGCTCAAATGCCTCGATCACCAGTTTGTAATCCTGCCACGCTTCCTCCAGCAGACCCTCGCGGATCTTGTGATCAGCAAGCTTAAGCCGCGCCTGCGAGGTCTTGTAATTATTGCCATTGGCGGCATAGAACATGTCGACGGCGGCCTGATAGCTGGCTCGAGCGTCATCAAACTTTCTCAGGTCGGCCTGGATGTTTCCCAACGGGAGCAGAATGCCACCAAGTCCGGGGAGAGGAAAAGTCGGCGAACGGCGTTTTCCCAGGCAAAACAACAGGCACAAGATGATTTGAATTCGCCGAGGGGTTTGGGATAATTTTACCCGTAGGATCCTCCTTTGCCATTCTGTTTGTCCGCGTTCACGGCGTCAAGGAGGATATCCTCGGCCTCCTGAAATCGTCCCAGCGACCAAGGGGGCCCATCCCATGTGCGCTACCGCGTAGTACGGCACCGTTTTCCAATCCTTATACATCTTGAATGAACGATACATGGCGAGTGCGATCTTGGATTCCTCATACGATTCTTCAAACATGTCGGCTCTGTTGTATGCCACGGCCATGGTTGCAAAGCCCATGGCAAGATCGTACTGCGTTTGGGAGGGGGGCATCTCCGCTTCCGTATTGGTCCCGCACTTTGGCGTCGGAGCCTGAAATGCTCGCATGCAAATTCCAGGACCTCGGATGGTTCATTGGTGTGGATGCCCAGAGCCGTGAGAGACATGAGACACTCGGCCAGCAAGGCTAGAGAGGCTTGATTTCTTCTCTGTTAGGCGATTTTCAAGGCGAAGGGCAAGATGGGCAAAGCTGCCGAGTGTTTCCCACACTTATATATGTACCTTTGTCTAGAGTCAGTACGCAAACTCGAGTGAAGATGGGAATTTGTCTCAATGTACCAGCCACAACCCTTAAGCAATTCGATTCAAAGATTCTCGACCTTTGGACTCAGTGGAATTGAATATTTTTCATATGCATTCTTTTGCATATCAGCCTCCAATCTCACTAGCCTCCACTAGATATGGAAAAAAAGAATTAGAGGTTGAGATTGCGCTATTGCATCGCGCTGGCTCGTAAAAGAATAAGGCTCGCGTAGAGCAGGGGCTCAATGAATCTCATTTCACGTCCTCAAGATTTAAGTCCACGCCATCTCGGTTTGCCAATTAGGACACAGAACCAACCCCAGATCGATTGTTTCGCTACACTGAAAAACTCGTCAGAGGCTGGAGAGTCCCGAGGCCGATCTGCGATCCCATTGAGGCTCAATCGATTGTAACAGGCCACGCCCCGCGCTGTTGAGTGAGTAGGTGTTGGACTGACTGGACAGGCACTAAGTCTCGACAGCTACAGTTGCACGAAAAAGAAATTCACGGCCTTCAACGCCTGTTACTCGATTGGTGGGATCTGTCGTACAAGAGCTAAAGAATGCGTGGTCGCAGAAGGCGGCCAGGGCAGGATTCTCATCATCACATGAATGCTGCTTCTCATCCGCCCGTAGTTGAGCTGCAAGTTCACATATTTGTGCCCCTTATTGGTCGGTTGCTTGTGATGGGTGCGGCGCAGACAGCTGTTCCACTTGCACACCTGTTGCCCGCGGAAAAAATATTTCGGTCTTTTGAACGCGGGTTCCTCTCATTGTGTTGGACCGTCGTCAAACGCCTCGGACAGCCTAACAGAAGAGCATTGTTGCGAGGGCCATTGCGTCTGTGCCTGTTGAAATGGTGAGCTCGGGCGCAGGAGCAAATTCTGGCGAATGTTTTGTCGGCAAATGCTCCAGAATGCTACCTCCCTTTCGTGCAGCTTCGTCCCACTTAGCCGGGTCGGTGCTTCCTAGCTTCTAGTACACAAACGGCACAGGTGACGGACCGCTCAGCAAGGAGAAATCTTCGGCCGGTGTGTCCATGGGAGGTACCCAGAAGCGATCTCCGAAGTGTAGAGTGAAATATACCTGAAGCTGTTGTGCCATTTGAGTGTCGTTCACAGTGACTGGCGCACGGGAGCTCATTTCAACCGTGGCTGTGACTTTTCCAGCGAAGACTCCGCACTCAGCATTTGTAATTGCCTTGACAGCATGGAAGACCTGGTCTCAGACTGCAGTGCTCGTGGTCTTAGTCTCCAAGCGCATGCTAACCTGGTTCGTAAACAGTGTGCCCGGCCCTCCCGCATGGAGATCTCGGTAGACAAGTGTTGCAAAGTCCTTATGGTCGATGTCGGTTCCAACAATTCTTTGGAACCGGGTGACAAGATAGCTGGCAATACTGACCGGCTCTGGACACTCTGATGGGTTGACGCCGACCCCGTCACTGTGAATCTTGATCTCGACATAGTCGGAAGCCGGGAGCACAGGGCCAGTTCTCACTGCAACGAGGCCTGCTTTTGGCATGCCGACATGCTGGGCCAGCATAAGATCCGGCGGTGGACAAGCATCGTACAAACCATCGTCGATCATCGCCTAGGCACCACCAGGAGTCTCTTCGTTGGGCTGGAAGACAGCAATAATGGTGCCAGACCATTCTTTCGAAGCTGATTGCAGGAGTTTCAAGCTGGCAAACACGCATGCGATGTGGATATCGTAGCCGCATGCATGCATCACAGGCCGCTCCACCCCTACAACGTCCTTCATTCGCGCCTTGCTGGCGTACGGTAGTCCTGTCTTTTCCTCAATGGGAAGAGCGTCCAGTTCGGCACGCAGGAGGATTGTCTTGCCATGTCCATTCTTGAGCAACCCCACCACTCCATGTCCCCCCACCGATGTTCTAACCTCTAAGTTCATTCGTCGCAGGCATGCAGCCACCACACTGGCAGTACGAGATTCGAAGCATGAAAGCTCAGGGTGCTGATGAAGGTCTTTGTACAGGTCCACGAATGGGGTCAAATCCGGCCGACGTTGATCCAAAACTCGCTGGAGTCGTGCCAGTTTCTTTCTGTCGGGTAGCTCGTGAGGCTCTGACGTGACCGTCATTTCCGCCATGGTGTCGCGAGGGGAGGAGAAAAGTCGTTCGAAGCCTGACGATGTCGTGGTTTTGTAATATTGATGAGCAAGTGATCGACCAATGTCTTGACGATAAAGCGTACATGTGACTGTTGGGCACACCCCTCTGACAGCTGCCAGCCAGCCTTGTAGGTAATGCGCGGGAGCTGATGAACGAGGTCCACCCATGTCCTCATCCCGTGGTGCGGAGTAAATTGCTCATGCAGCCCTCGAAGTGATACAAAAGGCGGTGGATGGCAAGGCAGACTCACATGTGCCTTCCATCTCTCGGATACCTCTACAGCGCCCAGGAGACTGGCATCCATATCGACGAAAAAATTAACTCCAAAAATGCAACCAATCGCGACCGAAAGTGGCAAAAAGCTGCGCCCATGGACCCAATCAGAATGCATTGACATCGCCAAGATCGCTGCTAGCAACGGGCCGACGCGCAGCTGTGCCTCTCATCGCAGCATCCGACTGCTCAACGAGCGTGACGACAAAGGATAAAACAGAACGTGTGTCATCCTGACCAGCGCGCCTATGTCTATAGTGCAACGTTCAACCGACAATGACACAGGCGCATTGCCAATGGAGTGGTCGTTCATAGAGCGCTGAATGGAAGCTACGAGACTCTACGGATATGTTGAGCTGCAGGTATTCACTGTTGGGACACAAACGGTGGGCATTTCTGAGGTCGCCCAAGATATAGCCACTCAGTGAATGGGGCCAACGCTCGTTGAAAGAAACCACTCGTCTTCAAATGGTCCTTTGTAATTTCCCTTGCGTAGTTTGCCTGGTCACTGTCGCTATTATCATAACGTCTTCGGGGCACTAGGGATTGGGATTTATCCATGTTAAAAGTCCGTGCTAGGTAGGACCTAATGGGCAATTGTTAATCTCGTATTTCCTCAGACAAACTTCACATCAATGGCGTCTAAATAATCATGCAGGGGGGATGAGTTCAGAGGAAAACGAATGCAGATGGAAAGAGGATTTTAGGGGAAAACGATCAATTGTATTTTGCCTACGACTGCGACAAAAGCCCTCATAAGGTCAGGCTTTTGTGAACAATCACCGAGGAAAAACCCCTAAAAAAAGAAAGAAAAAAAGGGGGGGGGGATACCATAGCCTCACTTATCTTCACTTACCATTTTCACTTACCTTTCTGCTTGCCTTTTCGCGAACTTTTCTTGTCGAGGTCAGTAGTAGCCTGCTACTGCACCCCATGCCCTGTTTGTTAGTTGCAGGCCGGATCTTTCTCATCGCCTACCTGCTCTCGAACTTGCGCTCCGAACGCATCTGAATTCAATCCACGCGGGCATAAGAGAAGTAGCTGTCAGCCTCGGAGACCGCGCCTCTTCTTCCATAGTTGCCGTTGGAGTTACGGACGGTGCCACCGTAGGTCCCATACTGTGAGCGAGCCGCTGCAGTCACAGCAGTCGCCAAGCGGTCGTAGTCTCGGGAGGTTATTGTGCGGGAAGAATAGTTGGAGCCAGAAGAGGAAGACCTAGAGCCGGATGAAGAGCTGTACTTCTTGCTAGACGACGAGCCGAAGCCGGAGCTCGAAGACGACTTGCCGGAGGAGTGCGAATCAGAAGGCATGGTCAAGGTGGGATGAAAGTCGGAGAAGTTTTGGATGGTTGGTGAGTGTGTTGATGGGTCTTCAGCTTTGAAGTTGAGAAGAGCAGCGAAGTTGAGATAGCAAAGTCTTGTGATGAGTTGCTTTTCTCGCCTCAAAGATGAAGATGGTGTTTTGTTGCGTATTGTTGGTATGAAGAAAGGAAAGCACTGGAAGCTGGAAAGCCTCGAGATATTTAAGCTCTGCAGAGTCCAGTCCCATGCTAGGAGGCGGTCTGGCACACAAAGTCTCGATGCCTTCGGAGAGAGCAGTCGCAGACAATGCCTCATTGAAAAGATCTGATATCCTGTACACAAAGCCTGTGTCGAGTAAATCAATGGAGAAAGGACGTAGTACCATTCATTCATCAACCACTCTTTATTGGCTTTCTTAGCAGTGATCAAAGAAGTCACTGTAGTACCGTGAAGCCTCAGACAAGCTGCCATATGCTTCGCTTCGTTCGTGCTTTTGGCAATCTCCTTTGTTCAACCGCAAAGACCATTGTCGTGCCAGGTGCAGACCTCGAGCCAGAACAAACAAAGTTGACGTTGGGTCGGAGGTGCTATTCGACGTCGACAGACATGACATCATGTTAATCTTGGTAGGCCAATGAGGAAAGAGCAAACACTCCGAGATATACCACTAGCGTCTTTTCAATCCGCGTGGCCCAGTCGCTAATCTGTACCACTAGTGTTAAGTCGTCCTCCAACTGTATAGATGGATCGACTGCAATCGTCGAGGCTAGCAGAGACGGAGATCAGGTCTATTGCTTATGGAGCTTACGCGGCTTCGCACATTCAGCCAGAGATTGATATTGCTGACTTGTATCCGCGAGTTCGAGAATAGCCCAAGTAACGGCTGTGACGGAAATGACCCCCAGGCAACCAGCAAAGTCGAAGACACCATGTGCCATCTAGGTAGCCTGTTATGAGTTCTTCCATTCACCAAGACTTTGTCCTGCGTACGTCCTTATATTGAGCCTCTCACCAGGCTCTCACGATGAATATCTCGAGATTTTTCAATGGCTGTTTATCACGTGGGTCCGTGACGCGAACGCGTTGCGCGTCGTGTTTCGATATTCTCGCGTCGGGTGCGCCCCGCAGGCGACCAGGATACCACTGAGCCACATCCGAAGAACAGTCCTTGCCTCACTCCTACCAGCCTCCTTTCATCAAGAGTAGTAGGATGTTTGTGTCATGTCCAAAATCGCTTGGTCAATCACCAGCACCAAGCGGAAGACCAGGCCCGCATCTTCGGCGCCTAGGAAGCGACAACGACGAAATGACACGGACGGCACCTCTAGCAGTCGACCCTCGAAGAGCCAACGGACTCTGACCCAGGCCGAATGGATCACCACCTTCCCCCCAAGCGATGATGAAGCCGACATGCTGTATCTAGATGACGGGCAAAGGCATACGCCGGCGCCAAAAAAACCTCGCCAGAGCGCACAACGACCGAAGTCTACACTGACCCAGATGGATTTCTTCAGTTCTCTTCCTCGAGATTGCCAAGATTTTGATGACACCATGATTGGCGTTGCAGACGGCGACGATGGCGGTTGCGCTGTCCCGCAACTAGACGGCACATATGACAGTCCGAGGAGGCCTCGAAAACGCAAAGCAACTCCTAACGCTGCGAGTTTGCCGACGAAGCAGAAGACCGAACCCGCGAACGGAGATAGCCAGGCAGAGTACAGGCCTACCAAGAGAAAGAGAAAGGTTGGCTTCGCAGACGAGGAGAATGCAGAAGAACCTCGAAGAGCATCTAAGCGTTTGGCATCGAAGAATGAGGTGCTCTCGGATCCAGTGAAGAACTTCGATTACTTTGCGAAAGCATTGACTGATGAGGCGGAACAAGGGAACCACAACGGTGTAGATGAGCCCTTCAACTGTCCTTTGGAGATTGTGGACACGACAGAAGATGAGATTGAAATCGCACCGGATACACTGTCGAAAAGTCGATGCTCTGCTCTCCCTGAAACACCAAAAAAGAACACCACTGTCATTCTCTCAAGCCAGTCTCCGGAAAGCTTATGTGAGAGTACGCAGAGGAGCAATCGAAAGCCGCCCGTAACCTCTTCTAGAACGCGCCGACTACCTTTGGCTGAACGATCGACCAATGTTCCTGCTGTAGCATTCCCAACTAGGAAAGGAGGGAAAAGACGGGGAGCCTCCAGGAATGAGTCGAATAAGAGCAGGGTGGTCGTCCTGAAGCTTCCGAAGCGAGATCGGCCTCAACGTCCTACACTTATTGAGGATCCTCAAGCAATTTTGTGGTCAATTCCTTCGTCCTCCCCCGAATTGATAAGACCTGCGACCGCTGTCCAAGCACCTGCAGCTCCATACAGTGCCGCCGAAGACATTGAAATTCCTGCCACAAGCCAAGCACAGGGAAGTGGATTGGCCTCGTTGAACGCCGGGAGTGAGGACAATCTACCAAACCTGAGTCAGCTTTTTGCGAGCAGAAGCGGTGGCACAAGGACAGAAGATGCGGCGGACTCTGCACAGAAAGGAGATCGAGGCGTCACTGTCCGAGACTTTGCTGACGCTCACTTTTCGGCAACCAAGTCCTCCACTCCACCTCTCGATGGCATCGTCAGGTCTTCGCCGCCCGTCCATTCAGAGACACAAGATCCAAAAGAGCCGGCAAGTGAATCTTCGGAGGAAAGTTGCGAGGCTGCGGATTTCGGATCACCAATTGCAAATGACACGCAATTCAATATACAGATTCAGCACCGTTTATCATCCCCTAGTCCAGCAGAGCAACCTCTAGAACAGTCAAAAGCTAGAATCGATGCGGTTCTGTTTTCGACACCACCGTCGATTGATCGCGAACGTGACGTTAGAGACGGTGACGCTCCATGCTCCGTCCTTCAAAATATTGGCGCATTGCGCTCGTCAGAATCGCCTCCGCCGATACCGAGACTTGTAGAGCGTTGCAGCGCAGACGCGGATAGTGAGGCACCTGAACTTGTCGACGATGAGGCAGGCGAAGTACCTTTCCCGAAGCCTTTGTTTGTACATCCATCGAGCGTCCATCGAAAGCTAACACAAGCGCCGCTAAACGATACCTTACATACCTCCTCGTCGCCTTCTCTTCCATCGGGAAGACTTGCCACGCAAGGATCTGTCCATCCGGCCTCAATTCCTCACCCGTCACAAATGTCGACCCAAGATGTTACGCAAGGCTTTCTTCCCCCGTCATCTTTCCCACACCAGTGTCGGGAGAGTGTGTTTGAAGGCGAGCCCGACAAGATCACGATCAAAGACTCCAGCTCCTCCAGTATTCCGCTCAGCCAGATTCCCCAACATGCCGGACGCGACGAATCTCAACAGAATCGCGACATCGGTCCAGCTCTAGAATCCGATTCTGAAGATGATGTAGATCTGGATTTGGATCCACCTTCCCTCCCGCCTCGGCCATCTCGACCTCAGGTGGCTTTCCCTCCAGAGCATACCGAACCAGTCACCGCCGGCAAAAGCAGATCAGGGTCGGCTGTGAAGACAAACGGCAGTCACACCTCCAAATATCAGAGCCCCCAGTCCAGCTCACAACCTGGAGAGCCTCAATCTGAAACCGCCTCCACAGCCAGCCACTCTTCGGAACTCTCACTACCATCTTCACCGGAACGGCCGCCCCCGTTGCAGAGACAGTACTCACCGATTCCCGGATTCAACAACGACACGCAGTCGAATTTTACGCAGGATGGACACGTCACCGCCGCGTATATCCACCGTCAGCGCGAATCCGGCGTCTTCCCGAAGTGGTTCGTGCCCACCCCGTACCAGGTCCCGGGGTATACGAGACGGAAATAGGTTGAGTCAACGGTACTGGAGGGGGAAGAAATGTGGTGTCGGGGTTGGCTGTTTGAGGTCCTTCTGGGTGTCCTTGAATGGTCTCTTTCTCTAAGTATCCCGAACTTGCGTGGCGGGGAGGCTGGTTCGGGATGTGCATATCTGTTGAACTTGTCGTGAGGTGCATTGTGTCGCGCTGGAAGGCGCTGTGATGCAATGACTAGCGCACGGCCTGTGTGTGAACCATGGAATAGAATATCATTAAGCAATTGCCATCCTCTAAAGTGCAGCCCTATCTCCTGAACAACCTCAATGCTTCGACCTCTCCCGTGTCGTTCCCATCTGTGTGTATCCCATCCCCTCCGTCAGCGTCGTCATCACTTCCCCTTTCCCGCTCATCCAACGCCCCGACCCTGCCCAGCAGACTGCCGAAGAACTCGGCCTTGGCCGGCTCACTCCACGTGGTGCGGTCCTCGGGGGCCATGAAGTTCTCCAGCTTCTCGTGCACCGTGTACCGGATCTTGCGGCCCTTGCTGGCCTTGGTGTCGACCCGCTTGTGCTTGCTGCCCGACACGTGGAGTCTGGTTGGCAGCGCGGACGCGGCGACGACGCCGGCGCCGTCGGTGACGAGCGCCGCGGCCGCACCGGCGGAGCGCGAGGCGATCAGGTCGCGGAGCAGGGATTGGTAGAACGGGCCGTCGTCATAGGTGTGCGTCTCGGGCGCGTAGGATTGGGCGGTGAGCTTGGAGGACTCGGTCGCAAGGTAGGCGTCGAGCACGTCCGTCAGGCGCGACGTCGCAGAGGACCGGTGGGACGGCTTGAGTAGTTTGGACTGGGCGGCCGGGTCGAGCACTGGCTGGGTTTTGGCGTGCCATTTGTCGATCACGCTGCGGCGGTGCGTGTGGGAGTGTGTCTCGAGCGAGGTGGAATGCTCCCAGATGTCCGAGAGGGGGGTCATCTTTGTCGGGTTGAGAGGGCGTTTCCTCTTGAGGGTCTTCTCCTCGGCCTTGTCATCAGATGAAGGCCCGTCTCGGGCGGAAATAATGGCCGTGCGTATCGAGTCGATGGTCGACCACAGCGCCAGCGCGGCGTCCTCAGCTTGTTGCGCCGCGCTCTTCAACTCCTCCTCTTCGTCGGCGAAGGACGTCGGCAGCTCGTTCATGGCCGTGATGCCCTTTTGCAACTTGATGCGGGCATCGAGGAGGCGGTCAAAGGTTTGCCGTTGTTGCTTGACGGCTTGGCCCTTTTTCACGTCCGCGGCGGCTCCAGCTGACAGTGCCGACGCCAGTGCCGCGGTCGATGCAGAGTCGAAGGCAGCTTTCCTCAATTCTTCCCGTTCCGCACTCCGGGAGGATTTCGCAGCTCGTGATGGAGGTGGTGAGGTGGCAGATGATATAGAGGAGGTTTCGTGGTCGTCGTCCATCTTGACATCAGATTCGTCGAAGGAGTGGTCCTCTGACAGGTCTGACCCATCATCCTCTGCCTCATCCCGCGAATCTTCTCCATCATCATCAACAACGTTTTGTGGCTCCAGCTTGCTAGCCTGGAAACCGAGACCCTTGGCTGACAGCAGCTGGTTGTCGTTCTCTTCCGAGACCGCTTCAGAGCCAGAATTGTCCTCATCCCTGGCAGCAAACGGATCTTCTTCCTCGTCTTCTTCGGCGGGCGCAAAGGGGTCGTCGTCCTCTTCATCTTCGAGCGCTCTGCGACTCACCGCCACCCCTCCGTATTTTGCGTCCAGCGTTGGTTGTTCTGGCCGCCGCAGTCTGCTCTTGCCCACCGTTTCGTAATGCGCCCGGCTGAGATCATCTTGCAGGTCTCCTTCGTTTTCAGACTCTTCGTCGTCGCTCGCGCGCAAATACGCACCGTCTTCGGGGTCATAATCTGCCGGACAATAGTGAGCAACAATGACTAGCAGCGCCTGCTACGACATGAAGGACTGACCTTTCACTTTCCTCCGCTCCAGGTCAGCGACCTGTTCTCTGAGACTCGGCATCATATGGTCGTGTTCTGCAAGGCGACGAAGTTTGCTGTGCTGCAGGCTCTTTTTGCAATCGAAATAATTTTTTGGAGAACTCGGCGCAAGTTTCCCCGCAGGTCCATCCATTCCCACTGGTGCCACCGACTAATGGGGGACTTTGGTCCCTTGAGGCTCCGCAAGCTTTCAGCCACTGCCCGGACGTGGCCGATTACTTTATGAGGATATATATTGCAGTCTACGAAATAAGCTAAAATCCGGCTGAATAGTTCAGAGGTAGAATTCTTGCTTTGGGAGTCTTTCTGTCTTGATTGTAAGAGGTCCTGGGGTGAGTTTTACCATACATTTCTTGGGCGACGGCAGGTTACTAACTTTCACCCTAAGTTCAATTCCCAGTTCAGCCCTTCTCTTTGCTTTCTTTTTGCTGGTTTAATGGTTCTCTTTCTTGTTCTTATTCTGGTTCTTTTTCTTTTCTTTTTTTCTCGCTTGGAGCAACCACTATTCACGAACTGCTCGAGGACGACAATTTGCCTCAGTGAGGGGGAAAATTGTGCGATCACGTGGCTGTCATTCCCCAACGTCATTTGATTTGGGGGAAGACAACCAGGCAGCCAAGTCGATCCTCCACCGCGCATCGCTGGATGCCTCCCTTGACATTGACACCACTCCATATCGATGGACAACCCTCTGATCAATACGCACCTCGTGGGCATTAGCCTTTGAGTGGACACGTCATTCACGAAGGAACCTCCCTCTTTACAGCTGTACAATGAGCCACACTCTTCACATTCTCAAACAGTCTAGAAGCAATGCCGCGCAGGGCGAGTCAGCCGGCTGCAAGAGCGTCAAGGCCGACACGTCGGTCCGCTCGCCAACCCAAAAAGCCTGGAGATGATATTCCTGAAGTTTATGGCGATATGCTCGCCGACGCCGTCGCCGAGGAACAGGCTTCGGCTTCGAACTCGCGAGCTACCAAGCGGCGGAAGATAAGCGAGGAACCGTCGACCCAGATCGAACTCGATTTTGACCTATTTGGTTCTCGGACAGACGCCCAAGATGATGGCGGTACGGCACCTGCTGACTATGCACCTCCCAAGATCCAACAGGTCGTCTTCGATGATTTCGAGGACTCGGACGAATCCGACGCCGAGTTTGAAGACGTCGATCTCGAAGCAACCACAAACCACGCTGTCGAAGACCGGCTACTTGAACAGAAGACCCTCGAACTCGATTTGTCCAAGACCAGTACGCCGAGGCGCGCGATTCAACGACGCAAGCCTGTTAGTCTGGCAGAGCGCAAGCTTCGCCTGGATGTACACAAGGCCCACCTCGTTTTTTTACTGGCACACCTCAACTGCCGTAACAGATGGTGCAACAGTGAGTTCGTGCATTCTCTCTTGAAGCCTCTCGTGCCTCGCAAGGTGATCTCGTTACTTCATGTCGACGAGTCTAAACCTCAATATCAGAGATCACATTCGTTCAACAAGGGCATCGAGGAAGTCTGCGCTCTTTGGAGGCAGCAGTGGAAAATCACTGCACGGGGGATGAATCGCGCTCATTGGAGAGAAGACGTCGACGCCGTCAAGGAGAGCGACGATGCTGAAGACTTGGTCGACTTTGACGACTTCAAAGCCGCAGCGGTCTCTCGCTCGGGTTCGAGAGATCTAGGAGCTCAACTATTCTGCGCCCTACTCCGCTCAGTAGCAGTAGATGCCCGATTAGTATGCTCTCTTCAAGTCCTGCCATTCTCTGGAATCGCCAAGGGACAGACCCCAGAAAAGCCCAAACCCCAATACATCTATGCGCCTCCCCAGAATTTTGGTTCGGGGACGCAAGACAGGAACGTCACTACTACGCGCGAACGCACTCCAACTCCCAAGAAAAAGAGAATTGTCGAGTCTCCCTTTCCGATATTTTGGGTCGAAGTTCTGTCGCCTTCTGTGCAAACTTGGATCCCGCTGGACCCTCTCGTCCGCAACACAATCAACAAACCAAAGACCGGGTTCGAACCTCCTGCATCTGATCAACTCAACAGCATGACTTACGTTATCGCATTTGAAGATGACGACTCAGCCAGAGATGTCACAAGGCGCTACACTCAATGGTACAACGCAAAAACACGAAAGCAACGAGTGGAGAGTACAAAGGGTGGCGACAAGTGGTGGGAGGTGACGATGAACCTCTTTCAGAAGCCGTTCAGCGAGACACGGGACGAGATCGAGGATGCAAGTCTGCTCAAGCGCGCCGAAAGCGAACCCATGCCCAAAAACATACAGGATTTTAGAGGACATCCTGTCTATGTCTTAGAACGGCACTTACGGCTGAACGAGGTCATACATCCTCGACATGAGGTGGGCAAAGTGAGTTCTGGGCCCCTAAAAAGCGCAAAGCTTGAGAGTGTGTTCCGCAGACGAGATGTGCATGTATGTCGGACCGCGGATGCGTGGTACCGGCGGGGTCGTGATGTCAATGAAGGGGAGCAGCCGTTGAAACGAGTGGTCCCTAAGCGACAGCGGAACCTGGACGCTGCAACTGCTGAAGACCTTGACGACGAAGACGAGGCCCAAGAAGGAATGGCTCTCTATGCTGAATTCCAGACCAGTCTCTACGAGCCGCCGCCTGTCGTCGATGAGAAGATACCCCGCAACGCATACGGAAACCTGGATGTCTACGTTCCCTCGATGATACCCGCTGGTGCAGTCCACATCCGCCATCCGCTGGCATCGGCAGCGGCTCGCGTTCTTGAGATAAATTATGCAGATGCGGTGACGGGATTTCAGTTCAAAGGCCGGCAGGGCACAGCCGTCATTGATGGTGTGGTTGTAAGCATGAATATGACCAACGCCATGATCAACGTGATTGAGGGTCTGGAGGCCCAGGCGACAGAAGAGGTGCAGGAAGCGAGGACCAAGATCATTCTGGCGATGTGGAAGAGATGGCTCACTGCTTTGCGCGTGCACGAGCATGTCCATCGGCAGTACGGGAACCAGAAACACTTCAGCATTCACAAAGACGCCAATGCAGAAGAAGACGCTACCTACCGAGACGAGGAAGATGGTGGCGGATTCATGCTAGACCAGGCGGAACTGGATGAAAGCGAAGATGCTGCCAACACTGTTCCTTCGACGCCACCAAACCTGAAACCACTGAACCAGCTTCTTCCCGCCGAAGTTGTGCATCAAGATGTGATTGTCGTCAGATCTCCGAACAAGCTCGCACAACTGCCTTTCTCTGACCTGTCGCGGCGCCGCGACCGAGTCGTAGCGGAACCGCCGAATGCGGACGAGAGTGGAGGGTTTCTCCATGAGGCGGACGATGCGGGCGGTGGGTTCATCTCCGATGATGATATGGACCAGAATGTTGGAGAGAGTCAAAACCACGGACATGCGGCATCCCTACACGGCAACATCTCGCACGATGGAGGTGGCAGGTTCATTTTCGAAGAGGACAATGAAGGAGGCGGCTTCCTGCCCGAGGATGAGGACGGAGATGATGAATCCCAGCCGCGGTCTCGCGCGGCTCATGGCGACTCGATCAAGCCGGAAGCAGTTGCGACGCTCTCTGAGGCAGAACACACGTCAACCGAAGAGAGATTGAAGGATGCTGCTGGTGCTGCGGGAAATGCGACCGCCGCCGCTGCCGGAGATAGCAGTGCCAAGCCCCGGAGCATAACGGCCGAGGGAGTCGGAGGATCAAGCGAGGATGTAGAACCGTCGACGCATTCGAAGCATATACCCGATGCGGCTATGGCACTGTCTGCCCAGTCCCTATCAGGGACCGCCACGCTCCAGCCAAAACAGCCGACCGCCAGGAGCGGGGAGACCACATCAGGTCAAGGCGAAGGAGGCGCCGACCACGCAAGGGATCCAGCACTGCAGAGTCCTGGTTCTGGTCCTGGTTCTGGTTCCAGGTCTGGCTCTGCCTCTATAGCGGGGTCCCTCCTCTCTCATGACCCAGAAGACGACGACGCCGAGCCCGAGTGGTTACTGAGCAGTCTGGGCGAGATGGACTAGGTCCGTCGTTGCGACGAGATACGGGACACGGAAGCCGTGCACAAGGAGCATGCAGTAAGTATAGTTCATGTAGTTTGAAGAGCATATATACACGCATTCACACAATGAGTGATCCATGCGTGATTCCAGCGACGTGACTATTTCCACTCGTGCATCTCCCCAAGTGATCTCTCCTCGTGAATCGAATAACTCTCATGCCCTGGAAAAGGGAGACAAGGGACGCACTGCCGCCCATCAACCAAACCGAACAGGCCAAATAAGGAACTGGTCTTTGTTAACTAAGTGAAACTTCAATCCATTGATTGACTGATTGATTGGCGTCCCCGATCGGGTAGCGAACACATGCCTGATACGGATGGAGTAGGACTCCGTATATACATCCTAATTAGCTATCGTCCTGTTTGCGAATACATCGCACGGCACGGCATGGTGCCACATAGCGTAGCGCGGTACGGTATGGCATTGCATCAGAATTGTAGCTAATTACCGAGTATTGTGGCTGGCAAGCTAGCTAGCTAGCTAGCTAGAGGATGGGATGGATGATCAATACCCGACTTTGCTCCCTTTCCAGAATACTTCCATCGTCCAACGTCCAACGTCCAACATCCACCAAGGGACAAAGTAGATAGACAGAAAGATCGGCAGAGCGACAGACAGACAGACGCAAGAGGGTATCTCAACTCGATTCGACTCAACATTTGGACACTGCACAGCAACAAACAAGAATCCATTCATTTCCGCTCAAGAGAGGAGGAAACAGCCGCTAAATGAGAGAAGGGAGGAAACCAAGAAAAAGAGAAATTCCGTCTTCGCTTCGCTTCGCTTCGTGCCGTGCTGTACTGCTGCTCACGCGCTTGCTCGCTGGATATAAAACTGAAACTGAAACTGAAACTGGAATGAGGGTCATAAGGAAAAAAAGGGGAGCCTCGGGGCTGCTCGACGAGGGAAAAACCAACAACATCAAAGACGCAACATGGCGACAAGACCCCGTATTACTATCATCCAACAACTCTGGGAGATTTCCCATCTCCAATAGTCTTCTTGCCTCGTCAGAGTGAGAGCGAACACTCAACACTCCTTCATTCCGTCACATCTGGACTCCGCCCGGTGAAGACCACTAATCTAAATCCTCGTCGTCCTTTTCAACATCCGTCGTTGCCGTCTGAGTCTGGTCGTCGACACGGCTCAAGATCCCCGCCATCTTCTGATGCTCTTCGAGAAAGTCTTCGCTCAGGTCGTCCAACTGCTTGATTTGCTCCTGGATGCCGGCCAACTGGCCTGCAACATTGCGACTTTTCCCGTTCGTTGCTGGTGCAGGGGCTTCCTCTTGACCTGCTGCAGGCGCCGCTTCGGCAGCCGTGGTTCTCGTCGCGGCGTCTTCAGGAGCTTCTAGAGGGCTGGCCCATCGACTAGATTCCAGCCCTTGTTTCGGAGAGGCAGGAGAAAGGGGAGTCGCAGACTTCGCACCAGGCTTCGGGCTTGGAAGCGCAGCAGCCTCAGCCCTGAATCGCTCTGCTTCCTTCTGCGCACTCTCGGCAAGATTTCGTTGCGTTTCGATCTCAAGCATTGCTCCTTGCAGCTCGGCTTCAAGTGACATGATGGTCTTCTTTGCTTCATCGAGGCTCGCCTTGATGGCGTCGACATGCTCTGATTCTGGAGCCTTCTGCACCGCCAGTTTGGCATCGTTCAGTTCGGTGAGGACCTTTTCGAGTTGAGTGTCGTACTCCGCCTTCGCCTCGCGGATCGCATGGTCGTGCTTCTCCTGCAGTGCATGAAGCTCCTTCTGGGCAGTCGTGTACTTCTCGTTCAATTCCTCGAGCTGCGATGGATCCGGTCGCTGCGCTGCAGCTTCCTTTGCATCCATGAGCTCTTGCTTCATCGCTGCCAGAGCAGATTCTCGTTCCTCGCGTGCTAGAACCATGGCTTCTTGGTATTTCTTCTCGACTTCTATGGCTTCTTCTTGTGCCGCGGCAAGTTGAGTTCGAAGTTCGTCCAGCTGGGCGGATGACGACTGGCTAGACTCAGCAGCATTGCGCGCCCCCTGCAGCTCCGCTTGCAGTTGCGTAAGTGCGGCTTCGTGCTCCGATTTGACTTTGCGCAAGGCTTCCTCATGTCGATTCTCGGCTTCGGCGAGGCGGGCACTAGCGGCCGCATTTTGCTCCTCCAGTTGGTCGACTTGGACTTTCCACTGGCTCTCCAAGGTCTTCATGATCTCATCCAATTGGTTGTCGTGTTCCGCCTTCATCCGTTTCTGGAGTTCTTCGTATTGAGACTGATTCGCGGCTTGGCTGGCCTCGACAGATTTGGTATGCTCCTCGCGCACTCTCTCGATGGCTTGCTCATGTTGCCCCTTTAGCGACTTCTCGAGCTCGGCGAGCGACTTTTCATGTTCGGCGCGCAAGGCCTCCATGTCCTCTTCGACCTTGGCCTCCAAAGCCTTCTTCGTCTCCAATACTTGGTCATGTTGCATCTGGAGCTCACTCATTCGGGCAAGTTTGATGACCGAGGTCGACATATCTGCTTTCAGTTTCTCGAGAGCTTCATTGAGTTCGTCCTCTTTCTCCTTAGCTTCTTTCTCGGTGTTTTCAAGAATGGACTTCACCATCTGGGTCTGGAATCGGTTGCCCTCGAGCTCCTGTTGGAGAGACCTCGTTTGAGATTCCAACTGGCGCTTCTCTTCTGCTAGGGACGATCGTAATTCGTCCAACGCTTCCTCGTGAGAAGACTTTGCCTTGATCGTCATATCTTCAAATTGTTGTGCGTGCTCGGCTTTGAGAGAAGTGATTGTCTCAGCATGACGAGAGGAGATCTGCTCTTCCAAGCCACTGAGTTGCTTCGCATGGTCAGCTTTGACTGTTTCCAGAGATTCTTGAGCAGACTTGAGCTGATCCTCTAATTCCTTGACTGTAGTGGCGTGCGACTCCTTCAATGCGTTCAGCGCAATTTCATGCTCATTGGCTTGTTGATGCGACACCTCCTCCAGCTGCTTCGAATGGATAGATTGTGCGTCTGCCAATTCGGCCTCGACAGCATTGAGCTGCTGCTCAAGATTCCGTACCCGTTCAATGTGAATCTTCTCAGCTTCTTCGACGGCCTTCTGTTGCGACTCCGATGCCTCGGACTTCACACGATCGAGTTGCTGCAAGTGCCCAGCTTCAATGGTCTCCAGATCTTTGAGGGACGCGTTCATCTGGTCCTCCAGCTGCTTGATTTGAGAGGAGTGTGTTTGCTTAAGGGTCGACACTTCCTTTTGCGAGTCGTGGAGCTTTTGCTCAAGCTGTTGGATATGCTCAGTATGGCCAGATTTCAGCGTTGCCACTTCTTCGTCGTGTTCCGCCTGTGATCCGGACCGAAGACTTTCGAGTTCTTTTTCATGAGTAGATTTCAGTGCAGCAAGTTCCTCTCGAGCAGACTGGCTTTGGGACTCGTGGTCTTTCAAAATTTTGTCATGCTCTGTGGTAACCTCGCCCAGAGCAGTTTTGGCTGCGTTTACTTGACTTTGCAACGCCGCGAGAGCCCCGTCATGATCTGCTTTTTTCGCCTCCGCTTCTTCATTGGCCTTTTGCAGCTGAGCTTCGAGATCCTGGATTCTACTCGAATGCGAAGCTTTGCTACTTTCAAGCTCGTCGTTTACGGCGGCCAGATCAGCTTCAGCTTTCTTTAGCACGGTCTGCAGTTCGCTTTCTTGCACACTCTGTATTGTTTTCAGTTCTTCTTGCGCAGCGCTCAATTGCTTTTTAATGGCGTCTATTTCCGCGGTATGGGCTTCCTCGGCCGCCGCGAGGGATGTAGCGGCGGCGGCGGTCGCATCGGCCTTTTCCTGCCGTAGAGCTTTGATCTGGTCCTCGAGCGCACGATTTAGCGCTGCCTGGGCGTTGCTTTCCTCGCCCTTTGTCTGCTGAAATTCGAGCACTTGACTCTCCAAAGATCGAATCACTTCGTTTTGTCGGGTAGTTTCCTCGTTGGCTTTGGCAAGCTCTTCCTGTTGATGGACAACTTCTTTTTGCTTGTTCGCAACCTCTGCGCTTACCTCCTCAAGCCTGCCCTGGATTTCGGCAAGCCGCGCCTGATAATCAGCTTCGAGGGTTGCAATCTTGGTCTCCATCTCCTTTTCCAGCTGTGCATTGCTATCCCTTGTCGAAGCCTGCTCAGCAGCCGCATTGCGAAGTTCTTCCAGTTCCAACTTAGACCGGTCGATCTCCTTCCGCGCAAGGGCCAGTTCTAGGGTAAGCTGTTCTGTTTTGGTATCCTGGCCCTGGGAAAGCTCTCGCAGCTCTTCTTGATGTGCACGCTCCATTTCCGAGACTTTAGTTTCGTGGGCTGATGAGAGTTGTTCAATTTTGGCGGCATGCTCGTTCCGGATAGCTTCTGTGGCATCCAGCACGCGTACGCCCTCCTCCTGCGCGCTCTTGCTGAATTGTTCGAGTTTGGCCTTCAAGTCAGTCAGCTCCGCCTGTAACGCGGCGACTTGGGCTTTGCTAGTCTCCTCCTGCAGCTCTGGTGCAATTGCAGCCTCGAGATTTTCCAGCGGAGGTTTGTCTGCTTCGACCGCCGATTCAGAGGGTGTTTCCTCAATCACGGATTGCACCTCCTCCAGTTCCGCAGCCGTTGGTACTCGACCGTGAGTACGTTCGAATGCCCTGACCTTGGCAAGATCCGACTTCAGCTTTGCGATTTTACTTGCAGCGTCATCATCCATGGACTGCTGTTCTTGTTCATCGGCACCGTCCGCGGTCATAGCTGCTCGTAACATGTTGTTGACAAGCTCGAACTCTCGGATCCGCTGCTCTATCAAAAGTGACCTCGTGGATTTCCGCGATCCCAACGGGGGACGAGCGGTCCCGGCTGATTTCTCATCTCCAGCCGATGTTGCATTTTCCTTGTTGTCTTCCGGCTCTTCCATTCCAGCCTTGACTGCGGGTGACGCAGGAATCGTGCTTAGACGTTTCTTGTCGGCAAGAGCGCCGGTACCAACACTTCTTGAGGAGGCGAGAGGCCTAGCACGCGTGGCAGAGGGGGTCGTCGGGGTGCGAGTGGTGCTCGGGGTGGCAGCTACCTTCCTTGCACCAATTGGACTGCCGCCGGTCTGTTGACTCGATGTCGTTGTCTGCATTGATGTCCGGCGAGCAGGAGTGGGAGCAACCGACCTGGAAGTGGAGGCCCGATCAGAAGTCGTGGAGGGAGCCAGAGACATCCTCTTTGGCCTCGCAGATATGCCATCTTTGCCCTTCTCGTCGCCGGAAGGTTTCTCATCAACCGACGTGTCTGATTCTCTTTTCTTGTGTGTGGCAATTGAGGAAGTTGAGGCTGTGACAGGGGTCTTTCGGGCTGTCGTGCTCGCAGCACTCGGTCTGGCTGGCGGCTTGCTCAATGAACTTCCCACGGCAGGCCTAGCAGCCGACGAGGTAGACGTAGAAGTAGAGGCCGGCCTGGTTGTGGTGGACAATCTGGAGGCCGGAGTCCTGGTCACTGGCCGTGACGGAGGATTTGTTGCCTTCGGCCTCACAGTCGCAGTTGCAGTCGCAGTCGCAGTTTCATCCTTTTTGTCCATGGCTGCAGACCGAGGGCAGGGCTCCGACGAGATCGACCGCAAAACAAGAGGGAGATGGACCAGAAGCAGAAATCTGTCAGGAAGGAGAGATAGGAGGAGGAGTCAATCAGCCTAGTCTCAGACCTGCTGGCGTCGACCGATTGGGAGAGCAAAGCGAGAAGGTTGAGGTCACCGCGACGCGTTCCTTTTTGGCTGCGTGGAAAAGTCGTGATTCCAGGACGGGCCGAAAGAAGCGAGCAAAGCAACGAAGCGAAGAAGCGAGCCCCCACCACCAGCGACCGCATCACGAGGCTAAGTTCTCTATCACGGATGTGTCTCTCGCCATTCCTCAGTCCTCACTGCTTCCCCGAGATTAGTGGTTTCAGCCTGCTCCGGAGGGCTCTGGCCTCTGCTCTTTCAATTGAGACACCTGCGCCGCCGTCTCACCCGCCCTGCCGCGACAAGTATGACCAAGATTGCTTTGAACGAGGAGGGATTGACACTGCTGGCTCTACGAGAACATTCGGGATCTGGAGCTCCGTTCGTTTTTGGTGCCATGTGGATTGGCTTATCATTCATTGGTATCAACAACCTGCAGACCAAGTCAGGGGTATCATGAAGCAAACGCTATCAAAAGTAATACTACAGTCTCTGTGTTGTACATTCAGCCCGGGACACTCCTCAACCAGTCCCAGGACTCGTCCAGCTCGTCCTCCAGCTGTCTCGCCATGGTCTGCTTGACCCATCTAGCCTTCGCCATGATCTGATCCATGTCGTATCTCTCCAGTCTCCCGCAAGGCCCGCCATAGGCGTCAATGATATCCTCCCATCTTGACTCACTGGTAAACTCTTGCAGGGCGTTGACCAACACAATCAGTTCATTTTGACTCCATTCCGTCTCATCTGGAGGGGGAATGTCTTCAGTGGGTTCTCGTCTTAGTCCCGGTCTGATAGGTGCAGCCGCCCCGTTGGCATGTCCGGTTCCTTCTCGGCGTCCAGGCTCTGCCCAGGCACGTTCGTCGTCGATGGATATGTCGTCAATATCAACCAGGGGCCGCTGTGAGCCGGGAACTGGCTGGTCTGGTAGCGGTGCACCATCGTGGTAAGCATGACAGCGATATTGTCGATGTTTTGCCCGCACGGCCTCTCTTCTGCGCTGGTATTCGGCTTGCTGTCTCTCCAAATTCTGCTTCTGTCGAACTTCGAGCTCGTCAACGAATCTCTCTCGTTCATCCTCGTCAATGGCACGACGATACTTCTCCACAATGGTTTCAACATTGGGCTTGATGTCCGAGTGTGTCTTGCTTTTGACCGCATTTCCCAGCTCAGGTCGCGGCCTCCAAGCCTGGGCGTTGTTCACTAGCCTGGATGTTATGTTCAGAAGTTGGCAGATTTCCCTCAAGGCCGCCATACTGAACTCATCGTTTTGAAATAAGGTCTTGAGCGCTCGCTTGGCCAGGTCGAGTGAGCTAGGAATCAAGTGCTCGTACAAGTCACGTACCATCCTCTTCCGCTCGAGGTCGTATGGCATATCGGGCTTATAGTGGTAGTCACAGATATGTTTGCATCGTCGCTTCAACAGTCCCAGCGTCTCCCGCTTTTCATATTCCAGTCGTCTAGGGGACCCAGAATTTCCACGATGGAGCTTCTTGTAAATATGCGCCATCTTTTTGAACTCACGCGCACAAGCCTTGCCTTTGATCGACTCTGCTCCAGAGGAAGTGCGGTTCTCAGCAATTTCGGCAGCAGCAACAAGGGAGTCTGTCCAGGCATCCTTGCATTCACGGATTTGCACAGCTACCTCGATGCCTGACAAAGTGTCTTTAACCATTTGCTCTCGTTTGGCTTCTGCCTCGGCCGCAGACTGCTCTGCAGCGTCTCGTTCAGCTCGAGTCCGTGGCCGCTGACTTCGTTCCGGAGGAAGTTCCACAGGTGCTCGTCCTTCCTCGTATGCCGCATTGTCTGCTTCCTTCTCTCGGCCTTCTTCAACCGCCTCGTCGACAATAACGGGCTTGGACGTTTCTTTAGCCAATGTTTGCTTTGCAACTTCCGGGAGTGGATTAGAATATATTGCCGGGGATTGCGGATTTCGCCCAAGCTCGGCGTCGGCGTCACTCCCTGTTTGGGCGGGGTGTCGTTCTTTGGACGGGAGTGCCTTTTTCGAAGGTCTGGGCGGGACATCTTCGACTGGGGGAGACTCTTCTGGAGAACTTCGACCATGTTGTGAGGACTTCTGCCCAAGTTCTTCTCTCTGGGAAGCCTCGAAAATATCCTCACCGTCAAAGGGTAACTGATCCACCATCGCACTCGTTTCCTTTAGCTTGCTCGCAGGGCGACGGGCTTTGTGAAGAGACCGGCCAATCTTCTCAATTCGATTCCTCACAGGCCTCTTTCGAGGTGAATCGTCCAAGTTTACCAGCGCATTTGTTCTAGTTTCCAGGACACCCTTGCCCTTGAAAGGCGAAGCAGTCTGTTGTGGTCGGACATTGAGCGGCCTGAACTTCTTGATCGGCTTCAACAAGGGGTTTGTCCCAGCTTTCGGTTCGGGGTCATCAGGGATCTCGTACAGGTCGGGTCGATTGACATGTTTAGGTGCTGAAAGCGACTTCCGCGCCTGCAGTCTTCCGGATTTGCGCCGCGAGGGACTTGCAGTTGTTGACATGGGCAGGTTAGAGGTAGACGGGGTGGGCTGCCCGAGTTGGATACGTTTGTTCGAGGGGCTTGTCGCACTGGAGCCGCCGCGGGATTCTCGCTTCCTCTTCCGGGGAGAGCTTCGCGTCAAGTTGGCAGCCTCCTCGTTGAGGATGGCTGTCACGTCTTCTGCTTCCCACTCTGCCGCATCGCGAGCAACAGATCGCCGCGTCGTGCGCAGCATTTATCACCAGCTTAGAGACAAAGACACGGATTGGAACTATCATAAGGTCCATAGGTATGGAGTTCGAAGCGTTGGGGTCAGTGTTGAAGTCGGAGGCTTAAAGTTCAACTTGACGCGCCCCGCGGGGCAGTGGTTGCGCAGGCGATGTTGCCACGAGGCTGAGATTACCTGATGAGTTCAGCCTCGTCATCGAGCCAAGCGCAGACGTTCTATCGTCACATCGACTATCCGCGTATTTCACCATCCCCCACTGAGGTGAATTGTCCAGAATCGTCGGCTTTCATGTAAACTCTTGTCCTGTATGTTCTCTAGGATCACTTCCAGATTCGTGTTCGAGTCCAAGGAACAAGCGAGATGGCGAACTTTCCAACACTCGCAAAAATTGCCGACGTAAAGGAGCATCAGTTTGAGAAGCCGGTGAAAAAGATCTTCGATGGCCCTGACGTTTCCTTCTTTCTGATGTCGCTGGCATATCGGGACATCATGACATTTATGCTGCAATTGAACAGGTCGGTTTTGCCACGCAAAAATCAGACTGGAGGAACGACCGCAATTACGACCTGGCGATTAGACTCTGAGGACGTTGTGTTCTCAGATGCCGTGTATCGGCTGCGAAGTCTGTTGAATAAGCTAATAGAGCTCGTCGAAGCGGTTCCTCCTGATACCGGCCCTCGGCGATTTGGCAACGTCAGCTTCCGCAAGTGGTACAGGATCGTCGAGGAACAGGTTGGCGACCTCTTGACGGAATCTCTGCCAGAAGAACTAGGACCAGCGCATGAAGAACTCACCTCATATTTCCTGGGAAGCCTTGGCAGCGCTCAACGGCTGGACTATGGGACAGGCCACGAGCTCAGCTTTCTTGCCTTCCTGGCTTGCCTGTGGAAGCTGAGTTTCTTCCCCGAGGCCGAAGCGGGAGTGGAAGAGCGAGGAATTGCCCTGGGGGTTTTCGAGCTATACCTCATCCTCATCAGGAAACTCATCAAGACGTACACCTTGGAACCGGCCGGGTCTCACGGTGTTTGGGGCTTGGATGACAATTCATTCCTCCCATATATTTTTGGCTCTGCGCAACTATGCCCGCCGATCGCTGAAACAGACGACACCCCTACCGAAGGGTCGCTCCCTGACGCGCCCGAGGCATCTGCAGTGACAAAACTCAACCTCGTCGAGAAGGAGAAGGGTTCAAATATGTACTTTTCGGCCATAGCGTTCATTTACGACGTCAAAAGGGGTCCGTTCTGGGAACACAGCCCCATGCTTTTCGACATATCTGGCATCAAGGACGGTTGGGGCAAGATCAACAAGGGCATGATCAAGATGTACAACGCAGAAGTGCTCTCCAAGTTCCCCGTCGTCCAGCATTTTCCCTTCGGATCTCTGTTCGAGTGGGAGCGGGATCCCAAAGCCAGGCCGCCACCACCCTCCACACACGCTGCGAGTCAACCCCTCCGAAACCCAATGGACACCAATGCCCCAAGCGCGATGAGACCGAGTGGCCCGCCGATGGGGTCAACGGCTGCTCCCTGGGCTGCGAAACCGTCAGCAGCACCAGCGGGGTTCGTCAACGGTGTCACGCAGGCGCCCTGGGCGAGTCGAGCGCCAGCGCCAGCGCCTCCTCGAGGCGGCTTTGCTGGAGCACAGAGACGGCCGCTGCAAGCGCTGAAGGAGACGGACACGAAGACGATCCAGCAAAATCCCGAAGGGCAGAAGTAAGCGTTGTACGAGGGCACAAGAAGACGGTTTCAAAATGTATGATTATTCTGCACGGGAACCAAAACCAGACTGGGACATGTATCAAGTCGAGCATGGGAACAGGGGGTATCACGATGAATCTGAATCATAGCCCACCACCAACGCCGTGCTGTTTGCCACTTTTGTCTTCGTCTCTTTCTCTTTCTCTTGCTTCTGCTCCGTCACCCCTTCGTCCGGCCGTTTCCGTTTGACTCTAGGCTGCCAGACATCTTCCTCTCTCAAGAAAGGATCGGACGCGATCCTCGTATTGCTTCGTAGCGTGCTTTGCAGTATTTCCTTTTTGTGGTCCGACTTCGCGGCGGTGCTGGACTTCGACCGAGAGGAGGATGAGGGGGTGGAAATAGATAGGGGAATCAACGGCCCAGTGTTGAGAGCAGTGCTAAACATGGGCTTCCTCGAGCTCGTCGACGACGACAGCTCAGCGGCATGGTCACCAAACTCGACAAATTTGGCCCTCTCGCCGTCCTCGGCATCTTCGCCCACCATGTCCAGCTCCAGCCCGAACTTCTCCTTCAACGCCTCCCCGGACTTTTCGTCGGCCTGTCTCTTCCGCCTGCCCACGCGAAACTCGGCGCGGAGGCGTTTACTCCGCTCGTACGGGTCCGCCCAGTCGCGCTCGCTGGCCTTGAGGAGACTCTCGAGTCTCTCCTTCTGAGAATCAAACAGCGTCTTGTCCTGGATCTTCTTCTCCAGCGCGCCGAACCCGCCGTTGCGCTCCAGCCGCTCTTTGTCCTCCTCGGTCACCCCGCCGCCGGTGATCTGGATCTCGCCGTCCAGGAGCTTGTCGGCGCCCGTGTCCCTCCGCCGCCCGCCCTCGACGACCACGTACTCGGCGTTCTTGGGATCCGTGCGGACCTCCACCCAGCCGCCGCAGGCGGCGTGCTTGAAGCGGAAACTCCAGATCGGCGTGGAGAAGTAGTTGCCCACCTTCTTCTTCTCGGCATTGAACCGCACGCCTTGCCCGATGAGCTGCTCGGGCCGGCAGTGCGTGCACCAGATGGCGAACGGGCACTCGAAGCGAACGGTCAGGACGCCTTCGGTCTTGAGCTTGCGCGCGCGCGAGCCCAGCGCGTGACCCTTGCCCGAGGCGGTGTTGAAGGAGACCACGCCCTCCAGGTCCGGAGGGACGTAGCGGCCCATGTTGAAGCCCTGCATTTTGGCGGTCGGGTTGTCGTCTTTAACGGTTCGGAGGAGGGAGGCGGGGATAAAGTGCGCCGGCCGATCAGTCTGGCTCTTGTGATATTGCAATGGACCCTCGGTTGTCCAGACGAGCACCCATTTCAGTATCTGCTCAAGCAGACGAGGAGATTACAAGCCAGATATTATGCCAGGAGGAAAGGAGAGTGAGGCATGGTCGTCGGCAGAACGAGGCTGATCCCAAAATTCCGCAGCGCAGTTTGAGCACACGTCAAGTTTGGCTGAGGCTCAGTCTTCCCCCCATCGGAGAATTATGATAATCCGCTTCCGGCAGCCTCATGCAATTCCCTGACTCGCGCTGCTGGAGCGGCGACAAGGCCCGATGAGCCACCAGATATACGGAGCACTATGAGGGCACTCAGGAAAGTGCAGGGAACATAGAATGGCCAGACTGAAAGCTGCCCATTCTGAATCAGCACTGAAATGCCACGCCCTCCCGCTTCGCCACATTCGACCCTCCGCCAGCGAACCCTGTACCTTCGCAACTAATCTCGACCAGTCTGCCCACCTTTCGACTGCTGTGTTTTCCCTCCTTGTGCTTCTGCTTCTTGTCCTTGCCTCCCTTGTCGTGACTATCTCCAGCTCCGGGCGATGGTCCGCTCAGATCCGCCTCACAGACGTAGCAGAGGATACTCGGATTTGTTGTGTCGCCCCGCTTCGACGACACACCATTGGAACGGGTACCAACGAGAAACAAGTCAGCGCATGCGCCGCAGATCACATGCCCACATCCGTCTGCCGTCCCCAACATCGGCCTTGAAGTGTTGGTTAGGGCTTTCTTGCAGCTCGGACAGACCCTCGTTGGTTCGTCCGCCTTCCCGCCGCCGGCCCTATTTTCGGGCTCGATCTCTGCAAAATTGACGGTGATGAGTGATTTCAGCGAGTAGCCGTGTTTATCCTCCGGCGTGGATGCCGGACATAGCGGGTGAAGCTTTTGCTGCTTGGATTTTGAAGTCGTGGTGTTGGATGCAGACAGGCTGTCGGAGCCCGGGACCCAAAAACTCGCCTCAGAAGATTTTGTTTTCTTGTTCTTCTCGCTGCCTTCGCCGTTGCGTTGCAGCTCCGACGAATGGGCATGCAATTCCTCGGCTTCTCTCTTCCTCTTTTTTCCCGTCGATTCGATCCCGTCATCTGCAAACCCCATCGCTGTCCTCTCGAACCTTTCCAGCTCCCTTTTCCTGCTCTCTTCCTCCTCCCGCGCTTTCTCCTCGCGCTCCTCCCTCTCCCTCATCTCGGCTTCTCTCTCTAGTCGTTTGATCTCTTTTCGCTGGGCCATGAGATCGTTCAACGCACATTCCCTGCAGAATAGATGGGCTTCTTTGTTTCCCTCCCCGCAAGCCACAGGGGAGTTCGCATAGCCAAGACATAGGCGGCAATACCCAAATGGGAGAAACGAGTCGCGTGTTAGTCGGGTTGTTTGAGTCCCCCAACTTGAACGGAGGAGGGAGCGTTCATGAGAGGTAAAGAAAGCCAATGACGTGTTGCGCTTCGAGTGGGACATTTTGACCCCGGGGGGTGTTGCACCAGAGATGTCGCAAACGTGGAGAAAGACAACAAGGTGGTGGCAACCAAGAATTGAAACTGTATCCCACTCCGGACAGAAAACTCCTTGGCTGTCTGCTATTCTCTGATGATCGCGTCAGGGTACCTCCTATCGAAATGGTATATTCCTATCGGGCTAGTCACAAGGACTGCCTAATCGTGCGGGCTATTCTATGATGTCGGGTGATTGATGAGAAGACGTTGTCCTTTTTGGGGTTCGAGATGCGTCGGTTGCCGTCTGAAAGGACGTCTAAGCTATGAAACAGTCGTGGCGGTTTGAGCCAGTCTCAAGCCTCCAACAACGGCGCGGCAGTTTGCATAAAACGCTATCCCGTGCCGTTGACGGACGCAAACTTGAAGGAGGAGCTGAAAGGCAGGTTGCACCTAGGACGATCTGGGCCTCAAGATCAAGCACAGACGCAGCGTGTTCATTGTGTGGAAAGAGGTCGCTTGCTCTAGGGGCTCACGAATGGATCTTTGATCATGATAGAGCTCACGAATTTTGGGTGTTCGGAACAGCCCCGGAGAAACTTATGGCCGAATGCCACGGTCCGTCCTTGGAAGAGAATCCTGTGAGCGGCAGGATTGGCTACGTCGGTGGACGTGGAACTATCACGCTAGGGCCTTGGCTGAGGCCTTAAATGAGCGCTAGTATAGTAACATAACTTAGTTAGGAGGGAACTCATCTACTAGTAGTAAATAACTATTTTATAGAAAAGTGCTAACATTCTGGATCTTCGCTCGCCACTGTAATCAGTTTAGCTTCGCTCTCGTGCTCGGTACATGGACTCGCTCTGTACCGGGCGCTTCGCTCGAATATCTAACACACACTATGAAAGCTGCTAATCACAAATCGGGGATTTTTGGTCCGGATGAGGTGACTGAGATGACCTCCAATATGTTGTGCTCAGGTTTCTACCACTTACAGCCTCTTGTCCGACGTGTACCGCAGAAATATACTCCTCAGACCACGGCAAATGGATATCAAGGTGATACTTTGTTCGGGGAAAGCCAGATTGGTAAACTGCGTTCCAAGTTGGCAAAGAAATGCGATCTACAAGTCGGGTTTCAACCGAGCTCCGTGGGATGATAAGGTCATTGACTTTCATGCATCGCATGCCGTGCATGTGTTTGATGACGAGGTACGTGATATTTGAGACTGTATAGAAGAGCATGAATGATCGACGAAGAGTCGTTGTGGATATCTCGAGTCCTGGGCTGTAGTCCTCGAAGTGGACAGCAGGCGGTGCACCAAACACTTGATGCCTACGGCTTTCCAGACGCGGCGATGGTCAATTCACGCGACGTGGCTCTCTAGGAAGTGTTGAAACTATGAGAAATACGTGATAGATGCACGACTTCGGGTTTGAGAATGCCCTGCGATTGGTAGGGCATAGTTGTATTCACAAGTCTCATCATCTATGAACCGAGTGTGGATGGACTCCAATATTCATCATGTATGATCGCCATTGGTGTCCGATCGCTGCTCTGTTTTCAACTAGTATTCGATGTTTATTTCTGAGCATTCTGGACACTCGCACTCATTGTTCGGATGGACGCCGCCAAGGTGATATCCTGAAGACTTTTCCACGGTTCAGTTTCAAAGTCGTCCATCTGCGCATCAACATATCCTGGAGCTGCCACAGACCGGGGGAGTATAGCAAAAGATCGTCCTAGACACGTCTCACGTCAGTCTTTTCTTTGGGAACGTAGTACGGGGATCAAGATGGGGCCAGCGCGTTACCATTAATAGATTTATCGCAGGCAATCCTCAGAACGGCCGTTGTGCAGTCTTCGATCTCGGCGAACTCGACTCCCTTGGAGACCAATCTCTCTATGACCTGGGGCTTCAGGATGGTGGTCTTAGTGTACCTGGACGTAATGTGTATCAGTCCCAGCCTAACTCGAGTCTTCACTGATCTCCTACCATGGGGCCACGTAGGCGACGCGAATACCCTCCTGCCAGGACGTACGGCGGGCACTGCGCATTAGACCCCTCAGGGCAAATTTCGAGGCAGAGTACTGGAAGGAGCCAGGCTGGTCGAGCAGTCCGGCGACGCTGCCCTTGAAGATGAAACAGCGGTCCCGACCTTCGCCTTCTGGCTGAATGCGGAGATAATGCTGGCCCAGTTTGAAGGTATAAACGGCCCCGATCAGGTTGAGCGTGAGAATAGGCAAAGTTGGCTTCGTAGGCTCACTGCTAGGTTCTTTCGGTCAAAGTACCCAAACATCAGCGCACTGTGATAGAGGGATATCCGTGCAAGCAGGAAATTACAGGGGAGCTGGAGATAACACAGAGAGAGACACCTTCAAGAGCAAATATCTCGTCGGGCCCGGTGATGCCGGCATTGGCGACGACGATGTCTAGACTTTTGCTCGGCGAATTGGCGACAGCATGCTTGAACAAGTTCAACTGGTCCTCCCAGGAGGTTGCGTCGCACTTGACAAATTGGACGTGGCTGAGCAGCAAGACGTGAGATACTGAATATCCATGGCCCCAAGCAACAAATGTAGGCGGCTCATCCACTTACGGTCCAAGTTCTTTGGCCAGCGCTGCTCCTTTCTTCTCGTCGATGTCACCGAAACTCACATAAGCCCTACACCCATTTGGTCAGGACTCTGCGAGCAGTTGAGTGGGATTTCAAGACACGCTCGGGGTGCTCACCCTGCAGCAGCAAAAGCACGGACATGAGACTCGCCAAAGCCATTTGCGCCTATCTCCAGATTACTGCGAGGACATGAGGATAAGAGAGCCAATCCGTCTCACCTCCTGTCACGAGGACGCTTTTGCCGCTGAGATTCGCAGTCTGGGGCTTCACGCTGCAGTCGACTGGCGTATTGGTGTAAGGCTGCAGTGGCATGTTTGCAGCTTGGCCCTGAGAAATGTTGTCTTTCAGTGTCACACAATTCTGCCCGTGTGTTGCTCGTCTGAAAGAGAACCAAAAGCCTCCCTATGTCAATTCGCGCCTGGTCCTTAAGTCCTCGCAAAAGACGAACCCTTCAGTGCTCTGCGGGGAAACCAATGGACCGAGCTTGACCAATTCCTGGCGTACCGTAAGATGCTCCCAACTTCCGAAATGAAGCCGCGGATATACCAAAAGAGGGCTTCTATCGAAAACAGAACGACAGATCGGGTTTCGCCTCGGCAGCCACATCTCCAAAGTGGAACCCGAGCCTTGATGAGACCTAGAGTGTGGTATGATTGAACATAGGTAAGGCCACTGCGAAGAAGAAGCATAAAAGGGCAAGGTAAATCGTAATACAATTGCTCAGTTCCTCATCTAATCTTTCAAAGCATAACCTGTAAAAGGCCCCCGGTCCCATTGAGACAACTGCCTCCCATAACCAAAATGGTGTCCAATGAGTATGTCTCCACGTCGCTGGCACCCGATCCGACTGCCAAACCTCTCCCAGACGGCCTGCTACACGAGAATGAATGGTACAGGCAGGACTTTGCCGGCTATCAAGTGACCGAGTCGCCCTTGTTCACCCGGCGTCCCATCAAAATGATCTGTGTTGGCGCCGGTGCCTCGGGCCTCCAAATCGCCCACAAGGCCCAGCTCTTCCTGAAAGACGTCGAGCTGGTCATCTACGAGAAAAACCACGACTTGGGCGGCACCTGGCTCGAGAATCGATACCCCGGATGCACATGCGACATTCCCAGCCACAGCTAGTAAGTCGCCCGAGGGATTAAGGAGTTGTTCGTCCGCTGCTGATGATGACCACCCCAGTCAGTTCTCCTGGGCACGAAATCCGAAGTGGTCCGAGTATTACTCGACTTCCGAGGAGATTTGGCAGTACTTTAAAGACACGGCTACGAAATTCGACCTGGAGAAGTACGTCAAGTACAATCACAAGGTCGAGAAGGCTGTCTGGGACGAGGAGTCTGGGCGATGGAACCTCACCATAACGGCACCGGACGGATCAGTTCTCACAGATTCCAGCGAGATTCTTGTCAACGGCGGCGGGATTCTGAAGTAGGTTGAAAAGTCATGGCTCCATTAGTATCGGCCAGGAAACAGCGGACTGACACTGTCACCTCTCAGCTCTTGGAAATACCCCAATGTGCCCGGTATTGATGCCTTTCAGGGCAAAATCATGCACAGTGCTCGATGGGACCACGACTATGATTTTGAGGGCAAAACGGTGGCCGTCATCGGTGGTGGTTCGTCTGCGGTTCAGATTACTCCGCAGTTGCAGAAAGGTGAGGCCGGCAACGACAGCCGATCGCAGCGATGAGAAGAAGACGGCGTGTGCTAATTCGAACTGCTGTATAGTGGCCAAAAGGGTTATACCGTTTCTTCGATCCCCCGTGTGGATAACGACTGGGTTTGGAGCCAAGTATGCAGGGCCCAACGGCACGAATTTCGCATGTAAGTGGTTGAGTTGACACCCTGGGACACGCCACGAGACAACAGGAGCTGACGGCATATCCAGACTCGGAGGAGCAAAAGAAAGAGTTTGAGAATGACCCAGAAAAGTACACCAAGTACTGCCGGGATCTCGAAGGAGAACTGAACAAGCGATTTACTCTGGTACGTTGGCAGTCATTGTTCCTCGAGATCAGAGCCTTGGGAGCTGCCCAGCCTCGAAAAAGCCATTCCTATCTCTCTCTCTGTGCCGCTTCATCACTGACACCCCGGCACCTAGAACCACCTTCACAGCAAAGACCAGAAAGCGTCCCGGGAGCTCGTGACCAAGATGATGACAGAGCGTCTCGGCAGCCACCCAGAGCTTATCAAGCACCTGATCCCCGATTTTGCACTGGGATGCCGACGTATGACGCCGGGGACGGGCTACCTGGAGAGCTTGACGAAGCCCAACGTCCAAGTGGTCTGCCAAGGCGTGCAACGCATCACGGAGACGGGGGTGATAGACGACACCGGCGCCATGCACGAGGTGGATGCGATCGTGTGCGCCAGCGGCTTCGACACCAGCTTCAGCCCGCACTTCACGGTCATCGGGCGCGAGGGGCGCAACCTGCGCGAGGAGTTCGGCGACGCTCCCAAGGCGTACATGGGGATCATGGCCGAGGGGTTTCCGAACCTGTTCCACTTCCTGGGGCCCAACAGCCCCGTGAGCCACAGCTCCACGCTGCCTATCTTCGAGTGGCACACGCGCTACATGTTCCAGATGATCGACAAGCTGCAGGTCGAGAACGTCCGGGCCTTTGACCCCAAGCCCGAGTGCGTCCGCGACCTGTTCAACCACACCCACGAGCTCATGAAGCGCCTGGCCTGGAGCTCCGCGTGCCACTCGTGGTTCAAGAACGGCAAGGTCCACGGGCCCGTCACGGCCATCTGGCCGGGCAGTCGGCTGCATTACTTCGAGGCCCTGGACCGCCCGCGCTACGAGGACTACAACATCACCTACCGCAGCGGCAACCGGTATCAGTATCTGGGCAACGGGTACACGCACACCGAAATCGACCCGGACGGCAATGCGGTCTGGTACTTCGATGACCCGTTC